TAGCTCTTAGAAGTGCCGGAGCTTTGAATGAATCTTAGTTATCTTGATTCACGTAACTCTACCAGTTTTGTTTACACAAAGAAGAGCCCGATTTGGACTTGACGACAGAAACGATTAAGACCCCTGATAGAAACAACTAAATAACCAACCGCTTAACAAACGCCCCCAGTATTCTATGCCACAGCTTTGGATCTGCAGATGATCTGCCGGGGTTATTGTCCCAGACTGATATGGGCTAGGCAGATAGAGTTGGCCGAGATCGAAGGGCTTCCTTCGCGTCGAAGCCAGCTGCCGAGAGACTCAAACAGAAGGTCGGCAGAAGACGAAACTAAGACGAGGAGAGGATAGACCTGATGATGTTATTTTATAATGACATCATGCTGCTGGCCTCCAATCTCATCGAATGTAATTGTTGTGTCAGCTAAGGACCTGTGTCAAGAGTCACGCGAAAGCTTAAGAGAAAAGTTCTAGAATAATTCCAGAACATTTCTAGAAGCCTCATACAATGTCATCTCCATCGATAAATTCCGCTGCAGATGCTCCGTAATGCGATACCATTCGGACTTATCACACATCTTTTTTATGTCAGCAGAACATCCATTGACAGAAGTTCATTAGCGTACCCAAAGGCAATACTCGAATAACATGCAAGAAGATGGAGATAATCATTTAATTGGTCTTATACAGAGAGCTATCGGGGTACTCATCAACGAAGTGTGTGCTCTGCTCTTACCACCACGGACAACTCCCCTAGATACACGATAACTCCTTCATTCCTCCCTACTTATTGCCCCGAATCGGCTAATATCATTTCCGTGGGAGTAATATAAAAGGCTAGCCGTGCAACGCACTCCCGTCTCCGTTCTTTCGCCCCGGCAATTGAGTCCCAGCTTGGTCATGTGTTGACTGCTTTAGACGAGTTGTGCGTACGGTCGATGAGAATGATCTGATCTGATCCCGACAACATGATATTAGCATTCACAAGTCTCAGTAATAAAGATTACAACAGTACCTCTACCATAACGTATTCTAACATATAACTATTTCCTACTGCCTTGGGTGGCAGGGGTATCAGATGGTGAGATATTGGCCTCAGAGTTGTCTGGCGTGTTAGATGCAATAATTGAGTCAATGTTATTCCATGACATATCCTTCTGATCCTCTCGCAACCAAGTATTTATCTGCTCCGAGTATATAGGGCTCTGGTATGTAATATTAGGGAATGGGTTCCCCTGTCGAGGGACTTGGATGCAGTGAGGGTCTGGCATGATAATAGAAGGATGGATGAGATATGGTGTACTTGGTTGGGATGTCTATGAAGCAGCTTCCAAAGGTGAAAAGACCCAGGGGGTTTTATAAGAAACTTGACTGGACTCGTGATTCTGCAGGGTAATATCACTGGTCAAATGCGAGCTGTCATCCTCACGGTTCATTCGGGCGGTTCCATTGACCAAATGGATGATGGGGGGTGTGAATCTAAGATTCGATGATAGCAGTTTCCTCAAAGTCTACGCAACGCAGAGCCTCCCTTTGATCTCCATGGAGACTCTCCGTGGAATTATCAGGGGTAAGCATCGCACTACGCCGCAATGTGGTTTTAGCTGATACCCAACTTTGAGGGAGTCCTACACCTAAAGACACGCTCTATTTCTCGCATTCGCATCTGATGCTCTTCGAAGCTCCGAGATGTGATGCAAGGCGTCACGCTATACATATAAATTGTTTCTGGTGTATTCATAGCCAGTGTCGAATGTCTCAGGCGTACAAAAGAAGTACTGACTGCGAGATCATAACAAGCAACATATGTCAAAATTTGACCGACTGGAACCGATGTCATCGCATATCCACGGTTGATCAGTAGCCAATGAAGGAACATCAATTCGATAAGACAAGGAGTCTCGCGTGAGCTTTGGGAGCGAGTATAACGAACACAGGTAGCTTAAAACGTGGTTTGGGGGGCGGGGGCGGTGGTGATACATCACACTCCCCGTGTATGTACGAAGCAGGCAATTGGCCGCACCAGGCCAGAGACGTCAGTGTAGTAACGTGTTATAACACCCATGCGAGACGGGCCATATCTGCCCCGCGTTAATGTTTTCGGGTCAAGCTAGCTTGTGAAAAAGACACTCCCATTTCGACGTTCCTGGTATACGGTATCATGTAAAAACTGCCATTACTAGACACCTATGAGACATCTCAGTATTATGCAGTTGCGAATCAAGCTTCGTCTAGCCATCGAGAAAGACTCTCGGACTTCGTCATCCTTGCGAAGGAGTGTCTGTCCTATTGTTATATCGATACTCGACAAATTCAGCGCGGTATTTTGTGCTGGCGGCTGTAATACCTCAATTTCTTGGATCAGGCCTCCGCTTAAAGATGATGCTGCACCAGTGAGAGAAAGCTTTGTGTTACACCTGTTGTCTGACACACCAAGGCGGTAATAAGGTACCAAAGCCTGCCTAGAGACGTCAAGGCTGCTCGGCCGGGACTTACCCCAAGGTGGGGGTTACACCGTGAAACAAGGGAAACGTTTTTTTCTTACAACGCCGTTCTCTCTTCACCGATTTTTCAGAGTTTACAGTTATATTATATCCTTGGGGCGCAGGTAGCTAATTGGGCGGTTAAAGAAAGAAACGCATCCAATCCATGGGTTTACTGAAAAGCCAGGTCATGGCGCCCAACAAGTGCCTATCAACTACAGTACATGATCCACCGAGTGACAGCTATGGGCTCTTGCCCATCGGGCATAAGCTGGTGGTTTTGATGAAGAGCTAATTCTCGAATAACTAGCAAGGAGCAGGGCCTTTTTGGTAGATGAAGGTCTTGATAAGCTACGGAACTCGTTCGTCATCGTGGTTGGCTGCGGAGGAGTTAGCTCAATGACTGAAATGTATAAGCCTACAAGGGATTCGTTTGTAGTGTCGCTTTCTTGTTTGCTCTCTTGCTTAAAGAAGTAAGTTGTCTAGAATCATCATTGAGCCCTGCAGGGAATCCATTCTTGGCGCAGGCGAACTACAGGACTGATATGCAGCCGCCTTGTTCGCCTCAGCTGTCCCCAGACCGGTGCAACATGGCGTTATACACTACCGGTAGCGGGAGTCAATTCCATTCAGCCTACTGCTAAGCATAAGTTACCCCGAGAAATCAGCCCCCCCACGCGCAACTTGCTGTAGTCACCCTCGGGTTATCGGATGAAGCGCGGCTCGCCAGTATTTGGCAGTTGGAGAGAGAGACATATGCTGGATTCTCACCACTATTCGTCTCCTTTTTGGCCCCCTTGTCCAAATCTCAATTATTTAGGCACCCCCTGACTACCTAGAAGTCTTATAGGCTAGCTGCTAACCCAAGCCGCCGCCTTGGAACAGGAATACGACTCGCTGCACCTCCCCTGACAGCCACATGATATACGCATGTCTCGATTGCCCATGAGACAAGGCGTATGCCACAAGCGGTCAATAACTGTCGGGGCGTGAGTTGTACATCGAAAATGTAAGGAGTGCGGAGTAGTCTGAAGGTTGGAAGTTATATGCTTGCTTCCTCCAACGGCAGGTTTTGGAGGTTCAATAAATCTCATTCTAGAGATTGAGCCAATGGGCTATTGATGTTTTATTCACCCCGCCGGCCCGGTCATGTAAACTTCTATCCCGGTATGACGAGCTGACGTGGGTTGTCTTAGACTGTTCTGAATCTAGTATCACAGACCATCCACTCCAATTACCTGGCGTCAGGCATGGGCTACGGCCCTGTCCTGCCTGTGCATACAGAGAGTCCTTGTTGGATTACACCATCTATGAGAAGAGAGAGTGCTTCACCGTAAGAAGAAGAAGAAGAAGAAGGGCGTCTCCCTACCACAGCTTGTTACTCCTCGCCTTTTGGTCCGCCACGTTTGGTGACCCCATCTTTGGGTAGGTATGGTCTTCCCTACCTAAGTATTGAGCATTACGGTGCCTCATGAGCCTCTGGGCAGATTCTTTTCAGAACGAGTGTTAATTAAAGGCCCAAGGTAGGAGAGCACTACTTTCCTTCCCACCCATTCGCTGCAGATTATTGATTGCGACTGGGTGTTCGATGCCGTTGGCATACCTGAACACCATTATCTTGCCTGCAATTCTTTTGCCATCGTACGTCACGCATATTTGCGTAAGTGATGCCTTCATTGTGAGAGAGTCCGTGGGAGCTGGTATACCTGGTAGTGACTTTATCTTACATCTGTCAAACTTTTCAGGTCACGGCAAAAATAACCTTCCGTGAAGGCTATAAATGCAGCCAGAGGCTACGTAACGCCACGAAAGTAAAGGAATTGCCCATCTTACTTGAGCCCTGACGCGATCGACCTATTTACGTACACCATGACCCACTAAACCCTTGCTTCGGTCCATCATCCATTGCCTGTCGATCAAACCCATCATCTGCGGGTTTGGGATCTGGGGCCTTGCCCACTTCCCCAATGTTAGTCTACTCTGTCGTCGCTTGGTGGGTGCTTATCGCCCTGGCACCCATGCAGTGCTAGCCTAAAAACCCATATTGGTCAAGCAGGGAACACTCAGCCAGCAAAAGATTTTCGAGAAAGCTTCGAGAAAGATTCTAAAAGCATGTTAGAAGGAATATGAAAATCCCCATACTTGTCTGAGACTCAAACCACTCAATTGCAGATGCTGCAATCCTATTGAACGCTGACATAATCTATTTCTGTGTTAAATAATCATCTATGGATGAAAGTGAAGTGGAATGAAGGTGGGAAATGGTTTGTGCCAGACTCTGGCTGGCATGCTATATTTAGTTCTTCCCCCCACCCAGGCGACATCACGTCCTCGAGGTATCCCACATTTGTGGTGCACTGCATCTGCTTTTCAGCACATGTTGATATAATGTGACAGAGGTCATTAGTGTACCGAAAGACGATCCTATAGAAAGGTGAAAAGATGAAAGGATTCATTCCCATGGTCTCATAGAGTTATCGCGTACTCGAGAACTGTATATACATCTGCCACCATCACTACCTAAGCTCCTCTCGATACATGAAGGGTTCTAGACTTCTTGCTACTTTGTTTTGAGCCCCAGATTACCTTGTTGATTTCTGGGAATAGCACAGAAAGTCTAGTCCCGCGACGCACTCCTGTCTTGGCGTATGTTGTCGCCATGGAGATTGGGTCCAGGCTCGATCCTATGTCGAGTGTTGCAAACCATGCTCCCATGTCAACTTTGGGTATAATGTCGACAAGAATAAGATTAGCTGAACATTAACAATGTTAGCTTGTATAAGTCTCTGCGGTGGGAAGCCTACCAACACTTCTACCCGTATGCATTCCTAGTATTGAACTACTTATTACTGCCTTGTGTGGCAGGGGTCTCCGATGGCGCAACGTTGACCTCGAACTTGCCTTGCGTGTCGGACTCAGGTTCAATTGAATCGATGTTATGCCACGGCGTATCTTTGGGGCCCTCTTGTAGCCAGTTCTTCATGTGCTCTGATAGGTGAGCAGGTTGCTGTTTCATGTCAGGCGAGGGATCTTCTCCACGGGGAACTTTGATGTAGTGAGGTTTTGGCATGATGAAGGGGTAATCTGTGATAATGTACTTGTGATGAGGTGCTTGGATTTGTCTATGAACTACAGACCTGGGATAATGAGGGGAAATGAGTTCTTTTATCTACTTACCTTGTCTTGGGACTACTGATGATTGATACAGCTTCTGTTCCTCTGAACGAGAAGGATATTGGAGATTCCGAGCTTCCCGGTATCCGCCCCGGATTTCGGGCCCACTTTAAACAGTCTACCATTCGTACCTGGATGACGGTGGTTCGCTGTCGCACATACCGCCGGGTCAGAGGAACAGCCTCAACATACACTTGATCTTTTTAGTTGGATAGCCTAAGGGCAGGCTGATAAAGAGATCGTCTGTGTCAAGAGACAGCCTGCGTTAGAGAAGGAGAGTAGCCTCAGGGTCGACCAGAACCCCATGCAGACTAATACGCGGCAAAACGTGGGCTTCATTCACCTTGATATCAGCTTGGGTTATGCAGGTGCCCAAAGACCCCTCTCATGCAGCGCATTCAAGTATTTCAGATAGCCACATTGGGTCAATAGAGTGGAAGCGAAGCCCAAGCCCATGATCAACACCACAAAGGCGTTCCGCGTTACGGTCTGTGCTAAATTTGATCTGCAGTCTTATTTCTATAGCCGAAACATGGCAAGGTGCTTGGTGACTCAGCGAAAGAAACATGATGGCCCTGCGCCGCGAAAACACAACCCCAAGATGGAGAAATGAAACGAGGTCCTTCGTAAACATGTGCATGGAGTGATGAGAAGCGGTCCTACCTGTGAGGAATGATACTACACCGTGTTATTCGATTGGCTGAAAATGCTGGTTGTCGGCCATGAATGGCTTAGTAGTGGGAGATGGTCCAGTCGTGGATCCACTTCCCAAGACTGATAGCACCAAAGACGCTTGGGTAGGATCCTAAGTTAGTTCTTGAGTGAGTTTCCAGTGGGCATGCAATGATTTCGAGCTTCGGAATCAGTCACTTTGGGGTAAAGTAAAACGCTGCCATGCCCAACTTTTCGCTTAGTTCTGTCTGCTTTGCCCAACTTTCGCGTTCGGATCCTTCCTGTACTCGGCACAATGCCTGCCTTCTTTGGCCTTGCCATGTTATCCTGCCTCCATTCTAGAAGGTAGTAGAGATGATTCGTCGAATTGAGGGGTTTGGCCGCAAACCAAAGCACTAAAGATAGAATTAAGCAGAGCCTTGGGTCTCGAGTTTATCCTGCGGTTCCAAATATGGCAAAACTAATGATTTATCAGGGGCTTCTGGCGTGGAATGGGCAAACACAACGCCACGACAACATTCAGACGCGTAAAACTGGTTCCATTGACTCCATTAATAACGTATACTATCATTCACCGGCCTCAATATTCCTTGTATCCATTGGCATCCAGACGACCATCACGTCGCCCTCACTTCTCCTCCTTTGGCGTCGTGTCCTTGTTATCCTTCTCTCCATGTCTACCATCTCCCCAGAACTTCTTATCAACCTTGTCATCAGGCGCAATATTCCCCCGATCATGCTTCTTATCAAAGTCCCGGTTGTGCTCCTCAACCTCTTTCTTCTGCTCCTCCGTCAACTCATCAGTCTGATTCCCCGGAATACTCTGGTTCGACACTTTAGGCTGAGGAGGTGCATTCTTAGAGCTCGCGTCGAGGGCTTCACCACCACCTGTGCGTCCTTTGGCCTCGCCATCTACGAGACCGTCGATGAAACTTCCGTTGCTGTCTTTGCCTTGGTCTTGATGCATAATGCGGGCGGCGTGGAAGGGACGGATGGGGACGCGCGGGGCGAGGCGGGTTGATGGGCGGAGAGTGGTTAGGAAGCGCATTTTGACGTTTGTTGAATGTATTGTTTGGTTATTTGAAGAGTTTGAGTTAGTTTGGTTGATGGTTTGTTTGTTGCAAGTTGGGCTTGGGAGCTTGGAGGAAGCTCAAGTTAAGCTTCTCTACGAGATGGTGACGTCAAGAAGAATGACATCACAACGCATGCTTGAGAAACGAAAATCACAAGCCGCATTAAGCCGAGATCAAAGGGGATGGCGACATATTAATTGTGACACAGAATGAATTGGTGGCGTATTATCTGAAGAGGTACGGAGTACAAGTGTATTGTTTGACGTCGCATCAACGCTGTGGTTCATTGAAGCTCCACAAGCCCACATCCCCAGATTTTCGTATCGCGACCTTGAGACCAAGAAAGAGAGCAAGAGATCCCAGCCATGACAATCCGCAGCAAAAAGCCGATAAATAAATTCCAAGTTGCAATCTTGCTTTGTAATTGTTGATATAACTATAAATAAGTATTGTTAGCTTGAATTTTTAGACGCGATGCTGAGATTCCTGACGGCGAATGAATTTTGAGGCGAAAGATGCACATGCGTTATGAGTATTACTCTGAAGCTGTCCCAATACTCAAGTTTTTTTTATTTTAATCTACTATATCAACCACATTTAACATACATATATAAAAATGCACATGGGCATTTCGCCGCAAAGTTATTGGGAAGTTTTGTTGTTTTAAAATGGCAATGGAATAAGGTATCTCTAGGCTCTATACTACATGAAGGACTAACATTGGACCAAGTCTTTATATACCACCCCAAACTCCCAGACTACAACAAGTTTCCCGAACAAATTATTCCGATGCAAGTACTTTCAAAAGTTTCCCCCATCTTAAAACCAATTCAAAGCCACTTATCCATAACGCGGGGGCTCAGTATCATAGTGCCCAACCCCTCTAGTCGGCTCATACCGGGTATTCAACTCAACATCACTGTCGCTTCGATCGTCCAGCAACTGCTTTCCTTTTCGCCCCCGAATCTTGTTCTTGATAAACGAGAACAGCCCAGGTATATCAGATTTGGGACCAGTCATGATCCTTCCCGGATGAATGGCATTGAACGCCAACAGCGCCAAAAACATAGGTGCTGCTTCAAGAATGTAAAAGTACACCTCGTGGGTGACGAGAGCATTGTCTTGGCCCATTCCGCCAGAGAACTCAATGAGTCGGTAGATAATGCGCACAGAGATCATGGCTAGTGAGAAGTATAGCGTGCAGAGAAGCATGCCCCAGTCTGAGGTAACAAAGGCTTTGATGCCCTGGTGCTGGTGCTCAATCGTGTGCATCTTCTTCTGGAAGAGGAAGCAGAGGACGACAAAGATGACGATGAAAAATTCTTGGAGACCAATGCCGCCCATGTAGATATGGATGGCTTTCATCTGCTCGTCAGGTGGTGAACCAGGTCCAGACATACTGCCGCCAATGAGTTGGACGATGAATGAGAGGATATCGAGACCGACGAAAATGGCAGCGAGAGTAGCAGCCGGCATGCGGAGCAGGGACTGAGATGGTATGAAGTAGTAGACCATTCGGCCGAGAGTCATGTATGCGTACGCATTAACCCCTGCCGTTGTTAGTAATGCGATGGAGAAGCAGTAGGTTTGACATACAAATTGGCGCGAGCAGAATGAAGATGTTAAACGTCAAGAGTACACCTGTACTCTGTTGATGCTTCGTGCTTATCGCTCTGAAGGTGAACGCCATCGTCTCCCAGATCCCCGCCATGATAACAACCCAACACCATGTCTGCACCAGTCAGCTTATTACATCCAAAACCAGCACATAACAAAAGTAAAACGTACGGAACTTTTTGTACCGAGCGGCTTGCCATATATGCACACCAGTCAATGCCGCGAAGAGCAAAGCGAATACCACAGCAGCTGCAAAGCTGGGATAGTAGTTCCAGTGGGCGTTACATGTTCCTGGGGGAAGATATCCGTTCTCATCAGGCTCAAGAGTTTGGACACATGTTGGGACAACAATTGAGATTGTTTTGGCAGGAATGGTAACATATTTATCTGTTGTACCCCCAATAGTAGCGATGTTTTTCGTAGTGGTGAACCATCCCTCTGGCGCAGCTGTTTCTGTCGCAGTAGCACGAGCTACAAGGGTAACATCGTGGGATTGTGTCTGTGCAGGGATCGCTGATGCTATAGTAGATCCCGAAAGGAGATAGAGAATAAGAGCTCCAAGATTAGAATGCATATTGAATGTTGATACTGAGATTGATACAGCTCCATGATGAGATGGGATTTGGGGGCCTTATAAGTATATTTTCTGTTTCTATAATTGAGGTTGTTTGCAACGCCTCATTGAGTCCGACATTGCAATGCGAGATGGATGGCATACTCGCCAAACACTGCGTAGTCAAATGCGAGCTGGCCAATCGCGTAATTCGATTGGAAACCAGGATCCGTTCCTCAGCCTTAAGGAGATGTTGACTAGACTGTATTTGGCTAGCTCACAGGGGCTGTCTTGCAAAGTGGTTTCAATAAAAGGCTAAATCTATTTCGAGAAGTGTAAATAGCCAAAAGGGCATCTAGATGTGAGAATCATACTTCTGTCAAAAGGAATCTAGCTAAGACGAGGTGATAGGTGCTTGAAATACCTGAGGAGAGAGAAATACTGAGCTGAAAAATGTACCTACCAGCTAAGTTGCCATTCCGATGTCGGACATCGGCGTATCTATCATCCGGCGGGGCATGTCTTGGTGGGGTGGTTCTTCTTCCCTGCATGACATCTCCATGATTTTCTCCAACAGCGATAACAACGCAACCACCGAGAACTGTTGTTCTGATCTTTGACATGGCCATCACCATCATTCTTGGCTCCCAATGGGGTATGTACGCGTTGCTACAGCTTTACCTTGCTAAGCGGACTCTGCCACTTCAAGATTCCGCAGGCAATGGCGTTGATGTTTCTTAATGCGCTAATACTTCGCGTTTAACAGGAGATGAGGGCGTACGTCTTTCCGATACAATTGAGAGACAAATGGGAGATCAAATACTGACATTTTTATGGTATAGAAAGGAAAGCTGACCGATATCCTTGCCCCGGAGGCCAAACTTTGCGCGCGCGCCGCTGTGAGTCATAGCACAATCGACCAAGGCGAACATTTATTAAAACAATACTAGGGAGGCCATAACGCAGGGCACTCTATTGTGTGAGTTGGACATGTCTTTGGGCGAAACCCGTCTTTTATCAATGGATAATTAACTCCAGCAGTGCCGATGGAGTTTCGTACAGGTAACAAACAGACGTTCAAGCCACGAGTTCTTCGACGACTGATCGACTGCTAGCTTCCACTTGCTTCCTTCCGGACTCATCAACCCGAAATGGTACTATCCACCCCTTACCTGAAACGCAGCCGAAGATCGAGTCAATTGACAAATAATAGCATGAACTTCATCGGTTCCGGAGTTGTCTTCAACGTGCCGCAATTCTTCAAGGAGCTGGAGGCTCTATCGGAAAAGGGGCTTGAGGCGGTTCACGATAGAATTCGTGTTTCTGACCGAGTGCACATCGACCTACAGCTCCACATCGCCGCTGATGGACTTGAGGAGCAGGAGCTCGGAGGTTAGTTCCAGGTCTTGTTGCGCATGCAATTGAACACGGCTAATAATGTCTAGAGGGCAAGATTGGAACAACTGGACGCGGTTTGTTTGAGCAAATGTCTTCATAGATGACTTCGTATTGACCTTTTCAGGTATCGGACCCTCTTATAGCTGCAAAGCTGCGGTATGACGACACCTGAGATTACGTTGTGGAAGCTTGCTAAATCCCAATAGCGAAGTGGCATTAGACTGGCTGATGTCTTCAACCCCAAGCTATTCGAGCAGAAGCTTCGACGTCTGGCCGACGGCTACCGAAAGCGCTATGGAGATCTCTTCAAGTACGACGTCGAAGAGGAGCTTGCTCAATTCGAGGAGTACCGAGAGAAGCTGCGCAAGTACTCTGTTGATGGAGTGTCCTTTATGAAGACTGCGCAAAAGAGCAACACTCCCATTCTGATCGAGGGAGCGAATGTGAGAATTTTGGTCTGAGTTTGTTGATGCAGTGCTGATTCCGTTTATTCAGGCTCTCATGCTCGATCTTGACTATGGTTCATATCCTGTGAGTTTTCATAACCCAAACTCTCATGCCGACCACAGCTGACAAAGCAGTACGTAACATCGTCCAACACTTCGCTCGCCGGTATTATCGGCGGACTTACCTTGGATCCCACCAAGATCACCGATATCATCGGAGTCGTCAAGGCTTACACGACAAGAGTGGGCTCGGGAGCTTTCAAGACCGAAGACTTGGGAGAGTGAGTACTCGCTTGTCTATTAATGCGAATATGAGGCTGATTTAATGCAGGGTCGGAACCAAGCTCCAAGAAATTGGAAGAGAATGGGTGAGACACTATCAAAACTTTATTGAATCATTTGATCTAACGTGCCAAGGGAACATCCACTGGCCGCAGACGTCGATGCGGATGGTAAGTAGGACCACGTTCATTCAGAGACTCGCTAACACCACGTAGGCTCGATTTGGTGGTTCTGAAGTACTCAAATGACATCAACAACTACACTGCTCTGAACTTGACCAAGGCAAGCACTTGCGTTATATCAGCTGTTCGTCACGATACTAACCGACGTCCTTTAGCTCGATGTTCTCGACACCTTTGAGACAATCCGCGTCGCAACAGCCTACAAGATCGATGGCAAGGTAAGCATTCTACACTTTTCTCCTCATGGCGAGGCACTAATGTTATTGCAGGAAATCGATTCATACCCAGCTGATCTGGACATCTTGGATCAATGCGAGGTCGTGTACAAGGATTTCCCAGGATGGCAAACACCTACGACAAATGCCAAGTCCTTCGAGGAGCTACCTAAAGAAGCGCGTGCATACGTTGAGGTACAGTGACCACTGTTTTAAAGACTGACTTGTACTGACGAACTATATAGTTCATTGAGGAATATGTCGGAGTCAAGGTATGGTGCCCGGATATGGGGAAAGACAATTTACTAACGTACATCTTCTAGGTGAAGTACATTGGCACCGGTCCTGATCGTGAGGCAATGATCAAGCGCGCTTAGAGATCTATCGAGGTTAGAATGAAAAGGGCCACTTTTGGCAGCAATGCATTATTCTATCTAAAATCAGGGATCTATAACAATATCCCTATCAACGCAGATTCGCTTACATCCAAAAAGTCTGCCCGCTATCCAAGACCAAGTGCTTGTTCCTAACATAGTCCTTCCTATATATCACACCGCCCTCGGGATGTGCCATTAGGAAATACACCGTCTCGGCATTCTTATCCCACATGATCGCCTCTGCCTCCGGACTCTCCCTGAAGAAGAACCCTTTTACTCTGTTCTCATCGGGCGGTAATATCCCATCATTTAGATCGTAATCGCCACACAGATCAATGCCGTGCTCAACCTCGATGATCCGCCGTGACACGTTGTACATCAGCGCTGCATCCCATAGTGCTTCTTGCTGACTTGACAGCCGGCGCATGAGGGATAGTGCTTCGACCCGAAGAGACAGGTACCGGCATTTCCATACTGTGAAATGAAGCATGGGGTTGAATCCAACGTTAAACATGAACTTCCCCGGTGTCGTACGTTGAGCCTCATGGTACTCTGCTGCTCTCCGAGCACAGTCCACAATCGTGACAAAATCCTCCTTCATCAAATCATACCCCATCTCTCCCCTCTCAAAACAATTCATAATCCATATCCTCATAAGTCTATATCTCGTAATAAGCGCCAACGTCGGTAAATCCTCCCTCTCCTCCCCAAAAGCCCGAAATCTCTCAAACGCGAACCCCCACGCCTCAAGATCCTGCTTCGCCTCCGCCTGTTCATCAAGAACCCACTCCTGCGGCGCGTCATCAACGACATGTAGCCGGAACGCATTGCCATCGCGAACAAGCTTTATGATCCTTATACTTAGATGCTCCAAGGCGTGCTGTGCTTCGCTTATGGTGTAGAACACGGGGTTCTTTAGATCTGCGCCCTCGTCGCCTTGGAGGAGGGGGAAGTCGGTGCCTACTTCGATGAAGAAGAGTGGAAATACGCTCATTTGCGCAAAGGTGTTTGCGAGGCGGGATTTATGACCTTCGGAGTTGAGAAGGTGCACGCCGTGGCTGGCGTGTGTAATTGCGGCTTCACGATTGCCGCGGAGAAACTCAATGCATATGAACATCATACAGACCAACAAGACGGTCTCAACACACGGTTTTGTATCACGCGTGAGAATACTTATTGCTTTGTTATAGTGCATGATCGCAAACTCATCAGCCACACTCTCCTTCGTGGGCTCAAAACTTTCGAAGAGCGAACTTATGGCAAATACAGCATGACGCGCTGCTGGTTCAGACTGCGCCATTTGAACGACGAAATACGTCCAGAACGATCCATCGAAGGGACCAGAGAGCACGGGCGCGACCACGTGATGAAAGAATGATAAGCTGCGGACTTCTTTTGTGTTGGTCACAGGTAAAGCCTGAGGTTTGATGCGTAGAAGAGAAGTCCATGAGAATGAACCGGGGGGTGGAGCGATATAGCCTGTGCATGTGCGCCCTGTTGTCAGGCAACGTTTGCAGCGCGGCCACGTCTCATCGCATTTCACTTTGCGGGCTCTGAAATGAGAGTTAAACTTATAGAATGTGTTTGGTTGGAGAGTTACGTACTTGCATGTTTTACAGCCTGTTCTGACTTTTTGTATTCCCGTGCGAGCCATTTATGATTGAATGGGAATTTGGAGGAGGGAGGGTGAAGGGGGATGCGATGGTAAATATGTAGAGGAAAAGTTGGGCGTTGGTGTTGAAGGATTGAGGCGTAGTTCATTACGGTAGGTAACTAACAGTGCGGGGATAATGCAGGGGTATTCCCCTTCCAGCATTGAACCAATAGCAACCCCCGTGACTTCATCTACTCACAAGCTAAAGAACTATACATATTCCCATGCCCAGATAAATACCCCTTCCTATAATCCTCCCCCTCATCTTCCCCCTGCCTCGCAACTCTATCTTCAATAGCCCACGCGATCCTCTCCGCACCGACCTGCGCACCGCCTAGATTCGGCGCCGCAGGGCCGAGACGCAGTGCAGCGAGTCTTCCCATCATGAAGAGCGGGACATCATCGTTCCACATTAGATCGTTGTTGATACAGGGAAAGCCACCGCGCCCTTCGATGGGGTACTTCTCTAGAATTGTTTGGAGGTAGGGAAGCGAGGAGAAGTCTGTTTGGATGCCGGTTGCGAAGTACATGTAGTCCATGGCTGGCATGTCAACGGGTGGATTGGTCTGAACGCTCCATGTACCCTTCTCAGCGTCGAATTGCGCATCGGCGAGACTGGTCTCGGTGAAGAGTTCGAGTTTCTTGGTGAGGAGATGTTTCTTGAGTCGTTTGTGGAATACAGGCGTGATGCTTCCTCCACCTCTCGCCTCCTTGATCATCTCGATCCTCTCATCGTCTGAATCAGCGTAGTAGAACTGCGCTTGCTTCGCATTCTTAAACTTGCCCATCCACTCGAGACCAACGTCGAAATGCTTGATGCGAAGTGGTCCACGCATGACATGCCAGACCTTGGAGACGCCCTTTCGAATAGCAAGATCCGTTAATTGCGCAGATGTGAGGCCACCGCCCACGACAAGAATGTTTGTTGTTTTCTTCGCAGCGATTCGAGCTTTGACGATAGGGTCTGGGAACTCGGTGATGTGCATGCTGTGACATGTCTGAGGGAGCTCATCGGGCATAGAAGGGATGCGGGGGATTTTGGCAACGTTTGCTGGACCGACTGCTAACACGACTGTGCGAGCATATCGACGAGTTTTGTTAGATGTGACGGTGAAGAGTTTCTCGCCGTCAATGGAAATACCCTTTACTTCATCGTAGTCCAGATGCTGAAGGGATTCTTTGCGGATCATGTTTGAGCTGAGATTATACCGCGCTGCTACTTTTTCGCAGTGGTCGCAGAAGAGAGATGTTGAGGGGTTGTAGTAGTCATTGCGCTCTCTGACGTTGATGTCGACACGAGCTTCTTGTCTACTCACGTCAGTAGGATGTTCAGTGAGGGAGTACAAGGGAGGTTACCTTCGACCACAAGCTCGCTGTCCACTCTTCTTCCTCCCATGTTTACTAACCTCCTTACCAACACAATTCCTAATCTCGACCAGTTCATCCGCTCTATCATTAGCGTACGCATGCGCCAGCAGCGCATCCCGATCAAGCGGATCAACATGCCAGAGCATCGGACTTCTCAAATGCGAGATATCATACATCTTGAACAGCCTGTTCCAACGGCCCATCCACGTATCGCTATCTGCATCAAGAACCAACATTTTGTACTGCGGTTTTGCAGCGTGCTTGGGAGGGGAGATTTTACCGCTGCGGACGTGCTTGAGGGGCATTTTGTTGCCGTACTTGGAGATCCAGTGGAAGCGACGGTGTTCTTCGTCGGTGAAGAGGGCGGCGGGGGTGTGTTCGTGCAGACGGGCTGAGATGGCGAGACCGCAGGGGCCGGCGCCTATGACGAGGACGTCGTAGATGTCTTCTTCTACTTGGATTGAGGACATGGTGATGGCGGTAGAGGTGTGAGTTAGGTCAGGGGTTAGGTCTGGGGAAGATGTTGGTTTATATGGTGGCAGGTTCAGCCCTCATGGAGTATCTCATGAGAATTGAGAACCCTTGTGGTTATTTTGGAGCTTATCTTGTGTATAGCTTCTGTAATTTGTGGTGTTGAGGACGTACCCTGATGGACATTGCATCATGAGGACATCAAGGTCCCTCGTGTAAGTCAGGGTCCACTAGCTCATCATGACAACCCCAGACTCTAATAAGATTCAACACCTACTCATGATGATTCATGTGGACGCCAATAACGAAGCCATGTTGAGGGGTTCACGAAGTTAATGTCAGAAGAATGCTCACGCGACTTGGCGCCATGGCAGACTTGGCATCAAATGTCAATGAGGGGAACTGGATACTCACAATTTACACTGAGTTCTAAAAAGGTTTGATCACGAGTATGTCTATTGTTTCTATGTACTCATCAATCTATCGTTTCACATCGCTTATGCCTACCTAGGTATGCTCAACCTCATCCTATCTCACCATAAATGTGAAGGCATCTCACCCGCCAAGTCCACAACCAAGCCGATTCGCAATCTATGCCATAAGCCAAGCTCACCCCGACACCACATATCTTACACCTATATCATACAAATCCCCTTCTCCCCCTCTCATCCTAACTCACCTCCTAATGATTCCACTCCGAATCAAGCGCATGCCCCAAAGGTCCACTCGCCGCATAATCCGTCGTCACAAACGCCCTATCCACAACCCCCAACCCCTCCGCACAATACTGCAACGTCTCCGCGATGTCGTGCGATCTATTCAACGGCGTCTTCTCATCCAGCAACACGTCGAACTCAACCCAGACGCCATCTCCCGCATGATACGCCGTGACGTTCTTGAAACCAGCTACTACTGGCGCGAAGCGATAGGCCAGGTAGATTAGCTTCTTGAGCGTGTGGTCGTCTGCTGCTTCGCCTGAGAGCCGGACAACGTTCTCGAAACATGTGTGTCCCCAGTCGTAGATGATGAAGAGAGATAGGAGTCCTGCGCCGACGGGGTCGAGCCACCAGACATTTGCGCGGTATCCGATCAGTGGAAAGAGAAGAGAGAGCGTGTTGAAGATAACATCCGTTTTGCAGTCCTGCACAAGGGCTTGGACCTGACTTGTCTTGATAGGTCGACATCCCAGCCCAATAGCTCCCTTGAGAATAATCGTCGCTAGCAGAGATGCAATAGCAGCCCAGCTCAGAATCTCGGCCTCGGAGTGCTTCAGCAATCTCGAGAACGACTCCTGCAGAATCTGCAGAAACGAAATGACCATGATGATCGAAAACACAAGAATACCTAGTGGCTCCAAACGTCTTCGTCCAACTGGAAAGCGTCGCTGCATCGCTTGCAACCGCCACAGAACAAGCCTACTCGTCGACCACACGATGAGCGTACACAGTAAGTCCAGCGCTGAATCTACAAGCGACGCAACGAGCGATAGCGACCCCGTCGTGAACACAGCAAAGGTCTTTCCCGCTAGAAGCAAGATATTGGCTATCACGTTAATATTTATAGCCAAATTCGCCTTTCTCGCAGCTTTTCTTCTTTTCTCCTTCTCCTCCTCAGGTAATAACTCTCCAATCCTGCCCTCCACACGCTGAATCCCTCCACACCTCTCCTGGTCCCCATCATGGTCCGGATCAGGATTCATGCTCTCCAGCACATCATCCGCTATCGCCATCACCACAGCGTCGACCTCGAGCCAATCATTAAGTCGCTCGTTCTGCTGCTCGTAGAAAGCACGGAGTTTTTTATTCTTCATCGCTTTGAGCTCCTCTTCTGATTTTCTGTATTTCTCGAGCCCTTGACGATCGATGCCGTGGAGGAGTGCGCGCTTGATCTCACCGCGACGAGCATCCTCGAGAGCTGTGCGCGCTGCATCTTGGAATTGCATTATTCGGGGCTTGGGACGGGATTTCTTGTTGGGGTCGTAGTATGAGTATCGGCCTGTTTCGAGATCGCGAGGGTGTTCATCGTGGTTTGCTTCTTCGCCGACGTGACGGCCTCGATGGCGAGCGCCTTCATTATTCCACTGACGTTTTCCCACCATTTTGAAGACCACTGAAAGAAACTAAAGGCATGAAAAGATGATACAAAGGTATAGAAGGTGTTGGTGAGACAGGAGCTGCTTTTTGTTTATTCCCGGGCTGAGAGCTATACCCTTGTCCAACGTGTAACACGACATGACGTAGGTGACGTAAAAATCCGGGGTTTCAGGAGACACGCGAACGGGGACAGGTTCAGAAACGAGAGAGATCCACTGAATCGGAGAAATAACAAGGAAATAGTTGCGTTTCTTTTTCTATTTTTATGTTTCCTCAACTTGTTTTTGTTTGCGACAGTTTTTTATTGTGGAAATCGTTACTTTCAACGCGTATCCTTCTGTGCCGTTTGTCCCGATGTCTAGGTATCTCGTCGTCATGGGCAAGCCTGTTACGCCATGATAATTAGGTTTGATCTCGATTTACGGATATACGGCCTTTTTTAATCAGACAGAAGACGGATGAACTCCGTTTATATGCGCCTCAGCTGAATGTCACGTCGACATCATAAAACTTCTTCAGGTCTTCAGCTCTTGATATAACTGAAAGAGAGGATTTCGGTTATACAGCTCTTTTCTTGACTTGTCGCGATGGGCGGCTGCCTGCGGTGCAGTATCTGCTTTCCCCAAGACGTTCTGATCTTAACACCGGAATCTATTATGGCTCTACGGCGCTGTCATCTGCAATAGCTAATGGGCACTGCAAAGTCGGAGAACTTCTCATCGCTGCTACTAGTGCCCAAGAACAATTACATGTAGGCCGCAGTCTATTGTGGTGGGTAACCCGTGCTGGTAAACCCCAGATGTCCAACTAACTAAGCACCCGTGCTTCGAATGCGTGCTTGATGATAACATAGCAGGCTATGGCAATGCCTTGGGTGTCTGTCTTCAGTTGATCCCAAATGGACCACATTTACCCAATCAACTGAATGCTGGAGGTTGCTGACCTAGTTCTATCGTTCCTCATACCTGAAGCCCCTCTCATTTCCCCCTTCTGCCGTCTGTTATTGCCACAAGTGTATAATCATCCATCGTTAAGCTTGACCTACCCCATGTTTGGTCCTGGGGTAATAGACCACGCCTGTCCTTTGAACAGCAGACCCCCATCTTGCCTGAGTTTCTCTGGGTCAGTATACACACACAGGCCAATCCCGTCGCTATTGAGCTGGAACACGCGGAAGACTATGTAAATCTCCGAATGGTCTTCGGTGTGGTGAACTTGTTGCATCTGTATAAAGTCAGCCCGTGATCAGAACAATTGTCCTCCAAACGCTTACCAGCTGGTATTGCTTTCCGCTCATGTAGAATGCGGTACTACATGGCCCAGTCGTAGTCTTGACTTCTATGTAATATTTAGGCCGCGCTCCAAGCCACTCATCATGGTCGAGATAGCCACAACCGATCAGCGTATTTGTCAAGTGTCCTTCAGCATCGACATAGACTAGGTCGGCGGTTTCCCTACCTCTCCAAGCCTGTAGATCCGTGTAGTCTGGGTGAATAGTCACATACGATCTGATCGTACTTTGCCAATTCGAACGGTTCCAATTTGGCAAGTCAAGACATGACAGAAGCTCGAATACCTATACGAATATGTCAGTTAACCTCGAAAGCCTACGATGTACTCGTGAGGTTGCTCACATATAACTCGCCTGCAGCGCCAACCTTCTTGTCGCGCTCTAGCTGATTGGTTGACCGAAATTGGCCCATGACCTCCAGCCCATCAAAACTCTGGTAAGCGTCCATATCACCTCCAGGTAGAGCGTTCCGCATATGGGTCATATCAAATGACCCTCTGGATGGGAATGCCGCATTCCGGGCTTTTTCGATGACCCTGTCCAGGATTGAGCGATATCTAGCGTCTTCGGAAGACTGCTGTTCAGAAGGCGAGGTCATCACCGAAATTGGGTTTGAAGGAGCATGGTCGGTTGTGTGGTGTAATGGCTGTGGTGAGCTAGGAGACAAGTCTGACTGAGAAGAGCGATGTACCCTTCCTGAATGAGACTGATATGACATATGGCTTCGCTGGGAGATGGTCTCCTCGACGAGTGTTTCCTGAAGGTTTCCCTCTGGCGAAGTTCCAGAGGATCCAGTATAAGGTGGCGTGGCAGCATTTATAGAAGAACGATCGGGTGTTAGTTGTTCTGGAGAGGTATCATCGGTTTCGAGGCGACTGTCTGATAGTCGTTGTTCTTGGCTTTCTTCCTCTTGATCTTCCAACTGGTGCTCTTCTGCCTCGTCACTGTTGTCTTCTTCATCCTCGTTATCAAACGGCACTGTTAAGATTCCCTGGTCGTCGAGGACATCATCAAGGACGAATCTTTCACTTGCAAAGACTGCAGTCAAGATTTTAACTATGTCCGTTTCGACTGGTACATCGCCGGGGCTCTTCTGCGAGCGCATTAGCCATGCCGCGAATTTCCTAGGAAGGACTGAACCGAAGCAGAACTCTTGGGCTCTGCGCTCTTTTGGGACATAAATCGTGAGGTTTCCTGTCGAATCTTCGATATGCTCGTTGGCGGTTGCTACTGGAATCTCGAACGACTGTTGGTTTTGGAAGATTCTTAACACAGATGATATTTTCTCAACCTCCACGACTCTCATTGTGCGAAGCTGCTCATAGAGACCGAGCGGGTTGTCCTCAAATCGAGGGCTATTGAAAGTAGAAGCGACACTACGGGATAAGCCGTTATTAGTATCTCGAGACAAATAAATAATAGAAAGAAATGCACCCCCTTTCAGTACGTACCGAGCAATATGGTAAGCTTTGCGTTTGAGATCTCGGTTAGGCGTAGAAATCGGACGCTCTGAGTCACTGCAGATGAAAGTACTTTCTTCCACAGAGTTAGACAAGTAGCGATCTTGGAGTCTCAGCCATTCGATCAATGGTCTAAGGCGACGGACTTCATCCATCTCAAAGTCCAAAAGAGCAACCTTGTCACGAAACATCATCTTCAACTTGTCTCGATCTCCAATAGCAAAGTCAACGCTCACAGAGCTCAAAACGACAGTGCCAGTTGGGTATCTAACCGGAAAGACTTTGGCTTGTCTGATCGGCTTTGGATCGAGTCGTGTCGTTTCCGTTTGTAGAAGACCATTGAGGGACAGAACGGCCACTTTGGTCTCTTCCGTATTTTTCCCTGATGATTGTCGCAGTTCATCGTAGACCATCTGCAAGGTGAGCAGCTTCACACCTAGTTTGCCAACAAAGAAGTTCTCATAAGCCTCCCAACATCCATCTAGGACGGCTTTACCGCGGATAACTGTTTCACTAGACCACAGACAATCTGAGGTCTTATACCAACCGGACTCACCATGTCGCGTTTCACAATAGATGAGGGGGGACGCCTCAAATGCAGCTCTGTTCTCATATTAGCCTCATGTAGGAAACGATCCTTCCCATCTGAAACTAGCTGTTAACGTACTTTAAACTCGGCAAAGGTATTTTTGCCCTGTGTAAGTAATCATAGATTGTCCGCATGCGAGGTATTTCCTTGCAACCCTTCTCCCGGAGTTTGGTCAGCTCGGTTACCAGGTTAGCCAACGACGCATCCGGAATTTGAAGTGTTCCCTTGAATAGGCTCTCGATGTTCCTAAATTTCTCATTATCCACCCTTTCCATGTAGGAAGACCTGAGAGAGTGAAACATGACCATATCTGGTGGTGCGGTCCATAAACAGAGCCGAGATGTCGTCCACATAGGATTATTCTGATTAGGGTCGAGGACACCTCCTTTGTCAAAGAATTGCCTAATAACAGATCAATTATAAGTTTGCATCTGCGAATAAAAGTGATACTCACGTAATCTTGAGTCTCGTGTCTGGTCCATCACTAGTAACCGCAAGCCTGGCGTATATGGCAATGTACAAGTCGAACACCTTTTGTGTTTGACTATCGGAAGGCCGTTCGGGGCATGAGAGCTGAATATACTGAAGTATTTGGAGTAGGAAATCCATGCTGTCGTCTTTGCTGACTGAGAAGTAGTCACTCAGAAAATGCCATTTTGATCCAACGGTTATGTCTGATTCCTCGAGTTTGAGAAAGGGAAATTGCTTAGGATGTTCCATGTAACGGTCGACAGAGTGTCTCAAATATTTCAGTGGAAGCCAGGCTTGCTTCAGCATAAGTGAATAGTCAACGTTGCAGAGTTTCTGAGCAGGCAGATCCTCAATCTTTGATCGGAGAGCGCGATTTGTCACCAAACTTGATTTCTCGTGTAACCAGAGATGCTCAAATAGCCCCAAGAATTTCTCTGGGCGGTGCTCAAAGACATACAAAAAGATATCCGATAAACCGCGTTTATCTCGTGATATGAGTCTCAACCGTTTACGTACACCGATCAAGTCGCAGAGCCACGTCTCCCAGCTTGGGTGGAATAGGTTTGGCTTGTCTGGGGCGCTTTCCATATGTTTCGAGTGTAAGAAAATCACGGATAAGTCTGGCAAGGCGCCTTCGTTGGCTAAAAGGCTTGCAGGACTGTACGCATGCTCCGTTCCAGGGAGATATATATCCGTCTCATGCGGGTTGTCTCGCTTCCAAGCACTAGTGCCGACATGAACTTTCGTGTATTCTTTCAGTCCGTGTTTCCCGATCTGGTGCGTCAGATAAAGGAAGCTCAAATACTCATTTATGACTTCAAACGACATGGACTTCTTCGTTTGGAACGATCTGAGGATCGATGCTCTCACGTCTTCGTATGTGGCCTGACAGACTCCTAGGTGTTGGAATAAGGTGCTTCTATCCGAGTTACTAGATGCGTGAACAGTGATAACGTTGAGGTCTAAGGAGTTGGGGATGTCGATATCTCCCGTCTTTGGAAAATACACTGGTCCAGATGTAGTCGATGTCCACGTTCCGGATCTCAGAGGGAGCAAAGGCAACGACTTCAGTCTCTGTTGTATAGATAGAGAATTCTTGAGATGTTCGGAAAGCAGGCGTGCTACAGCTGAGTGCCATTCATCGGTCGTGTTTTCTCCGTGAAACCTGGAGTTGGGACTGCGGACGTCGGTTTCCAGTAAGTTGAGAAATGTTTGGATGTTGAGTACTTCTAGTCCGTAGCCTTTAAGAATGTCCTTTGCCATTTGGGAATAACTGGGCGAAAGATAAAGATCTTTAGTCGGGTCGTCAAACAAAGGATGCCCTTCCGCATCCTGGGCATCGCCGGCGAGAATGACAACATCCCCTACCAGGCGCAAGTCGATTCGATTGCGGGATTTCAGAACTGGTGTTTTCTTCATCAAGCTTTGTATCTCGTGATTAAGGCCTGACCAGAATGCATCGGAACTGGTATCTGAGGAGGACGGGAGGAACATAGGCCAGCTGTAGCAGAGTGTAGGATGCTGGCAGAACTGCAGAATTGCCTGAAAGAACGCAGACGCAATCCAACCGCGAAGTTCGAGATTTCTCCGCGATGTGGTAATGATATCTTGTCGATTGGCGTTCGTATCAAAATCAGAGTGAATTAAAAACTTGAGCAGAGTCAGTTATGTTTTGCATGCGATGATAGACGAAGCCAACCTTGTAATCGGATCTTCTGAGAGGTAAAAACGCGAACAGGTCTTGGTTCTTCTGAGTGATAAGTGGTTCAGAGTTGTCGGTCATCGGGAAAGCCAGAACGACTTCGGCTTTAGAGAAATCATTCTTAGCCTCCTTGGTATCAGGAAGCTCGCGATTGTCGCTCCGGGCCAAGTTGGTCGCGATTTGTCTCGTGATGTGATAAATTTGACTTTGAGTAGTCTCATCTCCACGAACACCAGATGTAGTCTCCAGAGACACGCGATAATCGTCGATCTTATGCTTGCGGAAGTACTTTGATCGTATCAGCTCACCGTTCTCATTGTAGAATTCCAAGCTGATCTGCTCTAGCTTGCGTAGGAAGAGCAAACAGGTTTCCTGTAGGTCATCAAATTGCACAGAGATAATTCTCTTCAGATGTTGAAGTTCATCCGGGTCTCCTTGGTCATGGATGTATAGTGTCGTGCGGGTTAGAGGGCTGGGGATGGCCTCAACTGGACTCACCCAGATAGGTCTAATCATGCCTAAACCTGGGTCTGTCCTTTTATGCCGAAACTCAAATGAGAAATTCCCAGACTGAATATGAACTCTAGATGCGGCGATAAAGACGGATTTGAAACCAATGCCTTTGGCGCCGATATATCCGTGGGAAGCTGACTTGGTGCTTCGTCCAACAGCGCAAATAGCTTGTAAATGTGGCTCTTTAAAACCATCTTCGTTGCACTCGACGATGATCTTATTTGGATATATCTTAAAAGAAACGAAAGGCAGCGCTTCTGCTTCACGAGCCTTTTCAAAGATATTATCCTCTGCGTTCTGAAGAAGTTCAAAGACAAACCGCGCACCACTGCTATAGATCTGTTTTGCCAGTCTAGCGGATGGTTTCAGTAGGTGTAATGTGATCAGAAACTTGGTCTAGACACTTACACCTTGACGGAGTGCGATAACTCATTTTCCATCGCCAGCCAAGTTTCATCAAGCTCCTGACGATATTCGGCGTTAAATTGTTCGATATCGTCCATCATTTTTTCGTTCCGAAGCCCATACTTCTTAGCCAGACGTCGCACAATTTGCTCCGCCTCCTGGACGGTAGCCATGGTTGGCAAGTAAGACTTATTGCTTTCGTTTTTTGTATGGGGCGGGTCGATAGCTACCTACGCAATGACTGTGTAGTAGTAGATGAGGTATTTGAGAATCATTTAGGAAAGAGGGGGCAGAAAGGACCCAGAAGTCTTTAAAGAAAAGCCAGTGTTCTGTCGTGAGAAAGCCGGCTGAGGCATCTCTTGACTCTCTCGTCTAGTGCGACGGCTGTTATGCATGTTGGTCACAACATCCTAGCTTGCTAATTTCAGCTCACACTTTAGGTGTGTTTCCCCTGATGCAGGGCCGCGGCACATCGTGGTCGACTCGCGAATATGGACTCAGCAACTTGGACGGTACGTATGCTAGGTAGGCCTGTTTATCAATCAGATGAGGGCAGCACAACCTACTCTCAAAACGTCATTGTTTTTTCTGTATGTTTCTCCAGCCAACGTTCCTGGTTGAGCCTATGTTGAGAGAACCAGAATAGGAAATGTGGTGCCCACCATGACTTCTTTTGGCCCTAGCTCCCGCCGTGCTAAAATGGCAGTAGGGATTGGCCGTAGAACGAGGGACCTCATCCTTGCATGTTGTGGGAGTCCTGAAACCGTGGAACCAACACATGGACAAGAGGGTCGTTATCGTCATATGTAGCTGACCCTCGTGCTTTTATTAATGCGCTCTGATGGTTGTAGTACAAGTATGGCCAGATGTGACTTGGACATCGCATGCCACCGTGAAGGCGGGCTAGGCGGGGAATACACAAACGACCCTTCACGGGTGTGGCTTCCGCCAAAATTCGCTGGCGATCCACCGATTTAGGGGTCGCTTTCTATTTCCTCGCTAGCGTGTTTTATGGATAATCTTGCGCCATGAGGGGTGGCAATCCCTGGCATCTGCCTTGTTCCATTTATGTATCCTTAGCTTACCTTATTAGGCAGTAATGGATTAGATTATCCCTGCCTGCGTGTCTCTTGAGCTTGGTCATCTTAATGTTGCTTGTGAGATCTTAGGTTCAGCGCATAAGTTTAGGGTCAAGAAACTTGGGGTATAAATAAATCATTCTTGGTAATCTATCTATCAATTTCAAGATTCTATGAACTCTCCAGAGGCTAGAGGCTATTAAATGCTAGATTTCGATAGCATGACTAACCAATACACTTATGCTAGCAAATCAGAGTGAAGCGCTTTATGGTATGCCACAAAGACTCAGCACGTATGGCCAAAGCAATTGGGTATAGACCGTACTTGAGCATTCGTCGACCTAAGGGATAACCAAAGGTCCCTCTTCCACTCTTCCACTCCTCTGCTTAGGACTGTGCTTCGCCGTTTGTCCCGGCAACTTGAGCGATTGTGACGAATCCTCATCATTAGCCAATCCCGTGGCCATGAAGTCGTTGGTAACACTTGAAACAACATAGGCGTTGAGTTCCCGCTGTTCGCATCTGTCCTCCTCTTCCAGTCGGACTTTCTCCTCCTTACTCATGTCTTGGCGGCGGAGGGTTTTTATTTCATTCATGACGTACAGCAGGACGGCTTCTGGACAACGGTCTCGCTCTGCCGCATGCTCCAGCTTGCGGACATATCGTCGCGTTACATCTGTAGCGCCTTCAGTAGAGAAGGCTATAACATACGACATTTTCTTGCCCCAGGCTAAGTACGAAACGTCAGTGCTGTGCCTTGAGAGGGCGGGTAATGACTTGCCTTCGCTGTATAGTCGTGGATTATCAAAACCTTCCTCGCATGGGTCAACGTGAACCCATCTCTTCCTGTGTTCCGAGTACACCTCGGTCCAAACGTGGTCTTCGCTGTTCCATACCCACCGTGCCCTGGCGCCCATGGCCCGGCAAAGCATCGTAAAGCAGTTCACCCACTCACCAACTCGCCCTCTTCTGGTCTGGAGTAGTTTCCAAACGTCTGAATATCGGGGGAATCGCTCGTATGCTCGGCAGTCTTCCTTTTGGCATTGATAGAGCTCGACACGAAAAGCCCCGCAAGCTGACTCCTCGGAGCTTGGCACAGTGTTCCCTCTAGAAGTCGTTTGGGAGGAACATGTCGGACATGGTGGATTGTTCACCCAAGTGAAGAACGAGCGTTTGAACCATTGCAACATTGCTCGGATGATACAGTCGCTATACCCCCACTCCGGCTGCCGTCCATCGCCACATGATTCTGCTTGGGCCTGGAATATCATGCTCTCTTCTTCAGCTTCCTTGTAGAGTCTCTCTAGCGGGATGTTGGTCAGAGCCTCGTAAAGTAATCCTGGGTTTTCGTACTTCATCGGGGTCAAGGAGAGGGACATCAGAAGTTCACGGAACTTTCTGGACTTCTGGTCGTTTACATTCGGAGGCTGAGGAAACAGTGGTGTCCGCAATAGTCTCCGGTTTTGGGGCGGCAGCAGCAATGCTTTTCCATTGTCAGTTGCAGTGCAGTGCCGAACCAACTCTTCCTCTCTGGGCGGACTGTAGGGCGGGGTTGATTCATCCTCAGTAGACGAAACCGCTTGTTCAATAGTACCTTGGCGACAGCCAGTCCGTGATAGCTTTAGTTCATCTAATAGCTTGATCCGCCACTGGTTCTTAAATCGACTTCCCAATTCCCGGATCCAGTCTTGGTCGTGCCCCGATGGCGATGTAGAAGAGGATGCCGTGACGGACTTTGTGTCCTGCAGAAGCGTAGCAAAATCTAGCTTTCTATCAAATTTGTAAAGCGATGCGGCTCCAGTGAGGGGCAGATGAGGGGAATGCTTTACTCGCGCTTCTATGTCTTCGAATACGCGTGAAAAAGGTATCACAATTGCAGCACCCGAATCCGGGGACCCAGCCACAATGTGTCCATATAAGTTCCCAGACTCGGCATCAATGATCCAGGAGCCACAGTCCCCAGCCTCTAACCGCGAGTCCAAGAGGACGTTATATACCTCCTGGTACAGACTGCTGTTGGGGAGTCGGGCGTACAGGGGAGTGCCTGACATGACTCCTGTAAGTGTTCCTCTCGAGGTGCAGCTCAGGATCTTGACATCCTTGGGGCCGTCTGTGACGACGCTTTGGATCTCAGCCTCGCCCTTTGCGGGAAAGGAGGAAAGGGGGATTTTGTTCGGCAAGCAGTGAAGGGGCCTCGTCACCTCGATCAGGGCGTAGTCAAGACCAGACGGTGGTTCGTGGAGGGAGGACAGATAGACGTGGCCCAGATGCTGTGGAGGCAGGGAAGTGCTCAGTGAAGGTCCTTTTTCGTGAAACCGACTGCACTTCGACTCCTCCTGTGTTACTTGCATATCTTGTATGATCGGCGAGAATAGCGACTGGAGCATCTTGCTCTCAGTCGAACTTGCGTACGGCGGGCTCATGGCGGCGTCGCTGGCTTGTGCCAGCCACGTTTTCTCATAATCCGTTGATGCCACTCCGTCCACTTCGCTCACCTCATCATCATCGTCGTCGTCAATCTCAAATTCGTCATCGCCGACTCCGCCCTCAGCGTAGCTCGCGTCCGTGTCAGGGCTGAGCACATGACCTGCTGTGGTGTAGTAGAACTTATCCAACAGCTGGATGATGCCACCGACAGTGGCTTGTTTGTAACAAGTTCCATCGCCTATGCTTGCTTCAACGAACAACGGCATCCCGCACGGGTTGTTCTCAAGAGACGCGAGAACAGGCCTCTGATCAGATGACAACCTCGTGCCATCGTCTGCCAACTGAACGAGCTGATTGAAGTCTGGCGGTCGAGGCATATGTGCCGTCTTAACACCGGGAAACTCATCAAGAATGCCGCTGTCTTTAATTGCATTCCTCACCTGTTTTCGATGCGCAACGACTTCGCAGCAAAACAGGATAGCTGGGCTGGCACTGCTTTCCGACTTACCAAACATATAGATAGACCATGTAACCCAGCTCGATACTGGTTCGACCGACCTCTCGAGGTAGGCTTTAATCTTTGGAGCCAGCGCCGCGAATGCGTCTCTCGCCGGGCCTTTGGCCACCCAGCATATCTCCCTGCCGACCTTTCCTATGCAGCGGCCGATAGATAGCTCGGGTTCAGGCCATGCGAGAGGCCTCGTAGCTGACCTGCCACTAAGTATGGCGATGCCGTTCTCCCAGGATCGCAGCGGGGATGTCACGATTTCCAACGGCATGGTTAAACTTTTTTATGGTATCTCTCTCAATTCATGAGAAATATGGTTTCTCAAGTCATGAAAGACGTGGCTCTCGACACTGATGAAGGGGATTTAGCCGCAGTCATTGGGCGCTGTGTGCAGACGCTCGTCGCGCTGATGAGGCGGAGCATCCGCTAATGACAGACGCAGTCTCATGCACCCGGACAGGGCTGGCTGCCTCATCCGCCTTATCCTCCGTCAGCGTCGCTGAAGCCTTATATTTCGTGTGAACCAAATAGATCATAAGGCGACTGAAAACCGCGATCATGGCGAACAAGACGGAGCTCGATTCGAGCCTGCTGGATCTCCCGCTTCAGCAATTGACCAAAACAACGATAGCCAGCGAATACTGGGCCTCCCAACACCAGGATCAGCGCCTCAACAGCGTGGACTTTGACCTACAATCTTTTTGGACATACTACAACAAAGAATGCGCCAGAGCTCTCCACGGCGGAGGGCGATACGTGGCTCTGCGATCGCACCGTGATGTGGTCGAATGCATTCGCAAACTCAAGCGCGGGATGTTGCGCCATGACATCAAGGAGGAGCTGCGAGAGAAACTCACAGCGCCTCACGACAATGAAGACGAGATGCTTGACAACTCGATAGATCTGGCCGCCAGTCTGCTTTTGATGATTAGCTTCTGCAGCTTCACGTACGGCTTCTCTGGCCGAAGCCATCTCCGTTGGAGTCATGGGTCCCTGGAGAGCTTTGTGTTAGCCTACTTTGATCCTGGCGCTCCCCAGCTGCCCAAGGAGAATGTTAAGATGGAGAAGATATTCACTGCGCGCAATCTGTGTCGCATCGCAGGGCTGGATATCGTTTGGACTGATAACTTGGTAGACCATCTCCGACTGACAGATGACGATCGGCGTGTGCACATCTTCCATCATGCTTCGTTCCTACAGGTCCAACAACAAAGGTTCACAATTTCTTCAAGACCACATAATGCGTGAGTCCGCTGACTTAGTCGTGGCAGTGCCGACTCCCTACTGCCCAAAGGTCTCGCAGATGAGACGTTGCAGACATTAGCACTTCTCTTCCCATCCTCAGACGCAGAAACAAGGAAGTGGTTCTCCAAGTTGTCCGTCGCGGACCTTGACAAACGAGCCATTCAGTGTGGACAATTAAAGACGGACCATCGGCAAACTGAAAAGTTTAGATTTTGGAATGATCGTCTGGTTGTGTTGAAGCAGGTCTTTGACGAAGCACAGCCGAAATCGTTATCGCAATGGTGGCATGATAGGCGGAATGGCGTCCAATGGTACCGCTCTTCGATAGGCAGCAAATCATTGTCATCCGCTAACACCGTTCTCATCAACAGGTACACATTTTGGGTGGCAGTCCTCGTTCTTGTGTTGACGATATTCTTTGGCTTGGTGCAAAGTATTGAAGGTGCTTTACAAGTGTATGCCTCCTTCAAAGGTCTCGATGGATCAACATGAAAGTTAGGTATAGATCCTACTGTCCACGAGCCAGGAGCCACAAGCTCTACGGTGACGCATATGTTGGAACAGTGTAAAGACGCGTGTATATTAAATTTCTTGGTAATATCATCCGGTACAGATTTATATAAGTTTTTTTTTAGCCAAGTGAATCGAGTATAGACTTGAAGGAAGCTCACATAACTTATGCTGCATACCATCAGTAGGGTCTTAGGAGTTAGGGTATAAATAAATCATTCTTGGTATTCTATCTATCGAAACCCGACAATAACCCAACCGTAAACGCATCGTTACATAAGGATATCACAAGTCCCTTCCCAACGCCGTGCATCTTCTAATCCATCTCTTCTAGTAATAAAGTCTTAGTTTCCCATTCGCATAGCGTTCACAAGTCTATGCCTCGCACCCTCTCGGCGACCGTCACCTCGTCCGGGACTCTCAGTGTAGGAATCCTGGCGACGCGCATTGTCATAGTATGACTCTGTCTCTCCAAGGCCAACCTTTGAGGGACGAGGAGGTGGCGGTGGGGGAGCGTGGCCTGGTGCAGTTGCCTGTTGCTGAGGATGGTAAACTGGCTCCCAGTCACGGTTGGCCTGGTAAGGGCCGTTCTGGTACGAGTCCTGAGTCGGGACGGGAGGTCGGCTTGCTCGCTGTTCCTCCCGTTCACTGCGCTCGTCTCGACTATCGCGGTTTCGTCGCGTGGAGTCGCTACGGCTTGACTGAGGGGCCGGTTGCGCCTGGAGGAGACCGCCTTGAGGTGCACCGTTCTGGGATACTCCATTCTGAGGCGCTCCAACCTGGCGACGGCTTACCTCTCGAGGCGTCTGCTCTTCGTCATCCGTTTCTGCATCGTCATCGTCATCCTCGTAGGCTCGTAATTCGCTTCGCATGGCAAGGCTGGCGCAGATGCTTCTAGCTTCCTCGATGGCCTTCTTCTGCAATTGGAGAGCCTTGCGGCGCTCACGGGTTTCCTTGTTCTCGGCAGCAATAGCCTCGATGGTGGTGTCTGGCATGCGAAGAATCTCAATAGGATTAAACAACCGCAGCATACCAAGCAGAAGGTGTCGCTCAACAACCTGAGTAATGACATTACGTGTAAAGATGCGTGCAGTAAGGTCGTAGTAAATAAGCATCTTCTCCAGGACCTCTTCGGCCTCTGTGTAGGTTCCGCCGTTCTCTGTAGCGTCGGCACGCCACTTTCGAAGACGCTCCTCATATTCGGGGTCGAAAGGCTGGATCTCGAGTTCCATATCGTCGGTAAGACGCCCAAGCTCGGTGTCGGCGCTTTCGACGAGATCCTTCATTCTGAGCTCGAGGAAGTGCATGCGAAGAGGATCGCGCATGCGCATGGGCCAGACGTGATCAATAACATCCGCAAGAAACTCGTTGCAGATGACACCGACGTTGTCCTTGTATTCTTGTGCAAGAACAGGCCAGTTTCTGGAGTAGTCCTGGAAGAGGATATAAGGGGCTCGAGGGTTGGAGTCGAGAGGAAGTTCATTACCCCGGATCTGTCGGAGAAGAGGCTCAACCTCAAACTCGGCAAAGTCCTTCTTTGAGCGATCTCCAACGGTGCCTGGAGTGGGAAGACCATTGCCTTCGGCAGCGCCATTCGTACCATTGACACCATTTGCGGCAGGAGGCTGGCTCTTCTGGAACGTAACCTTACGACCGTGCTGTCGGAACCGTCGAGCGAAGCGCTCACTCTCGTCACGGATGCGAGCTCGGAGCTTCTGTGATGGGGTACCCTTGGGGCTTGACTGCCTAGCAAAGAATCGCTCACCAAAAGGGTTCTTGTAGTTACCGTTCACCGCAGGAGTGACGAGGTTGTTGGATGCTGTGAAGAGCTCGCCCATCTGGAAACGCATCTCCTCTGGGGTATCTTTGCCAACACCCATGGCCTTGAGCTGGCTCTCGCAGCCTTCCAAAGCTTGCTGGATCTGGCTGCGAAGAGTCTTGACATGCTTGCCGATATGACGCTGGAGCTGAATGCTCAGCTTCGCACGGAGAGCACCAATACCCCACATCTCTGGTGGGAGAGTTGCCCATTTTCCACGAGAGAAGAACTCGGCTTCTCGGTTGGCGCGGTCCTCGGGGGTCTGCCATTGCTCGCCTGGTCCAGGGTTGAGCAGGACATACCAGCCGAGCTTGAAGTTGTTCTCCTGGTCCTTGTTGGTAACAAGCTCGATGAACTTTTCTTCAAGCCCAATACGTTCAGTCATATCGGGCTTGGTGAGGACACCGATTGTGCGTGATCCCTTGGGATCAAAGTGGCGGGCCTTCTTGAGGATAGGAGCCTGAACATAATCGTTGTTTCCGCCAATAACAGCAAGAATTAGAGTTCGAGAGCTCTTCATGTATCGATCGGAGAGAGCTTCGATGGTTTGGATGTCAGACTCGGATTGATCGCGGTTGGCGACACGGACAAGACCGGGGAGATCGACCAGAGTCAAAAGTGGCATGTCGGGGCCCTCCTTCTCGACGACGAGGATATCGCGAGCAGCGAAGCGACCAGGAATGCTCTTGGGAGCAATCAACTCTGTAGCATCACGCATCATCGCATCAAAGGGTGTGTCACCGGTGACATCACCGCCCCATTGCAGCAGGCGAACTTGATCATTGTAGGGTCGTGTCTTGTCGGGGATGATGGAAACCTTTAGTTTTGTCTCCTTCGCTCGTCGCATGCGAATCTCTGTCGCAAACCGTGTGCAGGCGCCGGCATCGCGAGGGAACGGTGTGCCGGTGAGAGCCTCGAGAACCGAGCTCTTGCCAGCGGATTGATCGCCGACAACGACGATTTGGGGTAGTTTGACATCATCGAGCTGTGCGAATTGGAGCTTGTCGATAAGGTCTAGCAGGCTTCGTTGCTCAGTAGCAAGGCCCTGATCGCCCAGCGACGATTCGAGGGAATGGCGCATTTTGGTATAATAGAAGCAGAATAAGAGGGGGTTGAAAAGGCAAGATTTTGAGCCAAGGGCTTCGTCATTTATAAGTTATGGCGCTCGGGCTTTGGTTCGCTCTTTCTTGGCTGCCTCTGTGACCGGATGGTTAAGGTTGCGCGGCTGCCAAGCGTCTTTCAGGCCTGGAGGCGACCAAATGATGCCCAGCGTGCGCTAGCGTCATACCTACTGCGCCACCCTCAACAGAGACATCCCTGGAATCTCAAGTGACAGATTAAGTTCTGATGGGTTTAGCGTGTTCATGTACCAGTTTATTTTCTCACCTTGATGTTATTCAAGCCATCAGTCCTATAGTATAGAGGAAGCTTCTCACATTGGCTTCTAAGGTCGACTAAGCCGTCACGAAGTCAAGATAAGATAGATTTTAATTCTAACAAAGTCGTTTATTACTTAAAATCCAGGAGAAGTTTTTGGTTTTGTTGCCTCCTTGGGGATTGATGTGTGGCGTGTGGCGTTTCTATCTGTGGCTGTGCAGGTGAAAGTCTTGGCATATACAACGCCTCGATTACGCCGCAAATGACATGTGTTTGTCTTTTGCGCTCCATTCATTAATAAGCTGCTGAGCTGCATTTTGTTTTCTATGATTTCATGGCCTTTTTCCTGCTGCCTAAATCTGGCGTAGACTCGTACGGACTTTGGATTGGACTGACAGTCATACTCATGATAGGTGACGTAGCTAACCGCGTGTATAACACGTCTGCTCACCCTAGACCTGTATTGGCAAGAAATGCTGATAGGTGAAACTCAAGACAAGTCACAGACATCGCTGTATAAATGTGTTTATAGAACGCTTGCCCTATACTGACTATATAAAAGTTTCTACCTAGTTTAAGGGGATTTGAAAAAGGTGCATAGAAGAGGCACAGTCTAGAATTCATGCATTGCTCATACTAGCTCATCCCGTGGCTCGTTTGACCATACTTCAAAGTCCACTGGCTTCGGAAGCAAGAGGCGAAGATGGCGGTTAGCCATCGGGTCATCGTCCTTGCAATATAGACGTACGCCTTCGCATGTGCCCCGCTGCGGAATTCCATTGCCAAGTTCCATACTCCTGACAAAAGCTGTCAGATTCCAGCCATAGGGTGTCGCCTCAGCCTTATCCCCAGGGTCATCGTACCAATCATCCCAAAAGTCCAGAGGTTCGTCGCCATAGGCGTGCTCGCCGTTGTGCTCGAAGCGCCAAGTCTCCGTTGCGTGGCCAGCTGTGCCAGATACTTGCCAGTACCAAACTTGGCCCTCTGCGTCTCGCCCCCAGTCCCACCGCGGGGAGTTTTCGATTCTGAGAAGATATTCGTCTTCTTCTCTGTCGTAGAAAGGTTGCATGTCGGTGGTGAAATCGGGATCTTGGTCTTCGGTGGTGACTTTTGGTCTTTCTGGAAGTTCCCTTTCAGTAGCAAACTTCTTCAGTTTTCCTTGTCCATCTCTCCAAAGACCCATTTCCGAATCCCACGTATGTTGTCCTTGAACAGTCCAGGAGTCATCGTTGGGCTTCTCTCGTTTTTCAAAAGGATCATCAACCTCTTCGTCAGTGACAGGGTCGTAGAAGACTTGGTCTGAGTCGACCCATAACCCCGTCTCAAAATGGTAGATCCTTCGGGGTCCAAGACTATGGGCGATGCCATGTTCGTCTCTTCGCTCGAATGTAGCAGAATCCAAAGCTTTGATGTCCTTCAAATCATATCCTCTCTTTTGCCAGAGATTGTCTCGCGTAGCATGGAAGGCAGAAAGCTCGCAAGTAGTCTTGTCAAAGACTAGTGGATGCGTAGATACCTGCGTCTCTTCGTTTATGTGAGGTGGCAGTGGTTTCTTCTGATCGGGGTCATCCGTGCGGTTGACGTAAGCGAGAACTGCCTGTTCATTCAAACGCTCATCCGTTTTTCCAACGGATAACGAGGAGTCGCTATCGTCGTTATCACTGTCGTCGTTATCACTGTCGTCGTCATTGCTGTCGTAGTCACCGCCATAGTCACCGCCATAGTCATCGCCGTCATTGTCGATGCCGTCTCCTGACGCTATAACAAACGTATCCAAGTGCAACGAATTCAAGTTTGCAAGTTCCGTAAGAAAGGAACCATTGACTACCATGGAGGTGAAGTATAACCTTTTGAGTGTCTTCGCGTGGCGTCGAATGAAAGCGACAGTCCGGGAGACCCAGGCATCCTCGGGGCATCTAATACCGTTCATTTCCACAAACTCCACACTAGTAAGTTTGGGCAGTTTAGGAATGATGCTAGGAATGAACGGAATGAAAGTATTCTCGTTACATATTTTCAAGCTCGTCAAGTTTTTCGCTTTCGCAAGGCAAGCCGTAAACCCTCTGGCAGCCTGACTCGGGGCAGACATACTACAGAGACAGAGATCCAAGTGAACAAGATGCTCGAAAATGTTAAGCTTCGAAGGCTCTTCCATTCGGAGGAGCGGTGAATGGGTATCGAGACTCTCATCTGAGTAGAATAGATGGCTAATCTTGACTGTTGGCGCTTCATCATTGGCCTGACTTGCAAGAGACTCCAGCAGCGGAATGAAGTAATCCATAAAACCAGTGTTGTAGCTTAGATTTATCTCATTTTTCTCTAAAAGAATCCTGAGACTGCTGATGGTCATGGAGAATCCCAAAGAGGGAATCTCAAGGCACCGCTGACCATCCATAGGCCTTGAGACCAGGGTATGTAGATTAGGCATGTTGTTGCGAACAGCGGATACAAATTCATCTGGAGAATTTATTTTGGTAGCCGGACGTTTGTTATCATGGACCATATACGCGGTAAAGGGGCCCGGTCGACGGGGAAAACCCGAGATATCCTGTAAACCAACCAGAAAGCCGAAATACGCGAGCCTGGTGAGTTCTGTGAAGGAATCTTCGTTATCAACCTCGCTGTAATCACAAACCACCGGGGGTCTCAAGCAAGGATATCTGAAGATCTTAGAGTCAAACGCAAGCTCTTCCCAGACGAGAACACGGACCAGGGAGGCAAGCGGGGACTCTGAGAGCTCGAAGAAATGCTGAAGATCTTGAATAAGAGGGGAGACTCGGACTTGATAGAAAAGAGAGCGCGAGGCTTCTGTAGACACTTGGCGGCAGGTGAGTCTAAGCGACTTGAGATCTCGCCTTGACAAGCCATTATCAAGCGAGAAGACCTCGGCGAGAAGCTCGCAGGGTAGGGTAGCAAGACTCATGATGGCCCGTAGATCACTGATGCCGTGAAAAGATGTCTCGGGACAGAAAAGAAAAGTTCCAAGTTTTATCCCAAAGAAAAAAGACGGAGGAAAATTTAGTCTTTAGCAAGATGAGAAGAATAATGAGTTGTAAACTTTGAAGAGTCTTAGGTTTTGCGGGGCCTTATGGGAGCCGGAAGCGGCTTGTTAGGCACTAGGTTGAGCAAACTTACACAATTCATTAAATTGAAGGATTGTGACAAACACGCAATGATTTCTGCCTGCTACAGCTGGTGGAAGGTTTGAGTTTTCATATTGGATAGTTGAGCGAGTTGCTTACAACAACCTATGTTTGAATGCGAATACTCAGTTGCTGATATATAAACTGTGGAGTAGCAGATATGTTGTTTGTGGAGTTATGTTATAGTGTGTACATAGAGATGCAAACTTAAGGTTATGTTTCGTTATATACCTTTTAGTCTTTTCCTTTTATAATACCTTAAGGCTTATAAGAAGATTTATTAATTACTATAAAAATTTATAGATAAAAGTATATATCAAAAAAGAATTATATTGTTATTTATTATCTATATTTATAGCCTATAGCTTAATCTTGAAGACGGCAGTTATCCTTATAGATATCTAAACTGTTGAGGAGCAACTTATAATAAATGTGATGCGGTTTTAAATCGGAAAGAATACCCCCTGACCGATAGGAGAAAAGGTGACAGTCTCATCAAGATATTTCGCTGAAATTTGGCTCCCACTTGGTATTCAAGTCACTCCCAACTACGGCTTTGACTCAAAACGCTCTGATTGGCATGGGAGGCTGAAAGGCGGCGGCATCACTTGTACCGGGGACATTATAGTTGATCGATGCCGATGGTGAGTCCGGTTCGAGCCTAGCCCAAAACCTCTCCAAGTCTTCTTGGAAGCGCTTGACTATCCAGAAGCCTGTGAGCTCCCTTCGACTTTGCATGTCACGGCGAACAATATCTCTATCTTTGCCGTCAGATAGCAAGAACCCAAGAGCGTATACAGGCCAGGTCCCGATGAAACACTCGAACCAGGGACGATCGCCAGCACGTTTAGACAGAATTTGAAGTGCTATGCAAGCTTGCCAACTGTCCGTGGGAGACACCATAGGAAGCCCTGTGTTTGGGCCATAAGCCTTGAGGTGCTGCATGAGAATAGAAGTGATCATGGCGTATAAGCAGTTGGCATCTCTGTTTAGCGCATCGGATGCATCAGTTTGCTCCACAGCCTGCAGGGCAAAGTCTTCCCAGGTTGTGACCTCAGCCTGAAGCTTTAGTAGACCTTCCATGTTGGCAGATTCTCTTCCAAGGCAAAGCTGGCCGAGGACCGTGGCGAGTCGCATTACGGCCAAGGGCATACCAAGGACGGGACTATTGAGACTCAACAGGTGAAAGTCCAGATCCCTAGGGTGCTCTAAGAGCTTCTCGGAGCGAGCCCAAACTTCGGGGTCTAACGATTGGAGGGATATGTAGCTGTTCGCGCTGGACCAAAGACCGTTGTTCAACAGGAAGACTTCGTACAACACACTCTCAAGTGCCAGGCGGAGAAAAGCCGTAAGGTCAGTGCTTGTCACGTTCAGTATCCGGGAGACGATGATCTTGATAGCAGCACTGACGTGCTGGGGTTGATCGTCCCATGAAGAGGAGCCAGATATGATGTTGAATGAGTACAAAAGAACAATGGTGACAAGGATGTTATCGTCCTTCTCTGGTGAGTCTTGACAGAGTGAGTCTGCCAGCCTGGCAAGCGAGTCTGTATAGTACTGATGAGAAACATGGCACATGCCCGGCGGCCCTCTGATAGAAACAAAGGATGTGGCACAAGCCATGAGAGCAGGCGATAGAGTCTTGCGCGATACCATGATAGTATGTATAGCAGTATGCCATGTCTCCTGGAAGACAGAACTGCAATTTGGTAGTAAAAGAAGTGGTGTTCCCCGACGGCCGAACTCGTGGAAGAGCGTCCATTCGATGTCATCTCGTTCCTGTTTCCGAGCCATGACACAATCGGCCAGCAGAAACAGTGACGGCGGTGATGTCGCTACACAAGACGAAGGAGGCGATTGACTGTGACGACTCTTTGCCGCCTCGCGAACTTTACATGATCTGAAGCGACGGTCTACAAGGTCTTTGTTTAAAGGCCACTGGCAATCGCGCGGAACACGTGAGGCAAGACAGGCTCGGCAGATTGGAGCTCGCTCATCGCACTTTATGCGGTGTCGTCGGCAGGGAATACAGCCAGTCTTGGCACGCAGCTTGGGCCGCTGATGACTTGTGGTCATGTTGAATTGACTGTCTGGGGCGATGGGCCGTGAAGTAAGGCGTGTTACGACGCTGTGTTGGGCAGTCATGAGATATGCCAGGGATTATCGAGTTGTGTGTAGGGGAGAGATTGATTGATCTGAAGCCATCAACTTACTCGCCACTTGGTGAGATAGATCTTAGGCCAAAGGCTTGCCCTTCCTGTACAAGATGGAATTGTTTATCTCTATCACTTGATCAGTCAAAGGATCGATAAGGCCCGAACTCAAGGGTCAAATGCCTCAGCTCAAGATAAGCTATCATGGTGCATACCCGCCTCAAGCAAGTTTGCGGGGAAGTACACTAGTGAAGCGTGAAGCTTCAGAATCATACGCTTCATTCGCTCACGCTAGTTTAGTTCATGCATTCTCGCAAAAGCATATGATTGGCCCAGTAGGTAGTTGTCTGGACGAGCTTGGAAATGGTGGTTATGTCTATGTTGAGGGTTGCAAGCCTCGGTAATGGCTCACTCCGCAATCGTTACCTGCATCACCAACATGTCGCAAATATGTTTGATTGGGTTATCCGCTCCTGACCTATCAATTCTCCAATCATCAGTATTTCCTGATGGTTGATGGATAGTTTTAGACTGTATGATGTCTTTGGTTAAAGCTATAGAGTCCTCCGGGGGCTAGAATCGCATATGACTATAAAGAGACACCTCTTACTCACCGGTTCTCTATCAATATTCCATCGCTTCTTATACTATTCAGTCCAAAGCTCAAATTGCACACCGAACAATCATCATGCAAGTCAACAACCCCGTACCCGTGCCAAAAGGCACGCCAGAGCACGAGGCCAAACGTGCTGCTGTTCTCAAAGCACTCGCCGACAAAGTGCCCGCAGAGTTCTGCCTGGGTCCTGAATTCTTCAAAGATACTCCTCTAGATGTCACCAAAATCCCTGCTACCTGTGGTATCCTCACGGACGAAGAAGTAGCCATTACAGAAGACTATGATGCAACTGGCCTAGCTGAGGCTATTGCCAGACGCAAGTATACATCCGTGGCTGTTGCTAGAGCCTTTTGCAAGCGCGCAATTATCGCCCATCAGCTTACCTGTTGTCTTACCCAGTGGTGTTATGATGAGGCTATACAGCAAGCTACGAAACTAGATGAGTATTTAACTGAGCATGGCACCACGATAGGTCCGCTCCATGGTGTACCCATCAGTATCAAGGATCATATTCCTTTGGCCGGCACTTTTGCCTCGGTGGGCATTCTGGCTACGGCCGAGTATGATCAGCATGACTCTCCCCTTCCAGCAGTCCTTCGCAAGGCCGGTGCTGTCTTCTACTGTAAGACAAACCAACCCCAAGCCCTAATGCATGGCGAAAGCGACTCACCTTGGGGCCGCGCCCTGAACCCGTTCAACACCAATTTGACACCTGGAGGTTCTAGTGGTGGTGAAGGAGCCTTGATTGCTATGAAAGGCTCGGTCCTCGGCATTGGAACCGATATTGGTGGCAGTATTAGGATTCCTGCTGCGTTCAGTGGTATTTATGGATACAAGCCAACAAGTGGTATCCTGTCGACAAAAGACTTGGTACACGGGCCTATGGTAGCTGAACTCACTGTCTTGGCCAATGCCGGTCCTATGTGTCGATCTGCACGGGATATGGATCTCTTCATGCGTATTCAGCTTGCTGTCAAGCCGCATATCAGAGACCTGACACTGGTCCCAACGACATGGACTGGATTGTCGACACCACTGAGCATGACCCTTGGTAGCCCACTCAAAATTGGCATCATGACACACGATGGCTTCATTCAGCCTCAGCCACCTCTCAAGCGTGCCCTGTCATGGGCTAGTACTCTTCTGTCAGATCCTCGACTATCAGGGATTATCGAAGTCAAGCCATTCCTGCCTTACGGCGTGAAACAAGCATGGGACGAGCTCCTACAAGCCTACTCCCCTGATGGCGGCATTCCAACTCGTGAAGCTGTTCTCGCAACAGGCGAGCCAATCTATCCCCTGACAGAATGGATCTGGAAGACTGCCGCTCCCAAAGGCATGCTTACTGCCGGTGAAATGGCTTACGTACGCAAAGCATGCCTCGACTTCCGACATGCCTTTGCAGAGGATTGGGAGCGCCAGGATGTCGATGTTATCCTTTGTCCCACTGGCGTTGGTCCGGCCACGACTCACGACACAAATTTCTATCTTATGTATACAGCTCTGTGGAACTATCTTGACTGCCCCGGTTTGGTGTTCCCTACAGGGCTCAAGGTTGAGGAGGGCGAGAAATACGACGCGGATTATAAGCCTCTAGGACCTGAGTGCGCTCATGTGAAAGACCTCTGGGAGAGTGGTAATTTCACAGGAGCTCCTATCAACCTTCAGCTTGTGGGGAGGAGATATCATGACAATCAGCTGTTCGGTGCTTTGAAGCTGCTCCAGGGCGCCCTTGGGCTTGAATGAGTGTTGAATGGAGCTTCGGATATGTGTGCATGTATCTCAACTGTTTGGTACTTTCTGTATCGTAGAGGGTGTAAGTGGTTAGTTTATAGCTGAGCATCTTCAGGAAATCTTCTTGAGATCTAAGACGAAGACCTCAGCCACCACTTGACATACTATCACCTTTGCCATAATACAATACTCTGTTGCTACCTTTCGTGACACTTAAAACCTACCTGATGTATGATATTCTGTGCTGGAGCTTAAGTTGTCATGACCTCTACACCCGGCTCACTTTCGGACATCACATTGATTTTAGAAGTGTACTTTTGATGGTGAAAATTGCTGTTGCGGACCAAAACATGCAGTCGCAATTTAATGTGATATTCATGAACGATCGTCCTGATAGCGCTAACAAGTATTGAGACCAAACAAGTCTCTCCCTTTCAACATAGTAACCACTCAAACAACCTCGCGGGTTTGCACTTGAGTCTGTTGTTCGTCTGCCTTTGAGTCTCCAAAGTGAATCTGCTTCTCGACAGCAGCAACGGTCCTCTCCTTGAGTTCCTCGTCCTCGAAAACTATCATCTGTTAGAATTTCCCAACTGAAGCGATGCGAGCGAGACAACATACGGAATGCAAGTTCCTCGAGGGTTCGGCCACTGGTCTCGGGATAGAGAAGGTAGATGATGCAGAACTCGAAGAAGATCCAACCACAGTAAATGGCCAGGTATCGCCACTTGATAGCATCGAGAGCAATGGAGTTGACGTTGGTGGAGAAGAAACCGGCGAGCTTTCCAAAGATCTGCTGAACACCGATACCACGGCTTCGCATCGCGTAGGGCCAAAGTTCAACCAGGTAGGCTGTAAATTGTTAGATTGGACTTCAAAATGGTGGCTGAAGACTTACTGTATGTGAGAGCGTTGTTTCCGATGGCGTAGGTTGGTGAGTAAGCAAAGTACCAAAACAGAGCGGCAATACCAGGAGCATTATTCTTCGTGCCCTCGGGGATAGCTTGAATTCTCTCAAGAGATACTGTCATGCCGATGAAAGCGCACAGCATGAGCGTAGCGGAAAGCATGTACATGTGTCGACGCTTGAAGCGAGTGACGATCAAAGCAATGATAGTAGCGTTGAGAAAACTCCAGCAAGCATAGGCGAGGTTGATTCGAGTCTTTGTGTAGTCGTCGGTGAAACCCATCATGCCGAAGAGAACACCGGAATAGTAGCTCAGGAGAGTGTTGCCGGAAAGCTGGGTGAAGAGACCGATGAAGATGGTGACAACGAATCGACGACGCATACCGGCGGTGCGGACAACCTCGAGCCAGGATTGTTTGGAGGCTTCCATCTCGGCCTTGATGGTCTCTCGGATCTGAACAATTTCGGCCTGGACGAGCTGGGAGCTGGCATCGCCTTCGGCGTGGTACTTGATGAGGACCTGAGCGGCTTCTTCTTCGCGGTCTTTGGAGACGAGGAAACGAGGAGACTCGGGGAGGAGAAAGACGGTGGAGATCTGAATCAGTGAGGGGACGATCTGCAACAGAGAAGGCAGACGCCATGACCAGTTGGTGGTGATGGGAGTTGTGCCCAGAGCGATAGCAGAGGCGAGAATCTGACCGATGTAGTAGGACGAGTTGAAAAGAGATGTGAGGACAGCACGCTCCTTGGGATATCCCAGCTCACCGATGAGGGCAGCACCAGAGATAATACAGAAGAGAATTCCAGCTCCAAGAATCATACGAGCGACGATGTACATACCAACTGAGAACTCGTCAGTATATCGAATATTGGATAGAACAGGGGTCTCATACCGTGCTGGGCGAATCCCTGAATGATAGCACCGCCAACCATAATCAGAGAACCAAGCATAATAGACCATCTTCGGCCGAATCGCTGAGCGAACCAAGGCGCAAATGGGACCGCAAAGATAGAGCCGAGCTGGTAGGAAGAGTTGACAAAGCCGAGCAGACCTGGTTCGATGGCCCACTTGCCTTCCTCGTTCTTTCGTCCGTCGCCGAGATCTATAAAAACCCGTCAGCTCTGAACCAATCCTCCATAGATTTTTGTAGGTGATTCATACAGTGGTGGAAGTTTTGAGAGTACTGGAGGGTGTTGATGAGTTGCGAATCGAAACCAGAAGTCATCTCAACACCCATACAGCAGAAGAACAACCAGACGTACATAAGACGCAGATTGGGCTTCTTGTACCATGGCGTCTTGTCCTCCTCGACGAGGCGGGTGACGATGGGGTCCGCGGCGCTACCAACGTTGACCATGTTGGCGAATTGGCTCTTCTAAGCTTGTCGAGTTGGTTTTTATGCAAGGGGCCCGTGTCTCCAGAGCAGCAGAGGAAACCAAGCTTGAGAGATGGGAAACGAAAAGAAAGAAATTCAATGGGGCATTGCAGATCATATTATACATGAGCTCTTCCCCGCGAGCGTGTAGATAAGATAGACAGACAAAGTAGCTATGAACCTAGCGGTAGCTTAACCGAATTCTCCGTATATAGGCTAATTATGGAGTTTGTCTGGGGAAAACGTGGAGTCTCCGCAAAATACTTGGTTCGACCGCTGTCCATGTTGCATCACGACGTGACATTCCCGTCAGCGGCCGACCACACAGGGACAGACGATTCGCCCGCAAGCAGCCAAACCCCGGCCTAGCTTAGGTTGACAGTCCCCCCAGAATATGTACAGCAAACGGATTCTCGAGCCGAGGTGCTGCTCTCGGTCCAACTTTGCGGTTAAACGGACCGGCTGATGGTGGTGCTAGCTTATGCTTAAAGCGCTGATCGTTTTCTATCTTTGTATTAGACATATGCCAGATCCAAAACACACTGCCACATGACTGCCTACCGAAATTTTGCGGGGTTGGACATACGAGCTTGAACGAGCAGTCTGTGTTTTTTTGGGGTAGGCCATGGGGTTTGGGTGGGGGGCGGTTCTGCAATTTCCCGTCCATTTAAGTGAAGTGATGCCTGAGTTATGGAGACAAGGGTGTACATAGGCTGACTGGCTGAGGCTCGAATCATGTATTTGTGACTAACTTTAACACTGGGCTGATATAAACACGGTAAACAGCCTCGGCAAACGAATATAGCCAGCCATTCAGCGTCGTCTATACGTCAGCTCCGTTTCACCTCACCTCACCCACAAATCTCTTCCCCAGACTTCATGGGATGATTCTCGAAGGCAAGAATAAGCATAAGCTTCAAGGAAGAGGTGTTAGTTTCATTTTCCATCGAACATTTGGGAGAAGAGGGTTGCACCGGGATTGTCAATGCCCCTGTCTCTCAGCTCATCAACCGTTCACCTGGAACCGGCTTTTCAGGCTAAACACCCGGAGAATGAATGCGAGAACTACTGGTATTTAAAGCTTGGCAGCCGCTGCGAAAACAAAGAAGCACAGAACAACCCCCCCTGGGAGGGTTGACAGTGAGCCCTCCCAAATCCGTGGGGGAACCCTCGTGTGCGCACGCGGGTATACAGCTGTGACGCTCTGCCATTTCCGGGTGAATCCTTCCAGGCATCCTTTGATTTGAATATGCTTACTTTACAATATGTTATAGGGCTATTGACCAAAGAATGCGGGCTGAAAGGGTGATGGTGAACCTGCCGGATGAGTCGCCCGAGCCAATGGATGGTGAGACATTGTGATAGGGCTGTCATTGCGAGGTTATCACTGGGCTTGCAAAAATCCTTTCTTCCGCGTGTGATGCATCGATAATGGCAAAAGGAGATAAATTGCATATTAGTTGGGGGATAAAGATGTCGGGTGATGAGCTTGGCAAATGTCGATGAGACAATTAGGAAGAGGCCGAGACTGGGGAAACAAGGAAGTCACTGGGTAATAAAGGGATCTGCAGTTGTTTGAGAATTCGTTGGCTTGTAGGGTAACATTTGAAGATCATGTCTCTGGTTAAGGCTGATGTTTTGGAGGGTATGCCCAAGGTTGCGGAGTAAGGACTGAGAAGTGAAGTATATGAGCCCCAAAAGTTTTGCGGCTAGTATATCAAGGGCGTGTGGTCTAGGGGTATGATGTTCGCTTCGCATCTTCGTGCATCTGCGAAAGGTCGAGGGTTCAATTCCCTCCTCGTCCAATCTTTTGCCGTTTGCTTGTTCTATTCCGTTCACATAGAATCTGTCTCCCCAGACAGGACTTGAATTGTTTTTGCCAACCTTGGCCATACCGTCTTTTTCTTTACTTGCGGGCTAAAGTCGAGTATATGGGCTGGGATGTTTCTTTAAAGCTAATTATAATGAGTAATGTATCTAGATCTCAAGGGGGCTTGTGGCGTAACGGTTAGGTGCCACTGGCCCCGGTCCGATAATATTTGGACTTCCATTGACATGATTCAGTGCAAGGACCTTAATATGGAGATAACGCCGTGGGATCCTTCCTGATGGATGCATCCAAGTTCTCTTCAAGTCTAACGCTTGGCAGGCTCCATCTCCGAGCCTCATAGAACATGGCCCCTGTGATAGGTTTACAAATCTATACTCCAATCTCCCGATACCATAACATCTATAGACTGGTCAAAGTACCTTAGAATCCTGTTAGAATCAGCTCTACATATCCTATCTGGATGCAACATCTCCTTCTCGATGAACTCGAGGAGCTCTCCAAGGAAAGTCGGCCCGTTCTTATAGCGTATCTGATTGACGAGCTTTGCAATCCACTTTGAGTTTTAGTCTATGAAGATGAAAATCAAAATTTGTAATGCAAGTTACACACCTGTGATACGCTGGGCTTGAGCCTTGGTATCTGCTCGAACTGTTTGGAGCCGGCGGAGGAATTTGCTTGATCCAATCTTGCTTTCTCTTTTCTTGCAGCTCGGGTTCGCTTGACGTATCCAATCTTCGGATGACCTCTTGATAGCCGATGGAAATTCTTGGTCCGCTTCAGCTCGATATGTCTCTGGAAAAAGTTATCCTCGATGTCGTTTTCGCCACTCTGGACGTAGTTCCAGTCTCCTGAAAACAAGGCATCTTGCTTTCTCAATTGACGAAAGTCTTCACGTCCTTTGTGTTCGAGAAGCACCCAGGTGAAGAGCTCAGAGAAGACGCAGCCAAATGCCCATATGTCTACTTTCCTGGAAATAATGTAACCGATGTCATGTTCAGGTGAACGGTATTCTTGCGAGCATCTATACGCGGTACATCGGCTTTTCCTTGTTCGAGATGATCGGCTGTGAAACCTAGTGAGGCCAAAGTCCGCAATCTTGAGAACTCCGAGTGGATGGTTGGCTGTTTCTTGAGAAAAGTATAGAATGTTGGCTGGTTTGATATCAAGGTGTATCCCAAAGCTTCTGTCTTGGCCACTGGAGGTTCCGTCGTCCATCCTGGCAACGATACTGACTTGATGGATTTCCCCCAGAGCTTCGACCAAGCCACGACATTGGGATATGATCCATTGAACAAAGTTTTTTGGCGATTGCTGCTGGCCTCTGAAGAGATCCTTTGACGGCCAATTTATCATGTCCTCCATGCTGCCCCCTTCAGCCCAGGGGAATAAAAGCATGAACTGGTCTTTTCCCGATATCTCGAATGCAGAAACCAGCTCCAGCAGATTTGGACCGGGACGAACCTTGCGAAAAGCGGCCATTTCCTGCTTGAAAACATCTCGAGTTTTTTCGTTTGCTGGCAGTAAAGTTTTTAATGCAAAACCATTGTGTTTCGTGTCCTAGACGTCAGCTTGACGCGTATATTGGGCCGGTCGTCAACCTACGAAAGAATGATGGTCTTTGTGAATCTTGACCTTTTGGACATATCCATACCCTCCAGTGACGATGCCATGCCCAGCAGATTCCCACGGCATAATGGTATCCGAATGAAGCACCAGATCCCCATCCCCAGACACGTGACCGACGTCCCTCTCCAAAAAGGGGATGTTCACGCACCACTGCTTGAGGTTAAAGTCGCGTATCGCCTTGATGTCTCGGAGGCTTCTGGTAAGCAGGACGGACCGCTGATCGTCTACCCAGCGAGATCGCACTTCCGACTCTTCAATATTCGTTGTGAGTGGTAAGTCTTGGTCACAGAATGTCGCATTTTGGAAGGGCCTGATCAACTCGATGCGATTTATGAGTGCTAAGATAGCAAGTATCTTTTTGGCAGGCCTCCTTCGGTCGCATATATACGATGTTGCTTGCTTAGCCTCTTCCTTGCCGAAGCACCCAGAAAGCTCAGTGAAAACAGATACCTCGGTACAAATTGACTCAAGGCAACTGGAGGGGAGAAACTGCTCTTGCTGACGGATTCCGTTTGGCAGCAATGCATATTCAAGACGGTCCTTCAGCGTGACACCTGTCAATTCATCAGCTCCTGAATTCTGTATCATGGCTGCCGGTAAGTTCAAGCAGCTGATTGCATAATTGTGTGGTTTGTTCTGTAGGGGGTCCAACCTGTGATCTTATATCGAGACTTTTGGTCTTACAGCGATGGGGGGCGGGTCATAAGAACCCCATGGATTGTTCTATCGCTTAGAAACCATACGATGGCGCCATTGTTAGTCGTGCAACTGGAGGATGTCACATCTGCCTACCACGAATATGTAGGACGCGAGCAGCGTGCAACCTCGTTCAGAAGAAAAGGGCTGACCGGAAGACTTGGGCCACCCAAGCATATGAATCTACGAGGTGACACACCGCATATCCAAGCTGTTACGTTTAGTCGCCCAATCACTTGTGTCACATACTCGTAGGACTTTACTCACATAACCAAAAACCACAGGCTTCGCGAGACGAGGGCTGTGACACGAAGGCCGAGAGTGACACTGTTCGTCAGAGCAGTTGGGGACACCGAGGTTCGTGAATACCTCCGAAATTTCCGTATCACGCCAAAGTTCCTGATGAGCCATGGTGTCACCTCTCTCAATAGATTGAGCTGCCAGCTTTCGGTTTCAGTGTAGCCTTATAACCGGCCCTCGGACAAACTTGGGAGCCACCAACTTTACCCAGAAGAATTGTCACGCAGTCGGAAACCCGGAGCTGGTCCACCGAAGCCCCTCCGCCAACATGTCATGGATCACGAGAAGGTCAGAGCTCCATCCACATGATTGGGACTTGCTTGAGCTTTCACCACGGCCCAGTGAAGCATTCAAAATTTCGAGACCGTTTGAGATCCCTCATTCGAATTACTATCGGTCTCTCAGATCTAACAACGGGCCCAATCGGCGGGCAATTCGGCAGCTCCTTGCGAGTGAGGATGATATCCGCCATTGGTTAGATGTGAGCAATATCTGCTCTATTAAATGATTGTTACTGAAACCCTTTGAGACTATTGACCCCGTCGGTCAACACGAGGAAGCTTCATGCATAAATCTGATCATGGCTTCCAAAGCAGACTCACTTGATGAGCTCCCGTTCACCCAGACGGGATTCGAGACCATCATGAATAAGCTCAAGGTTCATGGGTCTATTGTGAGAGTTATCAATCGCAATACAAGCTGTGCTTTCCTTACTATTCCGTTTACATGGAATCTTCCGAATACGACCATTCCATCTATTAGTGAGTCTCCTTATCACACCCCATTCATTTGATTCTCACTTTGCTCTAGTATACAATTGTCGAACCTCCGCTTCTTGGGATGGGGATATGGCCCTTTCTGTGACATTCTTCCCTGAAACCCTGACGACTAACTCCGTTTGGTATGGATGTGATCTCTCGAAGCGCAAGTTTCACGGAGATCTGATCACAGATTCTGAGCTCATTTGCGATCAACTGGAAAACTTTGACGGTGACGTACTGCACCCGATGGTTCTTCCTGTGGTATTCGCAGGATTCGAGAGGGAGAGGCACATCGGTACAGTGAGGAAGTGTCTGACGCAATTTGTTCAGCGAATTCATGATCTAGCCTCCCCGGACCTACAAGCATTGGACAAGGACGAAGGCTCTTCGGGAAACAAGGAGATTAAGTCCGGATATGGCTTGCCATTAACCAAGGAAGGATGCTTAGCGCCTTACTTTCGGCTAGTATCAAGACTCATTCACTCGAAGGCTGCCAAGACTGTTCCCCCGCCGAAGACAAACTCGCATCAGAAAGAAGAAGAGCAAGAGCCTGCTGTCCTGTTGTGGCAAAACATCAGCTTTCTAAGGATTGGGCTCCAGAACTGGCAGACCCAACTCGGCAAGATGATCGATCATATCCATCAACTTAAGGATATTGATCACGACTTTAAACTTACAGAGAGAGACCCCAAGAACAAGAGCAGATCTCTTTGTCTCCGACAGGTGGGCGATAGACTAGAGACAAGGATTCAGGACCTCGTTGAGGAATATGACGAGTACATTAGACAATGTACACATATTATGGACGGCCTGACTTTGGCAACACAACTGGTGTGTACTAAACTCGTATAGAATTCAGCCTCTGGAGCTAAATCGAGATAGGAACTGAACAACATTGGCCGCAAAGACGCAAGAACCAACCAGAAAATCTCTCGTGTGAGTCTGGAGGTTGCACAAATGACTCGCCTTGATGGTAGTCTCATGAAGTCCATTGCCATGCTGGGCATGGTCTTCCTTCCTGCAACCTTTGTTTCTGTAAGTTCGCTGACACTTTGGCCGTCAAGCTCTAACAGCCGCAGACCTTCTTCTCCATGGGCTTTTTCCAGTGGACTGGTGAAGACGGGGAACGAAGCGAGATATTGTCGCCATATTTCTGGATTTATGTCGTTGTTGCTGTTGGCCTGACTATTTTTACCATGTCCATCTTTTATATCTGCACCTTGAGAGCAACTTTGTCTATAGTTGGTGATGATCGAGATCTTGTTTGATTTATTAAAGCAAAGAGTAGAGAATAGTGAGAATATCCTCGAGAGCCTTGAAACTTAATGCTACTGTAAGGTTTCTCGATATTTTTCTAAATAAAATACTGAAGCTTTGTTTCTCATTCATAAAATATCTATTGTGCACCTGCTTAAATTGTCTTCACGATGACCTCCACTCATTTCATGTGTTGTTTACAGTTGAGGTTTGTGGCTGCGACCTTAAATCAGCACAGAGAACCTAGTCCAAGAATTCATCAGCTACATGCTCAGTTTAGTATTTGCTATTCTAATCAACGTACCAAGAGTAGAAGGTATTAGTCAGTATGCATTCACAGAGTGCTTTGAGAGAATATTCAGAGCGCAACGTAGCATTGAAACAGTATTGACAGAAGACACTGAAATATTCACAGAAGGAATTGAGAAGCATTCACAGCATGTCGACATGGACTCACAGGACATCGACATGGATTCAGAGGGAATTGAGAAGTGTTCACAGGACATCGACCCGGATTCACAGGACTTCGACATGGATTCAGGGGGGGTTGATATGGATTCAGAGACAATTGACGAGTATTCACAGGACTTTGACATGGATTCAGGGAAAATTGATATGGATTCAGGGTGAATCGACATGGATTCAGAGCAAATTGAGAAGTGTTCACAGGACTTCGACATGGATTCAGGGGGGGGTTGATATGGATTCAGAGATAATTGACGAGTATTCAAGAGCATTCAAGGCGTATATAAGCCTCCGCGCAAGCAACAACTTAGAGCACCAAGCCAGCAATCTCCCACTGCAATCCCACTGTGCGCGACAATTTGAAAGTTCCTTCGCAGCACTCCTTGTTGATCAAACCCCGAGTCTTTTCAAATCACCACAGAGTACCCATTACAACATCACTTTACAAAAGCGAACTTATTTTCAGCATGATCCAATAATTTCTATCTCTCGAGTACGGGAACAAGAAGAGGCTTAAGGAAAAGCTTGACGATTACTTTGGAAGTGACACCTATGAGATATTCGAGGTTTGAGTTTCAAGTCCATTAATCTACCAAGTACTGACCATTATAGCGGTCTGGCAACCAATGGCAGATCATGGTTCCTAGAAAGCTAGAGCAGGTTTGTGATTCTGACTTCTTTGCTATGATCTCCGAACTCAATACTAATAGTGCGATGCACGCCTCTCAGACCGAAATCGAAGAAATCGAGGAACACATGAAACAGCACTACAAGTCTACGACCTAACGCTGATCTGGGAATGGGACAGGCAAGGAAGTGATTCGCTATTGGAAGTCATAGATTTCACAGCACACAGGTCAGGTCAACTCATCACGGGACAGCAATGGGGAACTGCTCTAAGTCAATTCCAAGAATGTGTCCTCACTGAGAGCATGAACTCGCTTTGAGATAGCATAACAGTTCTACACAATACACAAAGAAACACAAACCCCCAAACAAGGTTCAAGCCTTCCAGCCGCAACTGACAACCTGGTAATGCTAGGAGACTTGAAAGTTACTAGGCTTCCATGTGATACGCTGAAGGACAAACTCGGATATGCATTGCTTCCAGACGGAATCAACTTATAGGGGCTGTTTCTTCCACTGGGCTTCCTTCACTCCATTTGCCATGAAACAACCATCCACTATTCCAACAAGATCAATGAGACTCGGACACCAAGGCTAAAACCTAGTGTATTACAGGTATGTAAATATTGCGCTTCTCAACTCAAGTTGCGTCTCATCTAAATACCTCAAGTGGATTGTAAAGCTTGAATGCAAAATATGTCGCAAATACGGGCCAACCTTTCTTACACGGCTTCTACAATTCATCAAAGATGAGATGCTACACCCAGAAAGGAAGGATAGAGCGGATTATAAGAGGATCCTGGACTATTTCCATACGTTTGTGGGAAAACAGGTATTTAGAAACTGGGGAATTGATTTGTAAAATATTATCAGAAGTATTAAGATACCTGTCAACTTTGAGTTCACCAATAATAAGTTAAGGGAGGTTTTGGGCCCTATAAACGCACGCAGAGAATAGATAAACATCGTTAATAAAGATAAATCACCTATGATCAGCAATAATATCACAGATCTAAACATCGTCAATCCCGCTGTTTCCATCCACATAAATTTGTCGGTAAGAAGCTCGGCCTTTCATCCGGTTCCACCAAGTAAGTAGATTTGTGTGAGCCTCTAGAAGGGTAGGCCAAACTCCATCTTGCAGGTAGTGCATATACGGGACGTAGAAAAAGTCGACCAGTGTCACAGTCTATGTATGTCAGCTGCTCTGTTACAAGAGTCAAATTGCAGCCATACTAACCTCGCCAGCCATGAAAGGCTGTGTGCTGAGCTTTTGGTCAAGGAGTCTCAGAACTCGTTCAAGTTTCTTTTTAAGATCCCTGACGACCTGTTCATTGGGCTCTTGCTTCATGAATTGCCTGGGAGGAGCTGTTAGCTTCTGATCGTCGCCTCAGCAGGGCAACCCACGACTTAAAGTAGGCTTCAAAGGCCAGTGGGTTCGCAACAGCATCGAAAGAGGTCAATTCGATAGATGCAGCCTCTTCAAACTTGGCCTTTGCAACTTGACCATCGGGTATGAGTTTATTGTCCGGTCCGCCATATCGATCAGCGAGATATCGAGCAATAGCGCGTGACTCGGTCAGAACAAGAACTGGATCATGCGAGTGGTCCTGGAGGCACGGGACAGCGCCGAAAAGGTTGATTTCGAGGAACTCCGGCTTCTAATACAGTTACAATGACTATCAGCGTCACCTGGCCGCATATTCAGTATCGATATCACATACCTGCTGCTCACGCTTGATAATGTCCACCTCATGAATGTTGGTGATGTTGAGGCCCAGCTCGAGAATTACCAATTGTAGTCGCTGGGGACAAGGGAACCGGCTGTCGGTATAAAGTGTTAATTGAGACATTTTCGTAGCAATGAGTAAGGTAGTGATGAGATGGGATTAATGAGGGTTTTTGTTGGATAAGTATCCAGAATTTGGAGGCCTGTTTAGTCTTTAAGTAGAAGACTGCAGAAAAGTCCACTTCAACATAACCCAGTCTCAAAATGGGTCTGTTGGAGGCATAATCGACGCGTAGACTCCTACTTCTCATGGTTGGGGCGGTTCTGCCCGCAATTTCAGGCACCATATATACGTAGGCAATCAAAAGTCGTCAAAAGTACCGCGCTAAGTGTCTTGAGCACACGTAAACTAGTGAAAGCCTGGAGTAATTCCGATTTTAATTATTTAGTATTGGATGCAGGGCTTTAGTAGACCTCGGCTATTCATCTCAAACAAGATGAGGCCGGCGAATGACTCAATCGCTCCCCTGTACATGATGCGCTCAATGACATGGCCGAATTGAGTGGGCCAAGACAGCTACCTACTCACAACAAGCACTGGAACCAAAAACAGCGAGCCACCAAGAGAGAATGAGTCAAAATGAGATGTTTCCGCAATTCTTCTCGATAGAGTATGGAAGGCAGAGGAGACGCTTTAAGACTACAAACTGAATATCTGTTTCTATCTCTGAGTGACAAAGATAGGCCGCTGAAGTCCCAATGTAAAAGAAAACATCTGCAAACCTTCAAGAACCAATAGGAGCGGGAGAGATTCTGAAAAGACAATAGCATGGTGTTGCAAGGTGGAATGGTTTGAGGAAATTGCAACGATCTAATATGAGCTGCTCCCGGCGACTTTTGGTAGAATATACTGTGAAAACAAATTGACACTTGATGGACTTTCTATGAACCTAACATTTAAGATACAATATTATTAAACATAACTATCCCAGTTTAATTTCCTGTTCTGACTTGAAGTACGTGAAAACAAGTCAAGTCAAGTTTTTTCTTCACAGTTCGTAGATTCAAGTCGTCACTGCTAAGACGTTGGCGCGTCACTCTCATTCATGGTCTAGTCTTGGTTTCAGTCACTGAATATACAGGAATGAGCTATTTCTACTTGGCTTGGGTTATTCTTATAGGAGCTTTTGAGTCAACTAACATATGAGATGTTTGGATCGCAAATTATCTCGAACGTACAGCCTGAGACGGACTCAGGTGTCGTTGTGAAATTCCTGGCATTTGCTGAAGAGGAAATGATGCATCCTGAGAGGGTTCAGAGGGCTGACTGTCGACGGGTCCTTGAATTCTTCCATGAGCATATGGATTAAAGCATTCCAGAGCGAACAGTCTCTACCATAAAGCAAAGATAGGCCTGGGGCCTAAAAGGTGAGACAAGTTTGCTTCTACTTGGCCTTACGGTGTAACTTTGAGGGTCAGTTCAATATCAAGAAAGACAATTTACTCGATGTTTCATGACAATATTACACTAAATGTGATTCACGCACTGACAAACGACTATATACATAAGATACAGTCTTAATAACTGAAGATTGTACTTGTGTATTTTAATAGAGCATCGAGTCTTCCAGCTGAGAGAAGAATGTGAAAGCCTACCATAATCATTAGCGCTAGCCACGTCGACACGTCCGCACCTGATACATACCGAAGAGTCAAGATCCAACCAGTCAGTCGGCTGCCACTGACTCAATGGATTCATAATAGACTGCAACCCCGAACTAGTCTCAACCTGCTCGTCAAACATGGAACCCAACTCATCTATACTCGTACCCGACTCATGTTCACTTGAAATGAGCGACTCCTGTTGACACTGCATTGTCTGTGACGGCCTTGTAGCATGCTGTGGTCCTTGTCTTGCTTCCTGTCGCAGCTCCTCAATGATGATGCTGTATCTCCGGCTTGCAGACTCAGCAGCAATAGTTCGTGCCAGATGATTCTGGCATTTCTCTGCGAGATCGAAGAGCAACGCGTTGCCAGGATCAGCGGTGGTGTTGCTCCTTTGTTGAATGTCCCATACATACACCACTGCCAATGCACAGAAGGTCACATAAGGCATCCACCACAAGGCATGGAATAAAACTGATTTCTCGGAGAACATGCCGTCGACAATTTCTAGTGCGAGCTTGGCTGCGCTTATACACTGTGTCACACAAGCCTTTAAGGCAGGGCTGCAATCTTCTGAGTGATCAAGAAGGAATGGACGTGTCGTGTGCATTACAGCGTGGCAGTACGCAAGCTTTAGAGCAGTAGCTTGTCGAGAAAATATCGGTATCAGGCTTGAAGGACGAACGGTGCCGAGGTGCGGAGGGAGAGCTTGACGCCATTCGTGGAGTTGTTGGATGAAGCATTGTGCTGCTGCAAGGCGTTCTTCAGGTGGCATCTTTTTGAGTGAGTACACTTGCCGTGATACATTTTCGATGATTATTGCGATCCTGATAAGCTATAAGTAATGATAGACGTATCCTGTTGGGGTTGTCCTACCTTGCGTGAAAGATTAACGAGTCAACATGGCAGTCCATGGCGGGCTCCAGTGGTGAAGGTCCTTGTGGTGTCATATCCTCATCGTTGACACTATCAGGGAGCTCCTGGTCGACATCGTTGTCATGATAAAACCGAGGTCTGCCAAAAACAACAGCTAGGTATTTATCAATGGTATAAAGAACCCAAAATGTTCTCTTCCGACACTCAGATATGATGTAATCAGTGGGCTGTCGACCTCCATTTCGATACTGAGTTGACTTCCGATGCAGACCAAGCGCTGTAACGATAGGTACAGTATTTCCGAAGACATACCAAGCTTGGTTCATCCGAGATGTTTGCAAGAGATAAAGAACCTGTAGAACTCGCGCCTGGGCTGATTCAAGACGAGGGAGGCCGGTCTCTTGGGCAGTGAGCTCAGATGCTTGGAGGAAATACTGTTCGCTCTGCTGTGACATAATAGACATGCCACCGGGAAGTGAACCCTGTTCTGATATTCTGTGTTGCCGAAAACTCGCAATGGCAAGAATATTGACTACTATCGCGGCTTTTGCATGGCCAATGCCTGTGTCCAACGGCTGTCCGTTGTGAGCATTGTTGATGACAGCTTCAAACCATACCTGGCAGTATTGCCTATTCAGAACACGGTATGTGACGACACAGTTCTCGAAATAGTAGTTGAACAGCTCAAAGACTTCTGGCTGATTGACAAACATCAAGCTCGAATCACCCCTTGTAGTAAAGGGCTTATCACCCGCAGACATAAGAGGCTGTAGATTCTCCGCGCCTGTTAATACTCCAGACCTCGACTCTGTTTGCTGCGTCTGCTGCGCCAATCTCTTCCATGCACGATGCACAAAAGTCAGATTCGACGTTGGATCGAAGAATTGACCCTCAATCTCCGCAGTCTCAAGGCCAGAGTCTCCTTGTGATGTAGATCTTGAACTTGTTTGTTCAGGATTGGTATCAGGAGGAGCAGAACTCATAGATCCTCGCTGTGGTCCGACGGTCGGCGGCGTCGGTGGCCTTCCTCTTCGATAGAGCGAGTCATATTGACAGTCCAGCCGTCTTTTGACACAGCCTGCACAGGGGAGAGTCCCAGAGCATTTGAGCTTCTTGAGTTTACAGTGATCACAGGCTCGGCTAACCTGCTTCGTGTGAGAACATGTAAATAAATCCGTCTTGAACAAAACAACTCACCTTGGACGCTTTCCGACGGTTCTCGGACTCGCGGGTTGTATCTGGCGATAGAGGCAGAACGCGTTTTGACCGATTCACTGGATTTGTGGCCGTTGATGCTTCGGACAATGGTGTTGTTACTGGGGTAGTCATTTTTGGTGGGTTTCCGAGGTTGAAGGGGGAGGAATCCGAGATGTGGAGGAGAAGAGTGCGGGGAGCTCGGATATTATAGAGCATGGGTGAGCTAGTTGCTCCGGATTTTCTATGACCCCATGCTCTAGCCACCCTGGGGCTACTACGGGACGAGGTATGAAGTTTGTGGAATGTTCATCAGGCGATCTGTGTTTTTCACTTGGATCTGCTGATCGAATTGAGACTTGAATATCAAGGTCTGTGTATTTTAGTAGATTCCTAGATGTTCTGTTAGCCTTGGGGCTGTAGGATTGATCTAAAGGTCAACAGCTCTATGGTTGATACTCCTACATCTTGTGAAAACAATATAAATATTTATAAGGCGTGCTATAAGTAGCAGAGAAAATGTCATGTGTCTCCATCTATGATTGAGTTGACTTGTCCGTATCTTAACAGTTTTAGGTAAAAACAACAGATGCAAAGTTATTTAACAGATGATATGAGATTCTTTTGCTCTAAATCTACAGTACAAGCTCTATGCTATTCCAATCCCAACCCTAAATTTAAGCAACCTTCTTAAGAGTCGCCGATGAAATAGCAGCGTGAATCTCCTCCTCAGCTCCATCAGGAAGAGGCAACAAAGGCGATCGCACAGTAGCATGCGACAAGATCCCCCTAGCAACAAGCGCATGCTTCAGCGCAACAGTGCCCTCCATATGCGAACCCCGGTGATAAACAGCCTTGGTCACAGGAAGAAGCAGATCGTGAATCTCCCTCGCCTTAGCGTAGTCCTTAGCCTTGCCAGCCTTGATCAGCTCGAGCAGAGGCTCAGGGGCAATACCACCATAACCAACAAGCATGCCGTCCACGTCAAAGGCGGTGTGGAGGAGGTACTCGTCGTGGCAGGTTAGGACGGGCACGTTGGGACGCTCGCGGCGGAAGACGGGGATCTCGGTATCCCAGCGTCGCATGTTGCGAACGCCGTTCTTCATGGCGATGACACCAGGTTGAGCGGCGATGTCGAGGAGAGTCTGGAGGTTGTATGTAGCCTTGGTGTTATCAGGATACTGGAACAAGATCAGAGGCAGTTTCGAGACCTCATAGACAACCTTGTAGCGATCTTGAGGCGCACCGGGCTGATAACCGAAGCGCAACCATCCATGCGATGGGTACAGAAGACCAGCTTGCGCACCAGCCTCTTTAGCACGCTTGGCCTCTAGGGCTGCGACTTCAGTGCCCTCGCCGGTAATACCGGCGATGATGGGGATCTTGTTATCAACGGACTTGACGAACGCCTTGATGGTGTCGACCTGTTCCTGCTGGGTGAGGAAGGTTCCTTCTCCGGCGTGGCCTAGAACGACGAGACCCTTGACGCCGTCGATGCTGCCGAGCCAAGAGCCCAGACGCTGGATGGCGTCGTAGTCTACTTTGCCATCCTTGGTGAAGGGGGTGACGGGGGCGGGGACGAGGCCTTTGAGATCGAAAGACATTATGATTGGTTGTTAGACTTTAACGTGTTCAAGTGTAGTTGAGAGGTGGTGATGAGTGTTCAAGATTGCTCTTGTTGTTGTGATTGTTGAGTGATGTGATGATTTATTTCTCTTCCATTGAGTTTATCGTCTTCTTATATATCTAGAACAAGTCTCCATCTCGCGCCTCGGCCTTCATCTTCAGAAGGCGAATTCACAAACTTCACGACAATCCTCCCGACGGAATCCGAGTATCCGAGATGCCCTGATTCACAAGTATCACCACTTTCAGAGGCGCTGCTTGGATTTCCGAGTGTGCCCGGATTCTTTCGCCGGCCTGACAAACTCAATTTCCACCCATGACCCCATATTCTACTAGCCCACCCCGGAAATGCCTCTCATTGGTTGACGTCCTACTAGTTTTCTACATGGTCTCATCCCCCGCATCCCCGGACTTTGCAACTCCACAATCCAACCCCAGACTCTAGGACCATGACTAGAATTTCTTCGCATTTCCCTGTTCTCCTACAGAATGACACTCAGCTGAATCATCCTAGCTAGGATATAAAGGTACCTCTTGGACCTTGATCTTCTCACTTTTTTTCTCATCAGACATCTTCTTCTCAAGATTTCAGCTCGCAATGGCAACTCAGACTCAAGATATCGAACGCGAGTATTCGCGTGATGAAAAGTCTGGGATTACGCATAATGAGCATGCCCAGAATGGTTTATCTCAAGAAGATGCTGACTTCTTGAATAACTTTCCTGAGGAGAGGAAGAAGGCTATTATTCGAAAAGTCGATGTAAGTTCTTTCACCCAATGAGTACTTCTGCTTACTTACGCAGATCAGTGGCGGTTGATTCCTATGCTTGTTCTCTTGTATCTTATTGCATACCTGGACAAGACCAACATTGGTAGGTCTCATCTATCGTATTCTACAAGATAAATGGCTAATTTTTATAGGAAATGCAAAGATTGAAGGCATGACTGTTGACTTGCACCTCAAGGGCATCGAGTACAACATCGTCACCGCCATCTTCTTCATCCCCTTCGTCCTCTGCGAAGTCCCTTCCAATATGATCCTCCACAAGTTCAAGAGACCATCTTGGTACATGGGCGGCATCGTCTTTTGCTGGGGTCTCGTCATGACTCTCACAGCCTTGGTCCAGAACTACGCTGGACTTCTAGTCATTCGATTCATGCTTGGTATCTTTGAGTGAGTCTCCTTAATCTCGCTAATAATCTGTAATCACATAATGACTTGGATAGGGCCGGTTTCCTCCCCGGTGCAATCCTCATCATCTCAAACTGGTACCTCCCCAACGAAACGCAAACCCGAATCGCAATCCTCTACACATCAGCTGCAACAGGCGGTGCCTTTTCCGGCCTTCTAGCCTTCGCCATCGCCAAGATGGACGGCATGGCAGGTCTTGAAGGCTGGCGTTGGATCTTCCTCCTCGAAGGTCTTTTCACCGTCGTTGTCGCCATAATGTGTGTCTTCCTCCTCTGCGATTCACCAGCCCTATCCACACGCTGGCTCGACGCAGATGAGATTCGATATCTTGAACTCCGACAACTTGCCCGTCGGGCTACAGTCCCAATGGACTACAAGGAGAACGATCACTTTAATCTCCGTCTTTTCAAGGATATTCTCATGGATTACAAGATTTGGCTCTTGTTCTTTGCGAACTGGTCGAATGCGGTGCCCAACTATGCTATGAAGTTCACTATGCCTACTATCCTGACGGGTATGGGATATACTTCTTCTGATGCGCAGCTGATGACTATCCCTCCTTATGCTATTGGAGCTATTTCCGCTTATTTGTTCGCCATCTTTGCGGATAAGTACTCATGGCGCGCTCCTTTCATCTTGGGGCCTCAATGCTGTCTTGTTGTTGCTTTCATCATCTTGTTTGTCAAGTCCAGCAACATCGAGGACAACATTGCTGTTTGTTACTTTGCCGTCTGTCTCGCATGCTTCGGGTAAGCCCTCACCCATCATCCTCATAGTCAGTTGCTAACGATTATCAGCATGTATCCTATTCTTCCCGGTGTCAACGCGTGGAATGTCGCCAACACGCCCGATCCAGCCAAGCGATCCGTCAACATTGGCCTTCTCGTCTGTGTCGGCAACATCGGCGGCCTCATCGGCTCTTACATTTACCTCGCGCACGAAGCTCCCCGCTACCCTACCGGCTACGGAACTTCTCTGGCCTTCGGTCTGGCTGGTATTGTCGCAGTTTTGTTGCTGGAGACGCTTCTGAAGAGAGGTAATGCTAAGAAGGCGAAGATGAGTGAGGAAGAGATCAGGCAGAGATATACGGATGACGATCTTGTTCGCATGGGAGAGAAGAGCCCATTGTTCAAGTATGCTCTGTAGATGTCTGCTGGTGTTACGGATACACAAGTTACAATACCTAGGCTAGTGAATATCAGAATGGCTCATGAGTGAATAGTCTAAGCTTAGAAGAGTTATCCTAAATTGCAAAGAATTGGATAAGTTTAGTATAAATTGGTGGTTCTTTAGGACAGTTATTTATTCTTTAGGCCTTCATCCAAGGTCACAAGTCTAATTACTCCATATGGACAACCATCCGTATAATCCTTGCTCAATTGACTTTCCACCATCTCAGCCTCATTTACCCGCCCAACGTCGTCTAGTCTCACCACTTTACCCCAACCCCAGACCCGTCTGACAATCCTACACACCATCTCACAACATGATTGGTGCCCACAGCCCGTAGACAAACCAACCCATGTCCAGGCAGCATCTTTCTCGCCTCTTTGATTCGAGCCAAGCATTGGCACCATAGCAAACCAACCCTTGCAGTTACGTTGGATAATCATGACGTTGCGGTTTTTACCTTATAATCAGCCGCATTCCATCCCCCTTTTGTTTGCTGACAGCCCCAGATCTTGCAACTCAAAATGTCGCGATGGCGCCAAATCCCGATATCACGACGAGAGCGCAGCAGGTGTTGGAGGCGTGGAGTCAGGGCTTCAATGTCGGGGCTGTGATTATTCTTCTTTTGCTGGTCTTGTGCAATTATCGCAAGAATACGCTTTTGCATAAGCTTATTCTCAGTGAGGTGAGTAATTTCTTTGTTTTTTGCCATTGAATATCGATTAATCGCGAGTAGCTTCTTCTTGCACTTGGACATGGGTTCTTTTGCTTTTTTGATGAACCTGAATATGGATGGTAGTATTGTATCGCTCCACTATGAATTGGGTTGTTAACTTGCAGCAGGGTCCTCAGCAGCACGGCAACTCTATTATACATCTCATACTTCATCCATAACCTCATCGCATGGCTCAAGATCCGTCCATTCCTCCCCAAGTGGGGAGCTCGTATCTTCATCATCTCACTCCTCATCGTCCAGCCCTACTGGGTTCTCGAAACATGGGCCAACTTTCAATATCACAATCGTCTCGGTAGTAAAGTCTTCAACACATCACGACTCCTCGAACCACTCTTCAGAGACCCCTGGTGGGTATTCACCACTATCAAACTGGTCCTAGCCATCAACGAGAACTACGAGTTTACGATTCCTGGCCTTATTCGAACTAGTCCACGATTTGGAATCATGCTATTCTCTTTGTTCTTGTCGATCGTGTTTTTGATCACTGATGTCATTTTCATGATTGCCGTGTCGAAAAGAGGGGGCATCAATCCGTTCTGGAGGGTGAGTTTCTTTGTTCTTCCATCAAGCCACTTTCTTACAGGTTCCAGCTCGCTTTGGTTTTCAAGTGTGCTTCTGATGTCATTTTCCTGGATGATTTCAAGAGCGTCCTTGACAGAATTTCAGAATCAGCTATGCGGAAGATCACAACATTTGAATATCGAGATAACGCCTCGGCATCCGTTAACCAGCACCCTTCAGTTGATTTTTCCTCGCCCAACTTCCAAAGAAAAGACCCAAGATTCAGATCATCATCTAGAGCTGAGATGGGCTCTATTCTTCATCCAGTGGGATCTCGAGATGACGGTCATTATGAATTTGCTTCAAACTATAGTCAGCCCTCGGTGGAAGACGGTGCTGCACGACCGTGGCTTGCAGACGATGCAAGACGTTCGAGCTCTCATTCACCAAGACGAAGAGGGGAATCCCAAGACAATATGATCACTATACAAGAGGTACATATGCCCTCATCGCACATTGGATTTCAGCTGACTCGATGATAGGATGATAGAATCAACGAAGTGGAGGATATTCCGATGGAACCAGTAAGGGCACGGACAAAGAATGATCAAGCACACTAACAAAGGGTGTATGAGGTATAAAAATGATATTATAATAAAATAAATCTATATGTGGTATTCCCCATTATTCCATAACAGCATCCAAACATTTTGTCTAATCCCAATAAACATTATAACATGCCATGTCAGTCCTAAGACTGACTCCCTATCTCCATAGCAATATTAAGCATACTTCTAGGCCACCACTTCTCTACGCCCAAAAACTCCCCAAAGAAACTCTTCCTACTCGTATACTTCACTATCCTATCCAACTCACAAGCCCCAATCCCTCCAATCCACCAAACACCATCTAACAGCATAACCAAAACCAGCCAGTGAGAGAAGATATCCATAGCAAGTCTCGTTGTCTCAGACACCTCGCCATCGCACTGAATACCCTCGTCGGGAATGCCATCAGGACTAGTGGGGATATTATCAAGCACAGACTCGACGATACTGAGGAACTCGCCGGGGATTCGGTTCAAAAACCACATTATGGTTCGCCGGAGGGGTTTGGGTGGTGTCGAGAATGTTACGCGGGCCATGTAACTTCGAAGCCAGGGTGAAACATCTGATAACTGGCTCAGGGCTGCCCAACCTGCCTCGAGATCAGGTTGTTGAGAATCTGTATAAGCGCTCTGATCTGGATGAAACAGCTCATTCACGATACTGTTCAACGCTTCAAGAGCTACAAGACAAGCTTGGAGTTCTGTGTCGTCACCTGGTGACTCCCAAGAAGGCTTCAAGTGCGCAGCAAACTCCAAAGCCTCCGCTCTTGTTCTCAACTTGTCCAGCGCGGACCCCGATGTCGCTGCGATGATAGGCATGAGAAGTTGCTCCGTCTGAGGCGTAGGTCCATTCTCGCCCAAAGGAACTAAACCATTAGTTGACTGGTTATTCAGTGTGATATCAGGCGGACTAGCTGTAAAGTCCTCCAAGAAGCCAAAATCTTTGGTTGAGTGCAAAAGGCCTGTATAAGCCAAATGGGCTGCCCGAATAAGCGTCATCCAATGTAACTGAGCAGGCGCCAAACTAGTTCTCTCCCCTTCATCGAGCGTCTTTGCGACCTCGATTCTCACCGCGTGGTTGGCTGTTGCGTAAAGAACCATAAGAGGAGCGTTGGCAACAACATGATCGTAGTGATTGGCAATTGGAATATCAGCTCTAGTCTGACGAAGCGACACCCTATGATGTCCATCCGCAAGAGCAAGTAAATGCCTGACCTGACTCTTATCAACCCTCTGCAAAGGCTGAGATATCAAATCGTGACACTTTCGCACAGCTGCGAGAGCGAGGATAGAGCTCATGAGGGGTTTACTTCTGAAAGCCAAGTTCGGGAAGCCAACTTGCAAAGCATATAGATCATCTTCATCGTAGGCTAGTGATCGAGCTGTGTGGGAGAGATAATAGCTGAAGAGTTCAAGCTCTGCGGCGCCGAGATCAACTGATGGAAGGGGGATTTCCTGGGGGAGGAGGGTGAAGTTGGGACTTGGTGCGAGATAGGGCGATAGACCGGGGGAGAGGTCTGATGTTGAGAGACTTGCGTTTGTTGAAGGGGCGTAGTGTGGTGCTGGGATGGTAAGAGATTGCAGTTGAGTCCATGTGTCCTCTTGAGTAGGTGATCTCAATGGACGAGATTTCTGACGAGGGTATTCACATGGGATGTCCTTATCGAGACATCGCGAACATTGAGGTCGTTGCTCATCACACTATGTCTGTCAGAACACAAGTCATTAATGATAAATGGGGGAAATTACCTTTTTTCTTCGCTGTTTGCAGCCCAGGCATCCATGTCTAGACTTTGTATGCGATCTTCTCGATCGAGCAGTAGAAGTCGTTTTACGCGACGGCGATTCCTGAATCGTAGACATATTAATTACTCTATAGTCAAACAATAAGGTAAGCATGATTAAAGAGCGTGGCGACTAGACTTATATATCCCCCGTCCTCTCAATTAAGCTTACATCGTCACCCTCTGTGAGTGGTTGACGCGAGATCCACATTCAAACCGCAGTCACAATGATTTGAATTAATTTTCTCAGCCGCGAAATTGAGCTACGTAATCACCTACCCAAAGCCGAACCCGGCGCCGCGGGACCGCCCACGCGGGGGGGGGAACTGCGCCCCTCTTGGCTCAGCCCCGAGAATTTGGAATTTGGAATTTCTGTCAGCGCGATGATGACTGGAAAACGTCAACCAATTGGAAGGGAGATGGGGGAATTGGGTGGTCGGCCAGCGAAAATGGACGCCGAATTACAGTGTTGGACTGACTGCTACTGTACCCAGTCTATCCCGACATTTAACATCAAAAGCAACAGTTCTTGTACAGGCAGTTCTAAGGAGCAACCCATCCAGTCTGTGTCATTGCAGCCAACAATGGACTTACAAGAGATAGCGTCGCACCAAGTCCCCGTCGCAAAAATGGCCTAAAGCGGTGGTGATTACTACCCTGCGATGCTGTGCTGACAATATGAGTCGAAGTGTCGGTGAGCTAATGATTGCCGCTAGAAGAGAATTGGAAGGGCGGCAGAATAAACTCGCCGATCATATGCAGTCATCTTGTTGCGTGGGTTCATCGGCAAGTGAGTGATAACGTGCTGAGAGTGATGATGTCTTGAATGAGGATTAGGCAGCAACATCAACAGATGCTGAAGTCTACGATCATTACTAATCCATTATATGATGCAACATTACGAATGGGGTCCCTGTCTGGGTCAGCTTAGGATAAAATATCGTAAAAACGAAGGAATGTATGAATGGTATAGGGTAGTCGATCGCAAACCTGCCCAGGTTAATGACAATCGTCAATATTCTCCATGCTGGTACAATGGTATCTACATAATCAGCGCTTATCTAAATGAACCCTAACACAAAATTACACCATGCAACCCGGGTATCCCATAAACTCTCTGTCCAGGGGGGTATATGCTAATCTCTCATTTCCCATCCACCTCAACACTGCGTACGATGTGCGCGCGACGGACACCCATTCTATAGTGCCTCCGAAAGCCGCTAACCTGTGTCTCTCTGCCTTCACTGTCCTCTCCGTCTTCTTCGTCGATTTGATCGTAGTTCTGTGCCGGTTCTTCCTTGAACCCGGCATCTTCAATCGTAGGCGCAACACTGTCCTCTTCCGTCGAGTGTCGACTGCTTTCAGCTACAGAAATTCTCAGCTTCAACCTCAATGCCTATGATGAGTCGTGTTACCTGTGCTCAGTGTCACGGACTGATCTCGGGCGCTGTTCTCAGGACCTCGATGGCTTGCTGGTCGAAACCGATGGCTTCTCTTTGGCGCGGTCGCATCACCCTGCGTGCCCCCGGTCAGTGGGTCGTTGCACCACTCTGCGTAGTATTCGAGGTACTCTTCAACGGACTCTTTGTTCCGAGTGCGAGGGCAAGTCTTATCGTAGACCTTGAGCTTGTTCAACGGGACCCAACCCGACCTGCAATCATGTGGGAAATCTTGAGTAGGGCGAAAGAAAAGACCCGGAAGGCTACGCTTGTGAGCCAAATCCCCATCATCTTCATAGCCAGGGGCCCAAGGCGACGGAGTAAGATCCGTGGTTTTTGCGCCTTCGTAGCATTTGGGGATTGTTGTGTGGAGTTCTATCTCCTGCAAGACCTTGTTGAACTTGAGACGTGGGAAAGGTCCCCATGGAAGGATCATGAGAGGAGAGAAGAACTTGGTTCTGTCATTATACAAGCAGACGATGTCTCCCGGCTTCGCATTGATGATTCGAGGATCGACGTCCTTGAATGACTTGGGAGGCACCCAATGAGCGTTGGGATTCTTCCGTCTCCCGCGTTTCCCTTTCTTCTTTCGTGTACTCCCGCGCCTCCGACGTTCGGATCGCTCTTCGGGCCCTTCATCCTCAGTTTCGAGCTCTGTCTCATCGCCATCTGGTTCCACAGGCAGAGGACAGAGCGCATTGTTCTTCTCGGCGAGCTCGGCATTGCAGTCCGACACATGGGTTCCCAGCACCTGAACAACCTGCTCCTCAGTGGTACTAAAACTGCGGCCGTGGTTGTGGTAGAAATGGTCATATGCATCCTCAACAACATCCTCCCCCTGGAACTTTACATCGCAGTCCTTACACTCCAGGATGTACCAGTTTCCCTGGCGAAACGGAAACTGCACAATCCTGTACTTGGCTGGAGTGTCGCCGCCCTGAAAGACCTCACTGAACTTGATAAATCGGTCTGGCGTAAGGGAAGGTGTTATTTGGCCTCGACGACTGCGCTTGACGGGTCGGTTCTCATCGAGCGAGATGTTGGAGGATCTCCGTCGTGATGCAGAGGTTCTGGGCTTTCTGCTCGAAATACGTTCGGCGTTGTCGGCCAACGGGGCTTGGGATTCAGCGGTCGCATCGCGCTCTGGACCGGCTCTTTCCAGACTATCATGGACTACAGAGCTACGCGCAGGGGTAGGTATTGAACTAGCTGGCAGAGGAGGGTTGGGAGCTGGGGGCGTAGGTATCGAATAAGCTGGTAGGGGCGCTCGCGAAGGTATGGGTATTGAATCGGCTGAGAGAGGATCTCGTGGAGCTTGGGATGTAGGAGCTGCGAGCGCCAGAAGGCCCTCCGGAGCCGTGGCCCAGTCGTCGATGAGCTGTTGCAAGAACCGAGCTTTGTCTTTCTCGATTTCCTCCTCGAGCTTCGATTGCTCTAGAATAAGCGTCCTGAATGGCCGGATATCAATCTTGCCAGCTGTGTCCTCACGGAATCTCTTAGCATTCTGTTGGGCCAGCTCCTCAAGCTGATCGACGCGTTGCTGCCGCGCAAGGATCTCGGGGGTTCGGAAGTAGTTGTCTAGCGCCTGGAGCCGCGGCACCTTGTCCAGGATGGACTTTGAGATTGCGAGTAGATCGTCCATGCTGGACGTCAATCAGGCGGCACTTCACAGGAGTAGATAGTGCGAGAGCATGAGAAGGATGTCATGAATGAATTATAGCGATCGCATTCGAGAGGGAGTGGAAGGATGGAGGAGGGAAACGGGCGGGATGGGAGATGCGGGGCTTGAAAGTGCAGTAACTAAAGTTAAGCTGTGAGCCGTGTTTCCTACAGATGACGGGGCTTGGAGCTTGGGCCAATGGACGTGGGTGTTGGTCGCAAACGAAAACGCGAAGTGTCAGCTATCGTACGGATAGGGACTAGCGCGGCTCCTCATTGGCACATGATTCCTCTTCCCTCTTGTCTCAGCGGGAAGCGACAGCGAGTATGACATCTTATATCAATTCAGGAAAAGATGTGAAATTACATAGGTACATTAAGGAGTAAAAGAGAATAACTAAAGATATATATATATGGAAGTAAAATTGTGAGACAGTGGCGGCAGGTTTAAGCTTGCACGCAAACCCAATAGTCCACCCACAAGCTCGTGCAAGTCGAACCAATAGCAGGATTCCACTTGAAAAGATTGGCCATCGTGATCTTGTAGTAATTCTGAATCGAGGCGCAAGTTGTGGTTGACTTTACCTGATGGAACTTCTTACAGTTCTTGGTTATACCGCTCTGGATAGGTGAAGGAGTCGTGACACCGTTGCTTGGCTGGGTCGGTGTTGGCGTTTGTCCAACTACGCCCACGCAGACGTTGTAATCAACCCACAAAGCTGTGCATTTAGAACCTATAGCTGGGTTCCATGCATAGAAGTCGGCGAAGGAGATCTTGTAATAATCCTGAATTGAAGCACAGGTCGTTGTTGATTTGACGGTATGAAACTTGTTGCAGCTCTTGGTCATACCGGCTTGTATAGGCGTGGGAGTTGTTATTCCATTGCCTGTACTTGTTGGTGAAGGCTGCTGGCCGATGATACCTACACAAACGTTGTAGCCTACCAAGAGGGATGTACAGGTTGAGCCTATGGCGGGATTCCAGGCATAAAAGTCCGCGAAGGAGATCTTGTAATAGTCCTGAATCGAGGCACACGTGGTTGTTGACTTGATAGTATGAAACTTGTTGCAGTTCTTGGTCATGCCGGTCTGGATAGGCGTGGGAGTGGTGATTCCATTGCTAGGTGTCGTAGGAGTCGGGGCTGTCCAGCCAACTACACTGACACAGACCCAGTAGTCGACGAGCAAAGACTGACAGTTTGTGCCGACCGCGGGATTCCAGGAATAAAAGTCCTTGAGAGGAAGCTTATAGTAATTCTCTATAGAGTTGCAAGTTGTAGTCGATTTGATGAGATGGAACTTGTTGCAGCTCTTGGTCATACCGGCCTGGATAGGTGATGGTGTTTCGATCCCGTTGGTAGGTTTAGTAGACTGCGTAGGAGTTGCTGTATGTCCTATGACAGACACACAGACCCAGACATTAGCCCATAGCCCCGAACAGCCTGTGCCTAGCTTGGGGTTCCAAGTCGTGAACTGGGCTAGGGTTATGCCGTGCTTGGAGGAGACTGCATTACAGTTGTCACCTTGCTGAACAAAGTAGAACTTGTTACAGTTCGATACCATGCCAGGCTGTATTGGGTCAGGCGTCTCGACGCCATTGCCGCCTACGGCAGTTGTAGATGGCTTCGTGGGTGTTGTCTTCGAAGGAACGAGAGTGGTAGAGGACGGAGGAGCCGTAGTGAACTTGGTCGTGGTGCTACTGACAGGGACGGGTACTTCTTTCTCTTGAATGCAATAGGAGAATCCCTCCTTGAAGTTGCCGCATTCTGCAGTGATGGAGGGGTTCTATATGTCCCATTAGCGTTGGTATTTAGGGGACAACTGTCGTAACAAACCCATCTGATCAGGTCTTCCAAAGACAGATTCCATGCATAAGGGATCAGCTCACACGGAAGTGAACCGTCGTTGTCATACCAAGAAGCACAGCTCTGTGTGGTTCCCGGGGCGATAGGCATAGACGGCTTATCATCGCGGCGCTGATGGCGAGATGAAGAGCCGTGGCTGGCTTGAAAGAGAAGGGAGAGAGTCCCAAGAAGGAATAATTGCATGGCGAACCAAAGCGAGGGGACGGATTGCAATACTTGCTTGTAGGAGGCAGGAGTAGGTCTCAAGACATATACTTTCTTCATCCTACCTTATATACATTTGAATGTCTTGGGTATTCGGGTAGCCCTTCATCGTAGACAGGCAGTTCGGCCGTGCCCAGGGATCGTCTCCATTCTCGTTGCTCACATCACGGGCCTCACGCACATCTCCATTCTCACCAGGTTAAACTGTGCCACAGTCCCGGATAAATGAGATATAACCATCTGAATAGCCCGTTTAACTACTTCAACGGATCATCCCACCTAGTTAGCTCAGCTTCCAAGTTGGTCAGGATGAATGGCATGGTATCATTAGAGGTTGTGTACGGAGTAGACTTGCATGAATCAGGTCACTGTCCCCAACCAATCATGTCCCTTCACAGCGAGTCAAAAAAGGTTAAAAATATGCATATTTCTGCATGTTGGTTCAGACTGCAATATTAGTCGTACATACGCTCACTTTGATTTTAGCCGAGGAAAATCGAATACCGGGGTTTGCAATATTCCTACGCCGCAATCACTCTCATTGACCCAATGCCAAGTCCGATCAACAACCTCCAGGTGACATGGTACGGCCCGCCCTGCCGAGTCAATGCAGGTACCAGGGCACGAATGTAGATAAATATGCCATGCGATCCCTTTTCCAAACCCGGCATTCCCCACACAACCAAGTACTGAACCAACACAGAATCGCAATCATGAATTTCTCTATTCTCCTCGGGTTTGTCCGCTGCGTCCCGGTTCCTACGGCCATCAGATCATGCTGACATTATAATTAGGATATTCCTGGGAACCTTTGCAGTCCTTGGCATGAAGGCGAAGGAGAAGCCTTCGTCACAATTTCCCATTGACCTTGGCGTCAGTCTCATATTCCCTCGGCCAAATGAGACGTACCGTCCCGTCTACCCTTTTCCTATCGTGTTTGCCCTTACTGGAGCCGCCAAGGCCTGGCCTTATGGCTTCAAGTTCCAGTGGAGGTTGGAGGGCAATTGGACAACTCCCATGAAGAAAGAGGATGTGCCTATTGACTATGGATCAGCTCCGGATTGGCTTTACAGTTCAGGGTCGCTTGATCCAGCAACAGAACCATATTTTGTGGTCAACGCTACTGACATCATCTCCAATACTTCTTATGAAGATTGGGAGCTTGGATGGAGTTTGTCAGTTCTCCAAGAGTGCTCCCCTGGACCTGAGCGATATTGGAAGTACGGGTCTATCAACTTCTCGATATCATCTTCTGGCTCAGTCCCCACTTACAAGCCCAAGGGACCCTGCCCCATCGAGATCCAGCATACTCGGTTTTTAGATAACAGAACAACCCCAAAAGAGGTAGTTGAGGATAGGAGGTCTGAAAGTTGCGTGGTGGTCACTGATCAGAAAGGAGAAGGTGATCCGTGTAGTATTGACACTGGTCACGAACTGGCAGCCCTGATTCGTGCCGAGATGCTCAGATACGCAGGATGCCCAGAAAATCAGTCGTGGCCCGACGAGAAGAATTTGCTTGGTCCAGAATCTTGTCGACATCTGTATCCGGGTGCCGAGGATGTGGCAAATATGATGTTACCCACCCTGACTGCGGTGGTAATAGGGGCTGTTGTTGCTTTCTTCGCTATGTAATTAAGTTCTAATTATTACTCTTTCGAGAGAAGTGATCATACTGCTTGGCAAGGCTGTGCCACATTTCTACCTCTCATACGGCGGCCGACTCGTTCAACAACACTACATTTTCTTTGACTGATTGAAGAAATGGATGATTTGTTCCACCACACAGCCATCGGATCAATGTGCTTTGTCCCGAACCTCCGTTTTTGAATCCTTGATCTATGGTCATTTGAGCGAGTTATTGAGACCCTAGAATCAACAGACGGTTGCATTCTTCGCAGTCATGCCACCATTGGCTTTAACCGTTATTATCGAACATAACCAACAGTGCCGCCAAGCCCTCACACAATTAGCCACCCGAGGAATCATCGGCTAAAAGGGAGTTAGGAGCTCGCCGTGCGATGGAATGAAGAGAAAATGTAATTCAGGATCTATAAGGATGCAATACATAATGCTTTCAGTTTGTTTTGGACTTAGAATTATAGTTGAATACCCTTACGCTCTTTAAAACCTATCCGTGGACTCTGGTTCCAGCACATTCTTTTGATATTTCTGTTATTTACTTGACGAATGACTTTCTTGGGCGTTCATCATGCAAATCCCTATCTTTGTAGCCGCCCTGCTATGTACTGCCTTTACAATCTACCCAGCTCTCGCTTCTGGAACAGCAGCTCCTCAGCTGAACTCCTGCCCACCGCTCATTGATGAGGCTGGAGTTGACTCTTCAAACTGGACGCTCTTTCCAAGTCTTGACGAAGCCTTGGCTTGTAATCACAAACCGAGACTTCTCGACTTCACCATTCACTACCCACTTCGACCTTCGGGTCCTGGCAATGTCTTGAGAGCATGTACTTCTTACCAAGGAGAAATCCTTAACCTTACCAGCGACAAGAACACCTCATCGCTGGCTAGGAACACTCAGACCAAATCTAAGCTTGAGCTTATTTGGGATGACGCCGATGAGAGAGTCATAGTACCTCAAGCCATTACGGCACTGAAGGAACTGCAATCGTTCTTATTGACCGGGGGCTACAAAGACAGACAGTCGATATTCTCTCAGTATGGTGACACATCTGTGGGCCTTTACATCGGAGACAAGGTTGTGCCAAGTAGCATTGCCAACGTCGTCATCGAGGCGCTGGTGATGCGCCTTGGAGATTCTGGCATGCCAAAAAGACTCGGTGTCCAGCTTTGTGGCAATGGTCGCAATTCTGACTACATTTCTGGTATCATGATCGATACTACACCTGGTGCTGCATCGCTCATCAACGCTCAAGTAGCCGTGAGCGCGTGGAGTAATGCTACGTGTATCGACGGACTCCAGCACAGTACAAACTTTGGCAGCTTCCTCGTCGGCACCTTCAAAGATGATACCGCGGTTTCTAGCCCTTCCAACTCTTCGGCATCGAAGCTCTCGAAGCGCGCAGAGTGCAAAACCATTGAGGTCAAGTCGGGAGATGGCTGTGGCGACGTAGCTCAGCGTTGTGGAATCAAACCAGCCGATTTCACAAATTACAACAGCCAGACGAAGAACTTGTGCTCTACTCTGATCGATGGCCAGCATGTTTGCTGTACCTCTGGAGATTTGCCCGACTTTCGCCCCAAGCCCGGGCCTGACGGCCGATGCGCAACATATACTGTCGAATCAGGGGACTTCTGTAGCAAGATTGCGGCTGCAAACTCTCTCAAGGTTGAAGACATTGAGAGTTTCAACAAGAATACCTGGGGCTGGTCTGGGTGCAAGCTCTTGTTCGACAAGGCAGTGATTTGTTTGAGCAAAGGCGACCCGCCTATGCCCAACCCCATTGCCAACGCAGAGTGTGGACCTCAGAAGCCTGGCACAAAGAAGCCTGAGAAGGGGACAGACCTTGCCGATCTTAACCCGTGTCCTCTAAACGCATGCTGCAACATCTGGGGACAATGTGGTGTCACGGCAGACTTCTGCAAGAACACCACGCTTGGAGCTCCAGGTACTGCAAAGCCAGGGACCAACGGGTGTATCTCCAACTGCGGCACCGACATCGTGAATAACAAGTCCCCCCCCTCGTCTTTCATGAGTGTCGGCTACTTCGAGGCTTGGAATCAAGATCGACCGTGCCTCTGGATGGATGTTTCGGAGCTCGAAAAGAGATCTGAACTTACCCACGTTCATTTTTCATTTGCTCGACTTACTGATAGTTTCGAAGTTGATGTCAGCCACGTCTCCTACCAGTTCAACAAGTTCAAGAAGCTCAAAGGACCCAAACGCATTCTTGCCTTTGGGGGCTGGGTGGACTCTACTCATCCTACCAAGTATCATATTCTTCGTAACGCGGTCAAGATGGAGAATCGACTTCAGGTTGCAAAGAATATTGCAGCTTTCATCAAGAAGCATGATCTGGATGGTGTCGATATTGACTGGGAATATCCTGGAGCTCCGGACATCCCAGACATCCCCAAAGCCGACGAAGAGGATGGGAAGAACTACCTTGGCCTGTTGACCCTTCTCAAGGGCCAGTTGGGCGGTTTGTCACTGTCAATTGCAGCTCCTGCTTCTTTCTGGTACCTGAAGCCATACCCCATCAATAACATCGCCAAGGTAGTTGACTACATCATCTACATGACCTACGATCTGCACGGTCAATGGGACTACGACAATAAATGGGCTTCTCCCGGCTGTCCAAAAGGAAACTGCTTGCGATCTCACGTCAACCTTACAGAAACGATGGGTGCTCTCGCCATGATTACCAAGGCTGGCGTGCCCTCGACCAAGGTTATCGTTGGCATTACAAGCTATGGGAGGTCCTTCAAGATGGCGAAAAAGGGATGTGTAGGTCCCATGTGTACATTCCTCGGGTCCTCGACAGAGTCATTAGCTCGCAAGGGCGTTTGCACAGGCGAGTCCGGATACATCTCGAATGCAGAGATTGAGAACATAGCCAACAAGCAGGCAACCTGGTGGATTGACGAGAGCGACTCCGATATTCTAGTGTACAACGATACCGAGTGGGTCGCCTACATGTCTGACTCGACCAAGAAGAGGCGGATTTCCAAGTATCAAGGACTCAATTTTGGCGGTGTCACCGACTGGGCTGTTGATCTTCAAAAGTTTGGCAAGCTTGAAAATAGTAACTTGATCGAGATAATCGACAAGGACGGTAAATGCAAGTGGAAGACGAAAGACGGGTTTAGCTGTCTAGACAAACCCGTCAAAGAGCCTGGTATGAGCCCCAAGACGCGCTGGGACGCCATGCGTGCCCCTTGCGCCTGGAGAGACTTGGCGTCTTCTTGGGTCGATAAGAGATCATCTGAGGGTCTGAATGTTACGGGGAAGGGGAACGCGAACAAGTTCTCCAGGCATGTCTCAGACCTTGCAGATGGTTATGAGAAGTTTGACTGTGCATCGTTTTCTGTAGGCGTCAATGGGTGCGATCAGGAAGACAAATGTGAGGATACTCAGGATTCAGGACCTGCCGGTTACTTTATCCTCAACTCTTTCGCTAGCATACATACTGTAAGTCGGCGTCCGTGCCATACCCTGCCAGGAAACTAATTTCTCTCTCAAGACGTTCAAAAGCCTTTGGCAGACTGTCGACAAGGTTGAGAATGGCATGCAGTCGAAGCTAGATCAGCTGGTAGAAACGTTTGCTCCAGATGTGGATGAGTCAAGCGAGTTCAATTTGATTGCAGACTTTCTCGGAATCGCCGTGGGGATGTTTGCCGCTCCCCTCTTCGGCAAGAGTAGGTTACTGAGAAGGGCCCTTCATTTTTGATGGCTTGAACTGACATCCCTATCTAGTTATGCAGACGAAAGACAGTCATACTGTCGACATCAAGGACCTTATTGCGAACACGGCTTCATGGGGAGCTACTCTAGCCAAGGATATACAGAACAGGTTCGTCTAGCTCACTCCTCCGGCAGGTTACCTCGCTCTAAACATCATGTATAGCAAGAGGGAAACACCCAAGAGCAAAGTCGCTGGCAAGCTCAGCGAAATTTCAGATCTCTGGACCGAGTCCATCGAAGCTTTTACCGAAAAAGCATTCCGCGGAGACGATGAGTCTGTCGATCTCATCGGAGATTTGATTGCCGACGGTAAATTCAACAATGACGAATTAACCTTTGACATGTCAGATCTTCGAAAGCAACTGCGCAAAGTCTTTTTCGCAGTCCTCATCCCCGAGGCTTGGAAGGTGGGCGCAGGATATGCTCCGGCCTTCGTCATGGATTCTGGCTATGATTGCAACGCTGTTGGGCCTCTTGACTACGAGTACATTACCCCGAGCACTGGCGAGGAGATGGGGTACTGTTACCGAGGCCGGAGGTATTATCTCCTTGCGCCGAATGGCCGTGAGCGGAACTGTGATCCTCAGGTGCCCGGTGGCACAGGCGGTAATCCTACAGACTGCAAGGCCAACTACTTCACCGCGCCACATGGAATAGATAATCTGGATCCCAAGAATCAGGGTGCCGACGACTGGGGAGGGATCACTGCTCAAGATCTTGTCGCTGGGTAAGTCAATGGAAGTCTGGCTATAGAGCGTTATGCTAACCTACATCATAGGGCAGTCGAGGGTTGGAAGGCCAACAAGGAGAAAAATGGTGGTGGGTTTCTTGACCTGACCAAAACCAGCAATTACGACTTTCTCCTTGAAGACAACCCAAGTGAGGTAAATATCAGATTGCCCGGTTTCATTCAGATCCCAGTGTGCTCGCCTGAGAGAGCGAGAGGGGGGTGGAAATCCTTCGATTCATTGTCCTCGAGCCAGAAGCAAAAGGTCTTTGAGCAGCTCCCTTATTACCCATGCTGAGGGCCTTTTTGTCTTTGAAGAGCCTTTTGGCTCGTCAATAGTGTGGTCAAGGAGATGATTGATGAGCTGGATTTGAGGGTAACTGGGCCGTTTCGTTGTTTTCACGTGTAATTAATACTCTTCATCCTCGCCGTTTGGCGATTCCTTTTTGAGTAGTAACTCATTGTATCCCTTGGAACTTGCAAGCTGCCCCTCGTTGATCCGGGGTAATTAATAGGGCCTTTCTCTCTGTACCATCGTGAGTTTCTATCTTTGAACATCTGAATGAAAGACAAGAGGCTATCAATATAGCCACACACTTACAAAACCCACTTTGTGATTTCAACAAATCAGCCACAAATCCAACATGTCCAAGGACCCTTGACCTAGCGAGGCATGGTATTAACGGCGCAAATAATACCGATATCTTCGTGGTAGAAAACAAGGAGTTCATATTGTATTTCGAGCGTCAGAGCAGATGTCTCACATACTGTACTGGGACTGGCTTTCCCTGAAAGCGCACCGCTATTCACATTACAACTGTATCTATGTAAGACACTGAGATAAACTTCACTTCAAGGATTATAGGGTGATTGTTATGCACGTTAGTGACGAGTCTGTAAAGATTATTGGTTTATTTTAGTAAGCCGCTTGTCGCCCCCTGGGCACCCTGTACTTTATATGATAGACTCAAATAGAGTGTGTACCGAATGAAGCCTTTTACATTGCCAATTAGCGCATGGCGTACCAACATATCGTCATCAAGTGTTTGGATTTCTTCATCGATTGATGGTTTAAGGCTTTGTGTTCAAAACCTTTGTGGCTCAATGCAGAAGCTTTATTTAACCGAAAACCTAGTCCTGAATACGACCGAATCTCCAACAGCTTGTATGTGCTTTGTGTGCTTTGAGCCTGATCATCCTTACGGAGGAGCATCAGCACTTATTTATACACCTCTGGAGTCAGTTATCGGGATACTAACTTTTCAGCCAAAACCAAGATCCTAGGCAATAGTAAGGGTAATAAGTATCTTACCTGTATGTATTTATTGGTATTCTTTACCTTTATACGCTGAAGGCTAAAGCCTCTTTTAATTACCGACAACCTTATCACCGATGGTTTAAGGATAATGGAAAAGGTTGATGGTGCGGTGCATAAACATGCCAAAAGATTGACATTACGGACCTGCCGGTACGCACAATAAATTTATCGAAATGCAAAACTAAACAAAAAGAAAAGACTAACAAAAAGGAAAAGCAACTTTCAAACAAATGTCAGAGACCATTGCCAAGAAGCCCGCTTGGTAAAGATAGCCAGCCCCGTCCTCCAAGTGAGTAAAAGTCTGCAAACCTGGCATTTACCATCAGGGACTTAAACCAGCCCAGGGATGGAGGGAATACCAGGGATGGCGGGAGTGGCAGCAGTACCAGTAGGCTGACTAGCAGTGCCATCGCCAGCAGGCAGACTGGGAAAACCAGGAATATCGGCAAGGCTGGAAAGACCAGGAACACACCCGATAATACCAGTCACAAAGTTGGTAATACTGCATCCAATTAGTAAATACTGCTTCTCATAGCATATTAGTAGAGCATCAGGCTTACCAGTTGGTCGCTCCGAGGGGATCGATCTTGGTAATCTTGCCAACGCAGTCGAGGATGTTAGGGGCAGCAGACCCAAGGCAACCAAGGTCGAGAGTGTGAATCTGAGCCCCGTCGGAAGCCTGGGGAGTAGCAGCGCCAAGGGCAAGGGCGGGAAGAACGAGCATGATAAAGACCTTCATGATGGATGGTTTGGTAGGAGATAAAGACTGTAAGTGATTGTGTAAGAAATGTGTTGATTGTAAGTGTTGGAAACGAGTGTTGATTGTAAGTGTTGAGGATTGAGTGATTAGAAGGGAAGATGCATCTCCTTTATAGTTCTCACAGGCCATATCAGAATTCCCTCGAAGGGGAGCTCTGCCATCATTGCCATCATTGCCAATGCTAACAATAGTAACAAACCCAACTCTCCCAAGGAGGCCATACCATTCTTTCTGAAATCAGAGACCGGCATTGTATGGAATGAGTAGTTGAGATTCAAAATTGGTTTCGATACTGGCTACTGTTTCAGTAACTTGATATGATGTCCAAGTGTGTTTTGAGAAGTGTTGTTGGGAGCTGAACTTTTCCCGGAGCCGTCGCATTCCGCGCACACCACCTCACCTCATAGGTGCGTTACAAACTGCAAGCTCCCATTAGAGTATATCTGAGCATTGAAAGGTGCACGATTGAAAACTCCTGATAATTCAATCTGATTCACTGTCGGGTTTCATCTGACCAAGTTCTGTCTGCTGAGTTAGGCACTCAGCCACGAGCCTCAAATGTAAATCACACATCTCTGTTATCAGCAACACAAATAAAAAACCTTGTAACGTAGTATGGATCTGGAGTATAGCCTGAATCCCTGCAGTAAAAGGGGCAGCTATTAATGTTAGTGCCTGTCATGTTTAAAAGCCTATGGTTAGCCCACAAAAAGGATTTTCAGCCCAACATTCCACATCAGGGGCTAAGATAATGTACTCGTATTCCGCCACACTAACGTAAACCCCATCTAGCCTCTCTAGGTAATCGAAGCACTTATTAAACGCAAGTGATTCTAAACTTTAATATCTATCACATCGTCGCCGAGGATCTGTAGCATATCGTCAGTTCTCTGTTACATCCAGTGTGCTGTAATGCTGCTTAGTGTCAAAGCTAGTATGTTTCGAGAAGGTTCAAGAAGAGAGGAGCTGGATGTTGATTGTGATCATCAAGATCGGCATTCTGCACGGTAACATTTACAGAACTAATAAATGTAGGTCAGTCTCTGAGTTATATAGAGAAGGTGTTGGAGCTAGGTGACAGTGGAGCTCTCCTCCTAATGTGGAAGCTGAGAATATTCAAGATGGGAATTATAATTTGTAAACTGTCATGTTCACTAAGCTTTCTGATAGTAACCCCATTTGTGCCGTAAAAGATCCTAGAGGAAGGGAAATGCTCAAACTAGGCATGATCCGAAACCTAATAGAAACCGAAGTGTAAATCTTTTCCCAAGCGACTCCCAAAAGGCCCGCTTCTCTTACACCTACTTGATAGACCTCCGTTGATCCCGAGACTAGCAGATGAGATTACCAAGATGGCGTGATGTTGTTATGGTCTTTAAAGCTACTATGCCTCACTCATTTTTAGATCTTAATGTTCATCTTATATTATTTCAGAATGGAGATTGACCCTATGGTGATTGATATCTTTGGCCATCCCCCTGAGGGTATTGATCTCTCGGCAAACCAAGCAACAAGGAATACTACTATTGTTCTCTCCACATTATTTATCTCAGCTTTATTTTTGGCTGGTCGAATCGCTATTCAGACACAGCAGTCTCGTTTGAGCTTGGACGACTATACTATTAGTGTATCATGGCTTTTTGTGGCTATGACAGCTGCTATAGTGGTTATTAGTAAGTCTACGTATCTGCATAGTGTTTACTTAGTAATTGCTAACATCAGTAGCTGGACAGGCCGGTGCAGGGAAACATGTTTGGGCACTCACAATAAATGAGATAGTTGAGATATCAAGGGTTCATCACACCGCCACTTCAGTTTTCTTGTACTAACGCCATACATCATCAGCTCTCATATATATACGCCTTCCTCTATACAGCTTCTATCTTTACAACAAAGGCCTCTATCCTCCTCCTCTATCGACGAATATTTCGCGGAGGCACCGGTCTCTCATTCCAAGTCACATTTTGGTTCGGGACTACTCTTGTGGTATTACATCTACTGACATTTATATTTACTATGGTATTTGCCTGTGTACCTGTATCGCATTTTTGGACACAGTATAAGGGAACAGAGGGCACTTGTATCAATATTGGCCAGTTCTTTCTTATACTGGCTTGTATTAGTCTCTCTTCAAATGCGATTTTAGTATTCATCCCAGTACCTGAAGTTATTAAACTTCAAATGAGCAAGGAGAAGAAGGCTACAGTACTTACTGTCTTAGCACTTGGAGGCTTGTAAGTTATCATTAGCATCTCATTTTGAGTACATCTTATTTAGAGTATTACTAACACGTTTTAGAGTCTGTATCGCTTCTGGTATACGTATACATTACCTGATTACCTGGACCAAAGCGACCGATACCACGTGGACCATGGGGTCAGTTGCTATCTGGTCTTCAGTCGAGGCATCAATGGGTATAATCTCAGCCTGTTTACCCAGCTTCAGGTCATACTTGAGCCATCTCTGCTGTAGACGCAGGAGGAAGAATAGACCAGGCTTTCGAGCAATTCGAATCGCTGGGAAAGGAAACAGACTACGGTCTGATGAAGAAATTGCACTAAGAAGCCAAAAGGCTGGAGAAAACCATTTTGTACAGGGAAAAAACAATACTGGACTGGTTAAAAGCAAGGATGGACTGGTTAAAGGCCATATTGGACAGGGAAGTGAGCGCAGGGAGGTTTTCATCCGGACGGGGACTAAACAGATCGTTATTGAGATACCCGATGCAGCGAGGCTACGCCCTAGAGTTGAAACTGGCCAGAAACCAGTACAACCCAAGAGCAGCACCTCAAAGCCAGTGCACGTCGCACACCTTATGTCGAAATTGAGCCCTGTTTGAATTGATACCAATCTAAATCTCTACTGTGTCTGGATAACTTTAAAGATTTGGGATGTGCTTCTGGCAAAATGGATGAAAAAGATGGCTGAGTCGAATATTATTATATACAATGAATAACGGAAGTTGCTTGTAAAGGGCGAGGGGAGAACTTTTGAGGTGATTGAACAAACAGGGCTATAGGAACTTAAGTGATAAGTTGCCATACAATTTCACCAACCCTCAGTGCTCTTTCAGCCATAATAACACCTGTACAGGACCAGGCCATCAATGGCCAATCTGACATTGTCAGTTTGGTCGGCTTGGAGGGTAACCAGCCATTGGAAAAATCGTCAAGACGGCTCTGAAACCGTTGATGCCGAGCCTCAAGCCACTTCTGGTAGCTCCAACGCCACACAAGCTCCCGGAACCGCCGGGGTGCCTGTCATTGCCTCTAGAGGATCAAGCATCTCCGCGGAGATCAAAGCTGACTAGCCTTATAGCCTGCCTGCCTGCCTCGTATCGGGGATAGCCGATCTCCTGTGATGATCTTCAGCAACGCCCTGAGCTAGTACAAATACGGTTAATCAAGACAACTGGAACTAAACTGTTAGACTTTGATACTGGGAATTGTTGGAACTATTGTGATATTCTTACTCACAACCACTTTTAATTGAATATTCACTTTTATTACTCTTCTTTTAAACATTTTCCAATTCTAAATGTTTTATTTAATGCCTACAATATGTGTTGAGAATAGATACACGCCTTACTCCTTGTTATTACGATAACGAGGGCCTTTGTCGTTGGGTAACTTGGCGTAGGTAGTGGTGATCTTTACAATATGCCCTGAGTTTAGATTGATATGCTAGGGCCCAAGTGAAGCCTGAAGGGGAAGCACCCCACTTAAACGGTTTGGTAACTACGGTATGTTATCCGATGATTCAGTTCGGTTATGGCGAGTCCGGGGTATTGAAACTAATGAATACAGTACCGTAGATAGCAGCTTACTAGGAACGTGCTAAGACCTGTCATCTACCTCCCGCAATGAGCTAGTATGAGCAGGTCAAAGCGTATTCTAAGACAGTATGACTCTGTCACAGTATCGCCCTCAGCTCGTGGAAAAGCAATTTTCCTACGGTGCTGGGAAAACTCAAACTTGTTCAGGCTCTGCATATACTGACGACCAATAATCTTCGTCTGATGCCCTCCTTCACGTATGTCATCCACGCGTCTGGTAGATGCTTACCGAGCACTGATAGATATGCGGGACACGGCGAGGGTTTCGCCCCGTTCCCGGCCGATACTGCTCTCGGAAGTCGGGCACGCACGTGGGCACGTCGATTTGGGCATGCAAAACCCTATTTTCCTACTAGGCCAACCAGTATAAGTCTAAGTCATAAGGTGCTAAGGTCGCTAGTCTTGTCCAGCAAGCAGATGACAGCTGAAAGCTTGGGGCGCATCCGTCCATCAGGGTTAATTATGACGAGATGGCTTTAGTGAGCGTTACCAAACCTAGTATACCCACCAGGCTTGTATGCATACAGTATAAGTTCAGGTGTAGATAGATCCCGTTAACGGGATGATGTATGTAGTAAGCTCCTTGTGGCTTGTGGTAACTTCCCATCGCTTAGCGAAAAGGGTCAAAGCCCAACCTGTAACCTGTCTTGTAGACTCCACCCACTACTAGAGAAGCGGGATGATCTTAATCTTTGGCGTTACCGAATACTCCGTACTTACTTGTCATTGACGAAATCCCGCCCTGAACCGAGATGACTACCCCTTAGAAATGGCGTCAAGGATGTTTATCTCGGTGTGCTGCGCAGATTGAAACCTTTGGTGTTTCTTTAGCTTCAGTGGACTGTTTGTGATCGTTCAGCTCTCCAGCGTGCATGGCCTGTCGCCGATCTAGACTCACAAGCCCAAGTGATATGCAGGTACCTTGTGCCTGGCATTAGTCTTTTACCAACTCGCACATAAACCCACAGCGGGAATGCAGGTGCATAAAGACGTAACCTCCCTTGACATTCGCATTGTGTGTCTTCCTTGGCAGCACTCCCTTACGTTTATCATGGATTCCTTCAATGTCAATCAGTAGCTGTTGCTTGCCTCAGGGCAGCCCTTCAGTTCAAGGACTTTGAATCTCGACTTGTCAGAGTGGATAGACGTCAGTCAGTGAGTGACACAATACTACCCGGCAAAAGGAATGCTTCCTTGTTAACTGTTTCATTAGAGGACATGAGGGTTCTGTATCACCCGGGTCTCCAAGTGATGTTTTACATGAAACTCCACAAGGGCCTCTCCTTGCGTACAGTGCCATGGCCGCCCCCTACTTCGATGACTACTCTGTTGGCCAATGCGACATGGGTTTCAACTTTAGCCCCACCGTGTACAGCGGTCATACCGTCGATCAGGGGTCCGCATTCCAGCATGGACCTGGTAACGAGGTTGACTTTTGCTACATTGGCAACCGAATGCTTTTCGGCCAGCCACCTCAACTATATGGGTCATTCATGCCCTCTATTGCCAGTACGGTCCCGAGCTCTCCTTCGTGGGGCTGTGTGGACTACATGGCCACTCAATATGGGTTGTCCGAATCCCCTAGCCGCGAGTTACATTCTTCTTCCGATACGTCCGATGTCGGGTCGTATAACTCGGAGGAGGCCGCTGCTACAGAACACAAACAACATCCTGCAAGTGAAGTCTCAACTCAACCTTCATCATTGAAGGATGTTTCCCCGCTAGGCTACTTCCACCGTTATCCGTGCCCGTATCCAGGCTGCCGCAAGAGTTTTAAGCGAAAGGAGCACGCCAAACGTCACAATATTTCGTGAGTTACCTATAGAACAACCTCAAGGGCGAGAGCTAATATATATTTATAGAAAGCACTTGGGTAAAAGAATACGCTTGACTTGCGAGTTTTGTGGCAAAGACACCTTTACCCGCGCTGACAACTTGAACGCGCATCGCAAGCTGCATGCACGTCGTCGCCCTGCAATCGCTAGTGGCGTTCATTATGTTCCTCATGCCGAAACAATCATGAAGGCTCAAAGGAAGAAATCTGACGGCGAAATAGAATTTGTCTTATGCAATGCTTAATTGGATGTCAGAAAGATATAAGCGATTTTTCTACCTAAGTTTTATTCGATGTATCAGAACACCCTTCTGCCTGTATATTAGTATCAAAGTGGCCTTTTTATTTCTAGTTCAACAAATATATCCAAGCTGTGTTTCTTGAGCTTGCAACCAGCCGAACAACGTAATCCTGAAAAGACCAACGCTGTAGAGTCCTTAGTAATGAGTACTACCAACATGACTGATTCTAGGTAGTGTCAACAGGGCATCAGCCTTAGCATGGTCGATCCGGGCAAACCGGAGCGGCCAGAGAGATACTTAGACCTGATTCGCGGGTTATTATTCGGGCTTACTACAGCCCAATTTGACAGCCAGCTAGCTGGTACGCTCACTGGCAGCCTCTAGTAGGATACTAAATTGAGGCTGGATGCGTAGGCACGACTGATTCAAGTTTGAGGACACACCCTAACACTGAGGCTTATTGAGCACGTTTTTCAGCCCATTCCCCACCTGCCTTTGAAACAGGAATAGCCTAACATCACTAACGCTCCTACTAAAGCCTTATCCTTACAGGCTAGCGTTGCCGTTATGAGCACGGATTACGGGGAAGCCCGTTCTCAAGCTGAATGAAGAAGGCAACGGGTAGACGGATAGACGGGTAAGCGGAACTACACTTGAACATATGAATTTTTCGTAGTGGAGACAGTTTCTGGGGTAGTGAGGGACCTTTTAGACAAATCAGAACCCTGGAACCAGGAGCCTTCACAAGGAATCAGCGAATAATAGTGGGCCTCCCGCTGCCAGTACTGTACGTGCCCTATAGCCTATAGTCGGTCCGGCATTCGGTTAAACTGGGGCTACAAGAGAATCAGGCCCCACTGCAAGAATACAGGGGTTCAGATGTAAGAGCTTTAATGATATTCTTATCACTCAAGGATCTAAATAATCGTAAGAGGCAGATGAACAATCACAACGGCAAAGCCGATTTTAGTCAATCAGATGAAGATCCATATTCAACAGATGAGGATTCTAAAGAATTACTAGCTGCTCCTCGTTCATTCACCGAGCAGCTAGAGTCCGTCCCAAAAGGAGCAGATGTCTTGGGCCACCCTGAGTGCCTGGCCGCTAAGTTCCCAATCGTCACACACGCGGTTCTCGGTTCTCGGTTCTCGCTTCCTGAGAGTGACACTGAAGTAAGCTTTGGGCCCAGAATAGTATGATACTTGCTGGGGTGGTGTTTCGGCTGACTTTGTTATTAGAGAGCTTAATCCCTGATGACCGAGTGACATTCTGTAAATAGGTAGCTGATGGAACCTGCGATAAGCTTACTCCTGTTGCTGAAAATTAATCTTAGACTTTGTTACTAGAGCCAGCACTGTTGATATCCTTTGATTAGGCCTTTGAATAACTTGCATCACCTGGGGTTATAGCATCGAGTGGCTCCAATCATGTCGTAACTTCTCTGAACGGTTACATTTCCTAATCGAAGACTGAAACGGACTTATTCCAAAGGCAGTCATAAGATCCGAGACACTCTAAGAGTGTTAGAGTCATTGCTTGGTCAAAACCCGTGCCACGCCAGTAATTTCTCCTCCATCTACGGATCCAGGCGTGGCGCATGTGGTCAGGAGGATGACAAGCTCGCCCTGGAAGTCCAGGTCCAGACAAGGGACACTTACACCCGCTTAGAAACAGCTAACTAGGTAGCCAGAGAAATTGTAAGCTCACTCAAACTAACTATTACAATACAGTTCTGATTCGGAAACCCTTCCTCCACTGGAGCCACGGGACAACGGTCTATCGCCGAGGCTCAGTGGCTCATCAGCTTTATACACAATCATATCACAAGAAATTGGCCGTCATTACGTCCCCAGCAATGTCGTGCCAAAATTAATAGTATTGATGCGCAGAAGACATCGCCAACCGCCGATTTCCGATGCCAGAATTGTCAGCCATCAATAGTGCGTGCGAGACAAGACACAGGGTGAGTGTCACCTTTCAGCTAGACTAACTCTGAACACCACTTGTCAGAACACACCTTGCACTTATGCACAAGAATCACTGACGCAATCTCAGTTACGACCAAGACAAAGCCATCGATTCTTTCTTCTTGATAGTCACTAACCTTGTTGAAGCTTGCTGGGCCTATGATCAAGTCCAGTGAGCTTTGCAACGACAGGGGGGTAAAGAAGGCCCATTTGGTCTCCACACATACGGCCCACCCGAAACTACGTACATAAATGCCGAAGGATCACAAGCATCACTTGTGAATCAGGCAACAAAGATTCGTGGAGGGGTATCGTCAACTCCGAACTTGGAACCGGCTCCGAATGAGAAAGATACCAGATTAGTTTCGCTAGCGTCTTAGATTTCCGTTTTTGGCCCAAGTCATCCTAAAAGGGACAATGAGATGAGAACCTAGACCGAACTTGGAAGTAAACGAGTGGGCAGGGTTTAATTACCAGGTATTTCTGCATTTGATGTCATACTTTTGTCCCAATCAGACCTGTGGGTTACTGTCGATACCGAAGAAGTAAAAGCCAGGCGCCTATCGATCCCTTCGCTTGAGCCGAGATTCAGAGTTCATGCAACTGCCAAGGGCAATCGCAACCAGTAAACCAATTGATTTACTATGAAGCCCTATGAAGCCCAGGATTGGTAGAGAGTATGTGCGGAGATAGGTAGGTACGAAGCTAACCAGTCACCATTGCGTGTATGGGAGAACAGCATTTTATAGTACTTGAAAGAACACCCAAGCCTCTGGCGTTTTTATTGCAACATTCATCAGAGGAGCTTTTACATAGAAGCTGAGGTTATGAAAGAAAAGGTTGTATTTAAACAACCTGCAGTAGCTACTTGCAGTATATCTACAAGGCTCGCAATCTCTGAATTAGGTAGTACACTAAACCTCTTAATTATGAACATTATCTATAAGATAGCGGACCATATATCACACTGCACAGCTTCATTCTGCAAAAGAGTAATGGTTTTAGATATACATTCTTTTAAATACAGAGAACTGTAGTAAAAAGATAATAAAAGAAGTGAAGTATAATAGAGCCGTCTTATAACCAAGGCCATTGGCCATCGCCATTGTCCATCAGTTCATTAAACTAGACTCATTTTGACTGGTTTCAAGGCTGTCACACCTAACACACAGCTGGCGATTCAATCAGACCAAACCGGCCAACTGAATCATCAAAGTAATAGAGCCCGCCAGACACATAGCTCTACCAATCTTGCTAGGGGCTCCAGACACGTAATCGGGATGAACAGACGAGGATGGCGTAGGGACAGCGTTGGTGGGGTTCACATAACCGGAGCCCTGGGTAGACGAAATGCCGACGTTGGGGGGAATTGGCTGAACCGATGCAGGGCTGGTGTTACTAGGATTGGATAGGCCAGAAACAGACTCGGGCTGTAGGCCAGAGTCAGATCCAGATGCTGGTGACTTGTCTGTACCGGGAGCGGGAGCCGCCAGCGTTGCTCCAGGCGCAAAGCCAGTCACAGAGGTGGTGATGACAGGGAGCAAATGTGTCGAGATGCAGTCTGAAGAGAGCTCATTGCTTAAAACTACTCCGTAAAGGAGCGAAAAAATAAAAAAGGCAGAGCAATATTTCATGGTGTCTGCTTGATATCAGGAGGTATAAACGAGTGTAAAGTTTGAGGATTTGATTCAGTAAAGGTCGATAACTAGGCTGTTATAATATAGTTCTACATCACGTGAACTTCAAAGTCGATTCCTTGCTATGTATCTCTTTGAGCATCTAGTCTCTACACGAGTGAAATTATCAGAGTATGTGTCAGAATGGGAAATGCTCCCTGATATTCAAGGAGCTTGGCTATACTATTTGTCCTCGAAGCCAAGGAAAAACACAGTAATCTCTTCAAGTTTTCATATGTTCGACTTATGATTTGTCCTTGAAGCTAAAGCAAAAGTCCAGGCATCCCCGCAATACAGCACAAGGGTCAGCAACAGAGTTCAATAATCAGGATCCTCTAATCGGCACGTAAACCACAGATACTAAAGACAAACAAAGCGGCACGTATTCAAATGCTTAGTTTCATGTAATCATTTTCTTTTTCACAAGCGATGTGGACTGTACTAGTGAGGCACGTGTTGCGACACCCCTATCACGGCCCCTGCGCTAGTGCATAGCCATCAACCCCAAGCCGAAGGGGGCTTTAGACTTACTACATTTAGCAGCTGGTCTACCAGCCTGAGCAGCTGAGATGAGGCTGCCCTGGGACCCTGCCGCAGGAGGGACTATGACTGATCCTCACCTGGTTTTAGACGATGGAGACATTTTGTTGCAAGTAGTAATGAATTTATAAGAAAGAGAAGAGTGAATAAGAATCTCAAACATCATCCCACTCTTGTCATTCATTCATTCATTCACTCGCTCATTCATTCCTTACGCCTCTACTGCTGGGCTTTTATATCCTTCACTCGTTTCCGCTATAGCGCTCAAGCCATGCATCTCACTATAGGTGTGGCTTTAGGCCTCGTGGGTAGCGTTTTCACTGCTCCTGCGCCAGCCTGTACAGGCGATAGGTCTGATGTTGTGCTCCAGCCGTATGTGGTTGTAAATGATGGCAAAACATCTACTACGACTATTACGCGCACTTATACAGATAACTCGTGGTCTGCTCAGAGTATAGTTCCTCCCAAGCAGTATGGTTCACCTGCCTCTCCCGGGGTCCCAAATCCTTGCATCAACTGTATTACTATTACTACTACCGGCCCTGTTCCTTATGTCACTACAGTTCCTCCCGCTTCGGCCGGAGGAATGACTACAGTCCTTACCTGCTCCGGACGCAAGACTGTAACTGTAACTGGCACAGTTTCAAGCACTACAACTATCGTTCCGCCACCTCATTGTAATGAGTGCTCAGCCACGGTAGTTGTTCCAGCCACTGTTACCGATATCAAGACTGTAACAGCACCTGCATGCCATGAATGCGTTACTGTTACTGTTAGTGGAACCGCTCCTCGGGTCACTACGGTCCCCCCGACTTCATCAGGAGATAAGACTACAGTCTTTACCTGTCCGGGCCAGGAAACGGTGACCGTAACTGGCACAATTTCAAGCACCATGACTATCAATCCTACATCGGGATGTAGCGACTGTACAGTCACAGTGATTGTTCCCCCAGCCACATCCTCACCTGCTACTGGACTTGTTACTACAATCACGACTACTGGTACCACAACTGGCATTACTACCCTGCCTGCGACTAGCGGCGGTACTACTACTGTCATTACCACTGCCACAGGACCTCCCCTGATTACTGCAACTTTGACGTCAGGAACAGCAACTGGTCTAACCACCTTACCTGTCTCTAGTGGTGAACCAGCCACTACTTGGGCCTATTCGACATCAACGCCAGCAGGAGGTCTTACTACAATCACTAGACAGGGTACCACGACTGGTCTAACTACCCTACCTGCCACCTCAGGCGGCACTACTACAGTTGTTACATATACAACCCCTGGTGGTGGCCTTATCACTGTGACTTCAACTGCGTCAACCACTGGTTTAACAACGCTTCTTGCTACTAGTGGAGGTACAACTACTGTTGTTACATTTGTGACAACCCCTGATGGTGGCCTTACTACTGTGACTGCAACTGCATTAACCACTGGTGTAACAACACTTCCCGCTACCAGTGGAGGCACTACAACTATTATCACGTATATTACAATGTCTTCGGTTAGAACTGGCGGCTTGACTACCTTGACTTCAACCGCTTCTACTACTGGTCTGACAACACTTCCCGCCACAAGCGGTGGTACCACTACTGTCATCACCTATATCACCCCCGGAGGTGGCCTTACCACTAGGACCTCTACAGCTTCCACCACTGGTCTGACTACTCTCCCTGAAACTAGTGGAGGCACTACTACAGTTGTGACATATGTAACTGTACCTACCGGAGGACTTACAACCCTGACTTCCACTGCATCGACTACTGGTCTTACAACCCTTCCAGCTACTTCAGGAGGCACGACCACTATTGTCACGTTTGTAACACCCCCTGGAACAGGCGGTCTTACCACTGAGACTTCTACAGCCTCCACCACTGGTTTAACAACACTCCCTGCTACTAGTGGTGGTATTACTACGGTTGTGACATATGTAACTGTACCTACCGGAGGACTTACAACCCTAACTTCCACTGCATCGACCACAGGTCTCACAACTCTCCCTGCTACTAGTGGCGGCGTAACCACTGTTATTACCTATACGACCTCTTTTGTCCCTCCCACGACTTCTGTCTTTACAACTGGGCCTACCGCTGGAACAATTACACTATCGGTGCCTTCTGGATGTACGACTTGTACCCAGACAGTCGTTAGTACTAGTTCTACAGTTGGACAAAGCAGCAGCGCGCCTCTCAGCAGCAGTAGCAGTGAGCCTTCTAGCAGTACCACTACTTCATGTTCTGGTCTTTCTCAGACTCAGTCCATTTCGGCTACCACTACAAGTGGTGCATCCACTACTTGGAGTGTTCCTTCATGCGCACAAACTGCCCATTTTATTGTCATTGGTGGCGCTGGTTATGGTGCTGCTGCCAACCTAACTGGATCCTTCCCTGTCACTGGTGGTCAACCCCTTCTCGCTGTTGCTGGAGGGCAAGGATCAGTCACAGGCGCTGCTGGTACTAGTGGTTTCTGGAATGGTGGAGCTGCCGGTAAAATTGTGCCTGGAGCTGATACTAATGCAGGGGGCGGAGGTGCTGGCTCTGGAATATTTCTTGGTGATGAGTTGGTTGTTGTCGCTGGTGGCGGTGGCGGTTCTGGTTGTGCATGCTCTGGATTTTCAGATGGCACCCAGAAATTTCAGTATGCTCGCTCTGGCATCGGTAAAGCCGGTCTGGACGGCGAGACATTTGTCGTAACTACAAACAGCCAGCCCTATTACACCGCCGGAGGTGGGAAAGGAGCTACTCTCAGTGCTGCGGGAGCCGGAGGATTATTCTCAGGAGGCAATGCTAATACATATTCGAATGGTACTGCTGGAAGCTTCGGACAGGGTGCTGACGGCGTAACGTCAAACCAGGGCGGAAACGCCTGTGCCGCATGCAATGGCTCTGGTGGTGGAGGTGGTGGCTATTATGGTGGTGGTAGCGGGGCATACGCCTTTTCTTACCAGGCAGCTAATAGCTATCAACTTGTCGCTGGAGGTGGTGGTGGGGGTTCCAGCTTTGCCAGTGGTGATGTGACTGGGCTGTTAACCTCGTTTGGTGTCGGACGTACACCGGGTTCTATCTATGTATACTTTACATAATAGGACACCCAACTACAGATATGGATAAGAGGCTTTATGCCTAAATTACTAATAACTAACCTATTAGCTTTATTGCTTTGAGTTATAGATAGTATTGGATAGCTTAGCCTTCTGTAGCATTTTACTTCTCTGCAGATTAAATCCTTTTATTAAATTTTTTATTCATATTCTTACTTTTATTGTACTTACCCTAATATTATACTAAATCTACAATCTGCTCGCAAGACATTTGTTTACCTTTTGTCCCGTTTCTGGACTGGTTCCGGCTCGCAGTTCGCCACGATGCCACCACAGGTCTTACTCAATATAACCAGGCTTCAATTCACCCCGCTCCTATCCATACAGCCACAGCCTCAAATTCGATCATGGCTCAAGTAGTTTGCGATTATGGGAAGGCTCTCAAGGGCGAGAGCGCCCTGGCCCAGCACAAGCGCGACTCGCCGAGACATTGACAAAGCGTTGAGCCCGCTGGATCATGCGATCATAACTTGTCCACAGGCCCAGTTACTAATGTAACGAGACTGGACTTGGAGAGGCGAGAATAGAGAATGAGGGAAGTGGAGAGACCTTCGAAAAGGAGGACACTAAGTTATCTTACTGTGTTTGGATGGTGAATTGCAGCCTTCAAGAGTAGCGAGAGCACTCCGAATTCCCTGCAGAATCCTGACTATGAAAATATTACAGCTGGAATGCGACTGCAACATCACGGATAGCTCATGTTAGTCCAGCAACAGAGTCCACAGCTCCTCGTTTGCAGAGCCAGGATGCACGCTTAGATTGCAAAAGTGGTGGCATGTACGGATACTAATGTATTATTACGCTATACCAAAGATCCCTCTGCTTCTGTCTTGTCCAATCTGAGAAAGTCTTAAATTGCTGCGTCAGAGCCTGACATAATCGATTGCCGAGCCCTATTACGCAGGTTCACACGCCTTACTTTAAAGAGTTGCTTAAGCGATGAAATTGACCTTTACTCCCCGTCTAACACAATTTTAATATCTCTAACAATTATATGTATTTTTAATTGCAAATTTTATTACTTATAAGTATTATTCTCTGCCTTTTTATGAGACCTTCTAGAGGCTAGATCTAACTATATCCGACTTATTGCCATTGAAGATCTTGAGATACCTACCTAGAATAAGCTTTCCACAAATAACGCTTCATCATTGGCTGAGAACAGCCCCTTTTATGGAACCCCAAAACTTTGACGCGACGTCTGCTTACCAAATAACGTAAACCAACTTTTTCTAATGCTTATTGACCTTCATCAAACTGAAGTATATTCCTACAAGAGAAGCCATGAGCGTTTGATATGCTTTCGAAAAACTCTTGCAACATCTTTAGATCCTGTCTTTTTCTCGTCGTACCAAGCGAGACGCTACCGGCTTCTGCTGAGCAGATCTGGCAGAGTAAGCCTTGGATTCGAAAGTATCCCTGCAGCCGTGGATATAAAGGCGTAGGTTCAATTGAGATTACTCCTTTTTGGATTGACAGCTTTCGGGGATCATGGAATATCGACACGGAGAGAAGCTCAGCTACCTTGGAGTTGAATATCCTAGCGGTCTACAATGCATCGCTCATGGGTTGTGAAGATATTGATGTTTCTTCACTGAGAAACTCGATTGCATTTCAAGTCCTGGGCCGGTCAGTTGGAAACTTGGAGAATTTCTCAAGTAACTGTGCTTTACCTATCACAGATACTTTGACGCCGTAAGTATGGGCCTGTCTATCTCATGAGCTTGTCAGGATGCTAATTGGGCGAATAGAATCGAAAAGACGCGTTTGAGTTCCTATCATCTGTTTTACAGCTTTCAAAGCACACATCAATTTCAAACTCTCACATCAACGTTCCGCTTCAGACAAACCGATGGCCAAGAATTGGATTCCGGCAAAGCGAAAATCACACCGGACTTGGGCGACAGCATATCTGCAGTTTTGACATCCGTTCCGCTCACCATTCTGATCATCGTCGCTCTCTCATCATGGCGAGAGAACCATAGCAGTCTCACTTATGCTCATGGCCTCAATGCTAGCTCATTGTGGTCAGTCGTTCTGGAAATAACGAGCTACCTTCGTTACCTGCAGTTCGCATTCATAACTGCATCGATGAGCAGAATATCCTGGATTCTTCGTTCCTGCAGTCAGCAAGCTCTCCTGGGCTTCCATGCTATACTGGTCTGGTCCATTCAGCAACGGTTATATGTATGAGGGACCGACCGGTGGTATGTACGCCAGCAATGCTTCTTATGGACTTGGTTTCATGACGCAGATGCTCCGATACCCAAACATGCTCAATACCTTGGCGAACTCTCTGGTCAACTTGATCATTTTGATTTCACCGATATTCTTTCTCTTATTAGTCTCGTTATGGACATTCTCACGTTCGAGTTCGGTACATTCCCTCCCTTTTCTTTCTATCTTGCAGAAGGCTGTCTCGACAACTATTGGCGTTGCACTTTGCTTCTTCAGTGTGCCTTTACTCTCTTACATCTCATACGATCTTATACTTGTTGGCTACCTACCAAATTATCGCATTGGGCTAGCTGTCGTAATGCTACTCATAATTCTCGTAGCCGGTCACTTTCTCGTCCAAGTGCTGGATGACCAAGGAGGGGACCAACTGAAACCACCGCTAGCCAGCCGGTCAGAAACGAATAACCACAATTTGAATTTCCATACACTATGGCGGCTACTTTCTCGTCACATACCGCATACAATGCCGCTTCTGCAAGCGATAGGCGTTGGGAGCCTTCAAGACTTTCCTCTTGCCCAGCTCTTCATGTTGATTGCTTGCGAAGGCTTCATCATTGTTTCCCACCTAAATTCAAGACGAAGCATGCTGATCAAAGCATCAACCGCAATGTTCGTATCGGCTTTGCGATTGATCATCCTGTTCCTCATCAGTGTGTTTGCTATGCCCATCACCGAAGCCACGAGACAGTGGGTTGGTTATGTGATATTGGCTCTTCACGGACTGGTCATCTTGATAGGATTTCTGGCCATGCACACTTGGGCGTTATACAAGACAATATTTGGAGGTAGACCTCTCTATCAAAACTCCTCAACACACTCCACCAGCGGATAGTCGGACTTAAGTAATGTAAGTCCCTGTCGAATATCATCCCAAAATTCTCAACCTTGCTAATGCATTTTCACAGTCTTTTCGTATGAATTCTCTCGAAACACATTCAACAGCAGATCTACTTGAATATCGCCAGGCCCCGAGCAGAGAACCCTCAACGAGAGACTTCCAACCGGATCCATCGACATTTTACAGGCCACCGAGGTCAGGAGCAACAAGCCCTGCTTATCACGCACCTCGACCAGCCGGTGTTTCATCCATTCCAAGATCATTAACAACTGACAACAGCAGTCCTAGCGCAGGGAACTTTAGCATAGATCTGGCCCTATCGGAGGTCGCATTCAACCCAGGTACCGACTACTCGTTTCGTGAGTCCGACAGGTTCTATGGAATTGATGAGGAAAGAGTTTTCGTCTCGACAACCTCAGCTCCAGACGTGGACACAAACCCAGGGCCCTCGACAAGAATAACGCATGACGGAGCGGGTAGGCAGAATAAACTTGTGGCTAGCCTTACGAACGTGTTTACTAGGCCGTTACCAAAGGTCCAGTAGAAAGGGTTTCAGGTCAAGAGACCGCCCAGGCCTTCCTAGTCAGTGCGAGATATATCAATCAAACCCTCTTCATAGACTACCAGATATGGCAGAAATCCCCTAGTACATATGTCTCTTAAGTTTCGCTTATGATTCTGGAAGAACTTGTATTCTCGCTTCATAGCGTTCCTACTGTAAGATATCACGGAGCAACGCCTTCGCAGTAGGATTGTGTCCCAAGTACTCTTGCAACAATCCCAACTCATCTCGACTTCCGCCAAATTCAAGAATTCCATTTCTGTATCTGTCCCGAGCTGATGTACTACTTGGATCCTCAAGGAACGTAGAATCAAAGACCTCTGCCGCAAACACGTGAGCACTGTGGATTCTTTATGAGTATGTGCTCTATATGGCCGGGTAAAGGCGACTTGCCTGAGGTAGGAGTAATAGCCTGCATCATAGCCAGAGACCAAATGGCCCAGGTTAGCGTGTGGATATCCTTGATCCTCTGGCTCCAGTGCACGAACATACCATAGCTTCTCCATGAGATCATATTAGTCCTTTGTGAAATCCATCTTTAGAAGCTCAGCCTGGGTGCACGGCCATGTCAAATTGCGCATATACCCTGTGTTTGAATTTGAATCAGCCAAGGCGCATCGTATAGAACAGATACTGACATCTGACGAAGAAACCACAACGTGTGAGTCACCTGCCGGCCTTGAGTCAATCTCTTGATCATGTCATCGGGTATTTGTGCTGGAGGGAGCTCCTGTCATGGATGTTCCCGCAGCCAGTTCTCCTTCGACTGCAGATCAGTCCTCGTGTAATGAAGGCCCAGGCGTTTCAGTTCCGGTTCCATCTAGCAAAATTTCTCAATCATTACACTGAGAGCTTCCGCAAAGTCATGCGGTGGCCTGTGACCATGGAAAGCTACGTAGCTAGCTCTAGTCATCAAGTCGTGGACACCATGTCCCAGTTCAAGTCTTGTGAATTTTGTGTGCTAAGTTTGTGAGGATGAGCCTTGCTTCCCCCGAGCCAACAGCCTAGGTCCTAAATCTGTCAGAAACTCCTCGACCTTGCCAGCAGACTTCATCAATCTCTTCTTTAGTCGATAGGCTGCATGACTTTCGTAACCCAAAAGTCTAGCGCTCAGATCCCTTTCCAAGACAACCTGCTTGAAGAGTTCGGCTTTCGGCTAAGGTTATTTTCATCGCAGATATACATTCTGATTGCGCGCGGCGGGCTTTGAGGCGCTTCGGTATACGGCGAAGGAGTCCGCCAATGAAAAGCGAACGAACCACATATTGTGATTCTCTGAGTGTTCTCCGAAACGATCTACATCATGCTGGGGCGCGCCTGTAAGATCATCGAGAGAAAACCATATACCTCCGCTATCTTCGTGGATTCTCTGATTGTATTCACGTCGCATGCTGTCTATGTGGTTCCTTCTTCTCTCCATTCACTGTTTGATCTGTTGAGGCTGTAAAGTGGCGTGTAAAAACTGCTCAAATTCCAGAAAAGTCTTGTTGAGGTACTTTTGAGCTTCGAAATGGAGAGTTTCGTCAGATCCTTCTTTGATAGCTTTGATGAGGCACCAGAAGTCTGATCTTGCGGTAAAAGCCGCTTGATCTTCGTTGATGAGAGTACAAGCTTCTTCAGAGGCTTGTCGAGATGCTCAGTCAGGTGATGCATAACGGAGCATAGCGATCATACCAATATCCCCCTGGGTTGCGTTGTCAATGTTGATCAAGGGCTGAATGACGTTGCTAAAGCTGGCTGTTTGCGGGTTTACATCTTGAATGATGCCTTCCCGTACAGCATGGTACTGACTGATGATGCCTTTCATGGTCGGAATGACCTGATCAGCTAGGATGACTCTTGTTAGAGGCTGGGGAAGGGATTTTGATTCCATATTGAGGGTCAAGCTTCAGACGAATATGTCTATGATGATTGTTCTCGGGAGGACTTGAGCTTTAAATACTTGGGAAAGCCAGTAGTAGACAAGGCCTTCTATCCTTGGGACCAACAGAGAGCGGGGTATTGGACTGATAATGATGCCTTTTTCTTATGAGGCAAATAACGCTTTGTCGTCGAGATGCATAGAACTTACAGCAATGTAAAGGCGGTGATCACAGAAAGGCGGCTCCCTCATTCTCGCCTTTTTTTTTGTTTTTTGTTTTTGTTTTTTGCAACTACACACAGATCGTACTTGAGGAATTACGCTAAATTTCTGATGGACTAGTTATTATATATACATACCAGACAGTTCTCAGCCATGGGAATCAAGCCAATCGATCCATTTAAGTTACTCCTCAAGTATGGTGTAGTCTATTCATCATTTGAAGGAGGCATCCATGAAAGATCCCAAGACCATATATTCGTTCCCATCTTCCTTCCAGATCTCACAGGAAGTCCTGTATGTCGTGTGCCCCTATGTCCAGTCCCATTGGGATGGAAATTCTCCCAATATATAGCTGAGCCCACAATGGGCTTAAATGTAGTACCAGGATACTCACTGTACTCAACGTCACCCTCGCAGGCAATAACATCGCACCAGCGAGGATCCCTCGGCGGTGTGACCTTGGGAAAGTTAGTACCACCTCCTTCGCTCAAAAGAACCATGCTCAAAGGGATGAGCAGCAGAGATGTTTTGAACCGCACAGTCTGTCCTAGTCAGTAGCTGGCCTTTCTTATGAGATATTCTAATTGTATATGGCCTTACCATTTCGAGGCAGCTTTCTGGCAATCACTTTCTTCCCGAGAATTAGTAGCAGGTATGAGGCGTGTTACGATTTGGCTTAATCCAGAGACTGTCTCTGGAAACAATTCTAGCCTCTGTTATGTTAATTTAGGGCTCGTTACAAATCAGTGCTTGAACATGACACGCTAGAATATGCTTGAGCTCTCGTTTCGACCCTCTCAGCCCGCGTTTACGCGCAAAATGTCGATCCAACGAATTGATCCTACGGTGGCTCTTCCAAACATAACATATGCACAGATTCAACTCGTATGGTTAATTGCACCCGATGTTGCAGCCACAATGGAACCCATGTTTGCCAAAAGATAAGGATTTTTCATGGGTGAGAGATCCTTTATCATTCTTATCTCATGTACGCATTCATCTTCACTACTGGCTTACTTGTATTAGGTTCAGCCAAGGGCAAATGCGCTAACATGGATTAGGTATCAATTATCATGGTTGAATAATAGGCTGGCGTCAACCGATACACTCGCATGTCCGCAGTGGTTTTCCTCAGCAAAACAGGGAGTGCACCTAAATCTTGAACTCCTAAGCGAGATAAGAGCCGGTTAAATGCAGAGTTGCTAATACCTTGATGTTTGTGATGCAACTTACTATAGATCCTACGGCAACTAGTGGACATAGACATAGACTAAACTAAAATGAAGCCATGTTCATGATCGGAGGTTTCCTGTTTCGTCCAAATAGTAGACCTATCTATGCGAAGCACTTGGAATCAACAATACAATAGTGCCTGCTCAAGTAACGCTGGTCGATCACAAAAGTTGGGTATCTAGCTATCGCCCACATCAAGAACATCCTTTGCCCTCACCAAGTCACTTACTTCGGGAACTCCACGCAATCAAAAGCCCTTGGACGTATTACAACATTTTGATCATTTGACCTATGATGGCATCCTCTCTCTCACGACAACTCCAGCTTGTGGCATACCACGACTCGAGAGTCGAACGACCCAACGAGACCACGGAATCAAACGACGACACTGTCGAACCCATCACTGTGATTCTTGTCCAGGAGCCCAAATCTGTGGCCTCTCAGCAGTCTGTTGGTGGCTGTGAGCCTGAAAAGAAACTAGACAATCTTAAGAATCAGAATGTCATCTCTCGCGTATTTCTCTTACCGAGTACCCTTGGGAGCGGCAGTGATACTGCATACTCTCTTATGGTCAAAGTAGACACGGAAGCATGGAGAACATCACACACTTCTGCGCCGATAGAACAGCCTCATCCTCGGTATGGCAAATTGTGGTCCTTCTTCAGCACCTCTAGATATCTTCCCATTCCCTCACATGAGATAAGCAACGAAGATTCCAAGAGAAAATTTCACAAAGTCTGGATCGGGTCAATCATCACCAGTGCTGGTCTCTTGTCCCTCCTAGCTCTCATCCTGGTGTTTGCCTTCCCAAGTGCGCCGCTACACAATATTTCCTGGCCTGAAGAAGGCTACATTCGGTATTCAACACCTGGCAGCGATGGGCCAAAGCGTCAGCTGCGTATTCTATACCACAATGCCACAGAATGGTCACAGAAGAACCCCCATGACAACGGAGAATGGAAGATCAGAATGGACGACCAGGCCCTCATCCCCGCGGCAGCTTGGGACCCTGAAGAAGATCGCTACCAGGCGTGGTTCCATGATCGTTATAAAGTCATGAGCACTGCTGTCAAGGAGAGGAGCTTCATAAGACCCAGCTGGCTCGGATCACTGCACATGATAGTGCCGTGGGATGATGAGTTTCACCTCGCCCATTGCGTCGTCACGTTGAAGCGGTATTGGAAGGCCAAGGAAACTGGAAAGCATGTTTGTCCACGGGATATTGCTCCGAATCATATTGAGCATTGTCTGAATTGGTTCGAGGGGTATGTATTCCGGCCTGAGCCACAGTTGCCTAAGATGGGTTCCACGATGGCATGGCAGACAAAGGTCTGTTTCTAGCTAGTCACAAACATGGCTACTCGAATCATGCAACATCTATTTATTCTCCATCTGCTCATAATATTAGTAGGAGTTCTCTAGTTCCTTGCGTAGAGAGCTCTCGTAAAGCCATTTAGCAAGCCTAATGCTAGGTGCGTCTACGAAGTCAGCCACAATCCTCGCCAGTGCTACAGTGAGAGGCAACAGCACGGCATGCGGAAGAATAAACTCGAACTCCAGACCCAGCATTGGCTGGCGAGTCTCCTTTCCAAAATTACCTGCTGTACAACAGCCAGTCCAAGAGTAGAGAGCTGCGCCAACCGTCCACATGACTGGGCCATGAATCAGATGCAGCCCATAAGATAACCGACCCAACTCCTGGCACATTCGACTGCACAAAATCTTCCTAAGCGTATGGAAGTATGGCACTACCCCCAATATCAGTGTAGCAGACCAAAAGAGATAAATCCACTTCGGATCGGCCATGATCCCGGGCTTCAGACTGGATAGTACGGCCCATCCTGGATTGCGGGAAAGAAGTCGTGTTGAAGGTACATGAGGAACGCCTCCCAGATACAAAGCCACCGTAATCATAGCCAATTGTGCAAACATTTCTCTTAAATTGCCATTCTGTCGACACTCGCGGTAAAAAGGTATCAGCTGAGGTGAGAAGATGGACGTCGCAAATGAGCATTCCGGCAATAAACATGGCTCCGTACCAGCAATCCACGAAGTACAAAAAGTATATGATCATAAAAGTCATCCAGAAAATCCGGCTAATAGTCTTCAACCGGCTGAGCGCCACAAGAGACATGTATATGATGAGTGATCCGATAAACTCGACCTGAATGGTCCAAAGGTGAGGATTATGATCAAGCGGGGCTGCGTAACCACTGGGCCCTGTCTTTCTGAAGAAGGGAAATGAGAACTCTTTCAGTTGTTGCAAGAGAAGAATAACGTCCTCTTACAAAGAGAGCTCAGAGAGCCCAATCCCTGGCCACATGGCCTCGAGACCATGTTGGAGGAATATTACAACGAGAGTCGTAAGGAAAACAGGAGCGAACAAGCGCAGCCATCTTCGGAACAGTGAAGATGCAATCATCTCTCCTAGTTGCTCAAACTTTGCCGCATGTATCAGCCGCAAGGGAGTGGCCGAAAGTGCGTATCCCGAGGTAACGAAGAAGAATGCAACTGCAAAGTGTCCTCCACTAAACAGTAGGCGAAAGATGGGCATCGTAGCTAGCTCATATCTCCCCCTGTATCCGAAGGAGCGCTCAAGCATGATGGCTTCGACATCGTCTCGTGGGAATTGCTGATGATGATGAAAATATACGAGGAGGGCCCCAATACCTCGAAGGCCTTGAAGCCACGAGACAGATCCGCTAGAGATCGTGGGAGCTGTCATTGTTGGTTGTGGTGATGGTGAAAGCGGAAGGCCAAGTGATGAGGTTTCGTAGTATGTATGAACAGTGAGTAAATGTGACGAGTTAGAGCTGCGCAGGGCAGCCATTTTATAAGTCTGATGGGCGGGGTCTGGCTGACCCTAGCGACCAACACCTATATGTAACCAGGGTGAAGATAATCCACGTCATCTGAAGGTTGTATTAATGTTTGTTCCGAATACTAGACTCTAATGAGATTTCCAGAACCCTGAAGTCTAGTCTAAATAAGAGAGTCTTGATTTCGCCGTATAATTTAGTCCGTTTTGTATGACAACGCCCAGCTTAGCTTTCCCTCCCTCCAGATATCATCCCCAAAATCGACCGTCCAGAGTTCTCCCCCAGTGTCAGCATCGCAAACCTCTGAATCCAGTTCCCATCTGGCTGCTTATTTGGATCATTCGCTATACGCAGAATATCCGGAGGACAGTGACTCTCCATATACATTTTCCTCTCCTGCGACTTCTCCGGCCTTTCAGGCGGAATAGTTATAAAGCTCTGAAGAATCGTCGCATCACTCGCTGTCATATTCGCGAGAACATCCCGCAACAATGTTCTTGGTAAGTAGTAACCTCTCCCCTGATCACTGAGACCCTTCTGGGCTATTAAAAGCGTAGCCCTTGCTTCTTTAGGATCTGTGTCTCCAACATCTAATCCAGATCCCGTCATGATATGTCCTGGCTCCGTAGATGTTGTCAAGGATTCGGTTTTCTTGAGGGATAGAAATGCTAGCATTGCGAGAAAGCGTGTTAACATCATGTTTCCGTATTCAAAACTATGTCGAAGGTAGTGAATTCGTAGAATGGTCTCGAAGTAGCCTCGGTATTTGGAGAGGCTTGTTTGAAGTTGTTCTTCTTCGGGAAGGTTTGGGGCTTGTCTTTGCGCTCCTGGTGCAAGAACTTCGTAAAGTTGAATCATGACATAGCAGTGGTGTAGACTGAGAGATGTTAATAACTGTCTAAGCACTTTACAGTATTCTCTTGGGTCTGGGTGAGATAGGGACAACGTACTGTATCTTTAGTTGTGAAGGGGAAACAATCTTCGTTGGCGACAGTGGTTCTGGCATGGATTTATACCATGCATCCAATCTTTTGGTGATTTCAATCATCTTTTTACCCCCGTTTTGAAACAAGTAAGAATCAGTTGAATCTTCCTGGATTTCTAACATGGCCTCGTTAAGAACTACACTAAAGTTCATCTTTGCTTTGAAAACTAAGCCAATCTTCAGTGGCACCAGTGTTAAACTGGAAGGATACTTCAGCCAAATTTCACCAAACCAGTCTGGATCGCGGTCAGGATCGGGAAGCGGAGTCTTTGGTGGTGCTTTTAACAACGGCTGTGTCATGAATTGGTAACTCAGTGTACTACTTTGTCAGGAACTGAGTTTCGGGAAGGGGAGAATCCTTACCACTGCCAGTGAAACAAAGACCAGGCTGTAAGATCATATGAGTTTCTCAACTTCTTGTTCATGATGTATGTCGTCGGTTCGAATAATCCCAACTCATGTGCTATTTCTATTGACCGGACGAGGAATGCTGATGATAAAAAGTCCATATCGAACATATTGACGATAGTATTCAAGATCAGAGCTGCTTGCAGCGTTGTCAAACTTCTGTTATGCGTCACCTCAACTATCCATAGCCTTCTAGCTTCTTCGAGGAATTTATAGCCAAGGCTATTGGGATTCCAATACTCTGCGGGCTCGTTCACATAGTTTTGACATTGCTGACAGCTTGTTAGCGTGAGATATATGGTAGAGAAAGGGTAAATACGCATCCAACTGCTAGAACAGCATTGACGAGCAGTGATGAGCAAAATGTGTTGGATCCATTGACCATATCATCCAAGAAGTAGTCCTTGTGGAAGAACGTGAACCAGTCATATTCCTGGAGGAAATAAGCACGTATAAGCTCCCTCATCGTATCATTGCTAACGTCCACAGTAGTCCATTTCGAAGGTACTATCTCATCTAGCCTTGAGTCGACGATCGTTGCCGCATGATGAGGCCTCAAATACTGCGCCCGACATCCCAAATCTGTCTCTGTAAAGTCCGGAGATGCAATGCTAACAATATCATCTCTTGTGCTCCATTCATGTATGAGAGATTTCATGAAGGGATTATCGTCAGTCTGGAGATATGTAGGCATGAGCGGTGAGTAGATAAACTGATACCTAGACCTTGTTTCTGGTTCGAGTTGTACTTGGAGGAGTAAATCGGCACTTGAAAGTTGACGCATCAAAGTTTCGGCGTCAACACCAGCTTGTATCCGTCGGACGATTTCAAGTGCTTCAGTTCGTGGTCGTGTTTGAATGGCTCGATATACGACCGCTGCAGGGTGTGATTCTAGAAGTTCCTCGTATTTATCACGATAGTCTGAGACTGGCGTCGCTCTGTAAACACACTCGGATTTCCGTGCACGACATTGAGAGCACACCGGCCGAGCTCCGTTACACTATGTACACCAATGAGCTTCTGACCCAGGCATCAAGTCAAGAGATTAATACTGACCTTTACTTTCTTCTGTCGACACGCTTCGCATGCCAAGGGTGTTGGGGCTCGTTTTCTTGCTAGGGGAGCAGTCTGATAGTGAGAAGAACTTTCAGCTGGCTCAGGCCGAGCAGCTGGGAGTAGACGTCGAGGAGCGCCAGTTTGAGTTGTCTCTTGAGCTGATGATGTCGATGCATCGGAAATGCTTGAAGTCCTATGGGGTATCATGTTTGAGAAGTTGATGTAGCTTAGTAGGTATTCAGAAGTCCCATGGTTTTAACGAGTGATATCGAAGAACAAGGCCCTTGTTCGAATTGTGAGGTCATTCAAGTGCGTAAGTGACTCATATGTCAATCAGTTTCTTGGTAAGGAATTCTAATCCGCTTTTTCGATGTTCGAAACATGATGTCATGGTGGTTCAACCATGATGTGCTTTGTTTCTTGGGAGCTACCAGAGCCTTTTTATCACATACACCTTCTGATTCGTCGAGCCAACGGCTCCGGCGTATGTCCTATACTTCTAATAGGCTGGTTCCTTGTGGTGCAGTTCTCATTGAAATGAGCTGATGGAGCCGCAACGCCTCCTTATCGTCGAGTCTACACGATCCCCGCAGCCCAAGTTTCATCGCTTCAGTTATCACTCCATACAACTCTGAAATATCCGGTTAATTAGCTGCTATGAGAACTGGCCCTTGTGTTGTCGATATTGTCAAACTGTTGTATTCGTGGAAAGTCATCATAGTTCAACTACCAATTCCTGTTCATTGTTGTGTTGGTTGTGTAGCATCATATTTCTGGCGGTTAAAGCTTCATCAGATGGCCGTTCTGTAAAGACTGATGACCAATGATACAATGATCTCTGCTCTTCTGTGTTGTCAATTGGAGATCTTGAAGATCGGTAAGGAGGATCAGTCCCTGAAACTGCCACGTATAGAGCCCATCAGCAATCTCACATAATCCACAATCGAATTAGGAATTAAGAAAGGTATTAAAAACACTTAAAGGTGGATATCGTCATCTGAAATCCTATCATAAACCCGAATTCCGGCTGCCAATCTCACATTTGCCTTCTCCACCATCTGATAGCAGATCCCAGATCGGCCTATTATGCAATATCAAATATCAAGCTCCGGGATTTACACTCTTGGCTACCAAACTATTGAAAATCCAGGGTCCTGGTCGGCGGGAATTACCCAAACCGCTGTTATGACGCACCACGCGATCTGCACCAGGACATGCCACTATTCCCAACGTGGTCTTACCCAGCGCTGTCTTTTTTGTGGTGGGGAACATATCGCCTCACGAGCCAGGCCTGTAACATCATAAAAGACGTAAAATGGACTTATATCAAGGCAAAAAAAATTCATTTAGTATAGAATATCAAATTATCTGTTCGTTATTATGCCTGGCGTTCCGAGAAGCAGAGGCTGTAACTCTTGTCTGAAGCAGAAGAAGAAAGTAAGTACAAAGATCCAAAGGCTTCCTAGTAAAGTTTTTAAAGGAACCTACTCACATCAGCTAGTGTGACCAAGCCAAGCCAGCTTGCTCAAGATGTGCTCGGCTTGGAATTCCATGCATCGGCTCTGGCGAACAGAAATATGTCTTCAAACCGGTATCATTCACCAAGCCATTCAAAACCAGCTTTCCAAAAGCACGGAAACACGAGAAGTCCTCTCAGGTATCCATTATGCATAAGCCTCAAAACTCATCGACTCTCCTACAAGCCAAGTTTGTTGCGGCTCTGGAAATAACAGACTTTCGATATGGCCTCAATTGTTATGGGGACTTTCTAGAGCATATTCCCAAAATACTTGGTCACAGTCATGCTCTCGATGCTTCAGTTGATTTGATGATGAGTGCCTTGTCGTACCATTATACACATGAGGTTCCATCACAGGTCCTAGCCAAGTATGGCAGCGGTTTGAAAGTATTAAGAGGTCTCAAAGATAAGAAAGGTACACAACTAAATTTCGAAAACGTTGCAGCTTTTCAAATCGTGACGATTTGTCAGGTAAGTATATTCTTATGTAGAGATCAAGCACTGATGGACTCAAAGAGCTGGTTGGGGAAAACAGATGATGACTTGAAGAGCCATAGGCAGATCCTTGCATGGTTCATGGACACAGTAACAGAAAAAGGCTGGAGCAGCCCCTTTGAGCTTCAGTTACAAGAGACCTCATTGGTAGCTCTGTTTTTCGAGGCTCTGGTTGATCCACGAATCGACTTGGAGCAATATGGCAATCGTCTAAGCCTGCAGCCGCGACAAAACACGTACGATTACAATCAAAATTTTCACGTTAGGTCTTCTCAAGTACAAGTGTTACTCAGGATACCAAGGCTGTTGCACGAACCTCTCCACTACGTGGAGGAAATCAAAACCACGTATAGAAAGTTGCAGGACGATCATACAACAATACAGCACCGCGTCGAGAGTGTGAAACAGCAGAAGCTTCCTTCTGAAAGATTACAAGGTCAACAAAAGCTTATCCACAGGCTTCATGTCGCGGAAGCAATCCTTTTCACGGCAGCACTAGCTTTGAACAGAATACTTCGAGCAACGTACCTAGATGATAGCGTCTTACTCTTGGAAGCATCAACATTGGCGAACGAACTTATCACCGTTGCCAAAGCGGTATCCCATTACAGACCTCTTGGTGCCAGCTATATCCCGCCATGCCTAGTAGCTGCAGTAAGTCAATCTCCGGCTGGTACGCATATTGAGATTGCTGATCGCTTTTGTAGTGGGCGATGACAAGTGTTTGGAATCCCAGAAAAGTGACATTGAGGCACTGTTCATGGAATATCAGCACGATTATACTCGCATAAAGTGGATGGACCTGGCTGTATCACTGAAGGGACTAAAAGGGTTGCTGCTTGGACGAATATCTGAATCCAATAGGCGAGACGAAGTCGAAAAATCTGATATCAATAGAGATCTCGAGATGTTGATGGTCTATTATAAGGCGGTCTTTGGGTCCATTGGCAGCTACCTCTTCCCGTCAAGCTGAGGCTCCTGTTCGTCAATCCTGTAAAAGTTGAAAATGAGAATTGGTCAGAAAACCAAGATTCGAGCTTTGCTTATGGTGGGAAAATTAAATATTATTCATGTCAAAGAGTTGGCATCATTAGAGATTAACGCTATTCTTTGAGTGATGCCGTGAATCAATATGATCCCATTAGTCGTTAATTTGTAGGACCAGATTAGAGGAGCACAATTGCTCCAAGCGCAACGCCAGCAACGGCAATAAGAGACGCCTCCATGACTCGAGCCGCATTAGCCGCAGCAGTAGTAGCCGCAGGAGCAGGTGTAGAAGCAGAAACAGCCTCGTCAGTCGATTTAGTCGCCGATGGCAGCACAGGAGCCACAGTAGTTGATCCCGTCGCCGCCGTGACTCGAATCGATTCAAGCGGTTCCGCCGATTCGGACACGACATGCCTCGTCGTAGTCCTCGTCTCAACCTCAATCACAGTACTAGGCTCAGCAGTTTTCGTCACTGTCGTTTCCGATGTCGTCTCCGCAGCTGCAGCAACGAGCGTAGTCGAAGGTTTCCAACACGAGAGATACGAGGTTCCGATGGTCTCGGTGCCGGTATATCCGGCACATCCAGGCACGCCAGTCTTTGGGGGTGCTCGGCCGCCGCCGCAGTCGAGAGGATCACAGATCATACCGTCGTCGGGGTCAAACCAATGGACTATTTTATCTTGGCATGTTGTGTAGCTGTGAGTTGAACAGCCGAATCCAAGGGCTTGCTCGGCGAGCATGAGCAGTGGGATAGCAGTCAAAAGAGCTGATTTAACCATTTTGGAGGTTCGAGTGGGTCTTGTAAACGAGTGACAAGTTTAACGAGAGATTTGACATTGGATTTTTTGACACGGAGGACGGCCGTGCTTTAAACGAAAATCTCACAGGGGTCTTGAGAGTATTACCCGGTGACTGACTTGATGAGCCAGTTGAGTTGTAACGTAAGATATTTAGCGTTCGCCAAATCCTTCTGCTGGCGGCTGAATTGTTGTCCTATGACCTCTATACGACCCATGCTGTAGGAGATTACGGTCGAAGCGAATGGGTTAGTTCAAGAAAGAAGAGCTTTGATTGGTTGGTGAAGCTCGTAATCTCTTTGCTGTGCCGTTCTTCCATCCCCTGTAAGAAGAAATACGATGAGCTGCGCCTTGGTATTAAGGTACGTTGGCGGATCGACTTCAGGGATTATTGGGCCAAGAGGAGAAGTCACCGAGTTGACAAGACGAGGCTATTGTTTTCACCTGGAGAGATGAGAAACGAGGTGGCTTTAGTTCCTTGTTGGGTCGAAAGTCATTATAAGGATGAAAACGTAAGATAAATAACGGTAATAGCCAAATTCAATAAACCCGTCAATTCATCTTCTTAAACTAAGGCTGTCAATATCACACTTAGGATTGTTAGGTGATCATGCAGTTTGGGGGACATCTTATATGACAATGAGAGATTTTCTCTTATAGCGCAACATGAAATCCAAAGGCTTTAATAAACATCTTATAGCAGCTCTATAGATCTCTATCAAACTGAATATGCAAAGTAGTATAAAAAATAATAATGAACCAATCATCTCAACTGTATACATTATGACTCTATTTCATCTCCTGGTCCCAATTAGTGCACCCTGCCCCGGCTCCGGTTCCGATACCGGCCGGTCGATTAAAATTCCGGCGGGGTGGCTTCCATTCGCGACTCATTCCATCCCATTTCCCAACGAGGGGCACCAAGAATTTTCCAAGCATCAACAACCAAAACAACAATGGCCACCGATTCGACGCATACGCAATCGCAAGTCTTCCTCTCCACAAGAGGTGGCGACTATGGTGTACGATCTATCCGCCAATACTCGAATTGACACTCTGCTGACCACTAAAAGCTCTCCTTCGAGACCATTGTCCTAAAGGGATTGGCTGCCGATGGCGGTCTTTTCCTCCCTCATGAGATTCCCGCTGCGACAGAATGGGTGCGTACGAGCCGATTCCCCCAATCCTTTTTAGCTGCGATCGAAAGCGACGAATGTTGGGATGACGATTAACACGATACTAGCAAAGCTGGAAAGACCTCTCGTACCAGGAATTGGCCTTCCAGATCTTCAGCCTGTACATCTCCCGCAGCGAAATCCCCGCCGAAGACCTACAAGGCATCATCAACCGAAGCTACTCTACGTTCCGCGCCGACGAAGTCACACCCCTCGTCCAGCTCAAGGACAACCTACACCTCCTCGAACTCTTCCATGGCCCTAGTTACTCCTTCAAGGACTGCGCGCTGCAGTTCCTCGGCAACCTTTTCGAGTATCTCCTCGCGCGAAAGAACGAGGGCAAGGAGGGCAAGGACCGACATCACTTGACTGTTGTTGGTGCGACGAGTGGTGATGTGAGTCACGCTGTGGCCTGATTGCGGTAATATCCTAACGTGTGAACTAGACTGGTTCCGCTGCTATTCATGGCTTGAGGGGTAAGAAGGACGTGTCTGTCACTATTCTGCATCCCAAGGGCCGTGTCAGCCCGATCCAGGAGCTTCAGATGACTACGTGCACTGATGCCAATGTGCACAACCTTGCCGTTACCGGCACTTTTGACGACTGCCAGGTGAGTACGCCCATTGCACGCCCTTCGCGCCGCGCTAACGAATGTTAGGACATCGTCAAAGCCCTCTTTGGCGACCCGGAGACCAACGCCTCCCTCAAGCTCGGCGCCGTCAACTCCATCAACTTCTCTCGCATCCTCGCCCAGATCGTGTACTACTTCCACTCCTACTTCTCCCTCGCCAAGAAGTCCTCCACCTTCAAGGTCGGCGACAAGGTGCGCTTCGTCGTGCCCACCGGAAACTTTGGCGACATCCTCGCCGGCTACTTCGCCACCCGCATGGGTCTTCCCGTCGACAAGCTTGTTATCGCGACTAACGAGAACGATATCCTTGATCGATTCTGGAAGTCCGGAAAGTACGAGAAGCAGCCTGCCAAGGGCCCCGAGGTCCAGGGTGGTCTTGAGGTCGATGGCGTCAAGGCCCATGAGGAGGGCGTCAAGGAGACTCTGAGCCCTGCTATGGATATTTTAGTTTCGAGCAACTTCGAGCGTCTGCTTTGGTTCTTGGCTTACGAGTTTGCTGCTACTGTTGGTATGGATGTTGAGTTCAACCGCAAGCAAGCTGGTCAAGAAGTCGCCACTTGGCTCAAGGATCTCAAGGTCAAGGGTGGTTTCGGTCCCGTTTACGTCGACGTTCTTAACAGCGCCCGCAAGACTTTCGAGAGCGAGCGCGTCAGCGACCCCGAGACCCTTGAGACCATCAAGAGCATCTACGAGCAATTCAGCTACGTTCTCGACCCCCACTCCTCCATCGGCGTCACCGCCTCTCTCCGATCTGCCAAACGCGCCGAGGCCAACATCCCTCACATTTCTCTGTGCACAGCTCACCCCGCCAAGTTCGCTGGTGCTGTTGAGCTTGCGCTCAAGGATGAGAAGGACTTTAACTTCCAGGAGAAGGTTCTTCCCGAGGAGTTTGTCGGTCTTGAGAAGTTGCCCAAGCGAGTTTCTGATGTTTCGAATGATTGGAAGGCTGTGAGGGAGCTTGTTAAGGAGCAGGTTGAGAAGGAGCTTAGCGGACAGCGATGAATGGGAGATGAAAGGTGTTGGTTCTGGGTTTCGAATGCATATTTAGAGGGTCAAAATGATCGAAAGACAAAAGACAAAAGACGAACTAGACATATTTTCTGAATTTTCTGAGTCTGTATATGAAATGATCAAGTGATGAAGTGATTGTTACGGAGCCGGTTTCGGAACGTATTATCCTCACCCAGCTCTATTTGAAAATATGCCTTGCTTTGCCTTGTCGAACCATTTTTTGGCGCTATTTACGTGCTTGAATAGCACGTGGCTAATTTCAGAGGTTTGGCTGGTGTAAATGAATCACCAAGCCTGTGAATTGTTCAGCTGCCAAGACGACCCCTGCTTCCAGCCAATATGCCTTGGCGTTTTGATAAAGGCTCTACGTCCTCGACCAAACTTCAAAGACTTGTCAAAGCACATAATAATCAGATCATATTTGGCAAAAATGAGACCTCATTTGCTCACTCTGCCTTTGCTCTCATGTCTGGTTAGTATATCAGCTGCAGCCAACACCGAAAGCGACTATCTAGCAACCGTCACCCTCGCCCCAACCGCCTCTGGAGCCGAAGCTTTTGATCTCGAAGAAAAGCGCGCAGAATGTTTTCAAGCGTGTTACAAGACTTATGGAAACTACAAGTCTTGTACTAGAGGAGGTGTTGTTCAGTGCTGGTGTAACGAGTCTAATGATTGGGTTGAAAGAGAGGAGGATTGTGTTTGGGATATCTGTGGCCCATCTGCTTACAACCGTGAGTTTGATTCCATGGACATGTTGTGAGACCAAAGACTGACCTTGCGTTAGTATATGCCACTGTTTTGAGGAGGGTTTGTGAAACTGTTACGGCTTCTGCTAGTCAAGCTACTGAGACTGGATCAACGGTTAGTTCTCTTAGAGCTGAGCTTTGGAGGTAGTATTCTAACATGCAACAGTCTTCTGATGAGAAGATAACTTCAACTTCGGAAGAGACTACGAGCAGAAGCACAGCTGAAACTACAAGCAAAACTGAAACTAGTCAAGCTCAAGCAACAGAGACCTCAACTTCTGGTAGTGGTTCCACAGCCGCTAGCAGTGAGAGAGCAGCAGCAGCTACGAGTTCTGAACCTAACAGTGCTTGGAAAATGGGGTCGTCGTTGGGTGTTTCGGCTGCTCTGACTATTGGCGCAGTCTATCTTGCTAGGATGGCTTTTTAGTATTGCAGTCGTGTGCGAGAGCTGAAAGTATATTAGATAACTACACACCATATCTGCTCAGCATCAAATGTTATCTCTCAGAAGTCCTTCAGGAGTATTCAAACTCCCAATATCGATGTAGGGTGCCAACGACTGGTCTAAAGACCTCCTAAAGATACACTAAAGTTACCTAAGTATTCTCAAACCTTAGGAGACAGGTCATGGGCTTCCTTCTGCTCCATAAAGAGTATTTAATAACTTTAGAGTATCTTTCCGAATTCAAAAGTCTTTGTCAACGAGGCAGTAGTCAGTTTTGGAGTTGATCTTTGGTTGGCCACCGACACACTCCTACGTCACTGCACAACCAAGTTCAAAATTACAAGACTAACCTCACGTTAGAGCTTAGTGAAACCAATATCCTTATCATTTACCGATATCAAATTGAGGATCAGATATCTAGTCGTGGCACTGCGTCATCGCTCCACAACCTCCCCCGGAAAACGGCAAGGCGGATGCGGGGCTCTAGAACCTTTTGGGTATGTCAAATAGTTCCCTAGTAAATGATCGTCACGGAGCTGAAGCAATGAGGCCGAGATCTACATGTCAGTAAACGAATTTGAAACCAAGTAAGGGTCCGATGCTTGGTTGCCTTTATCAGACTTAGTTCTGCGGCAAATCCTTTGGGTCATATTTAAGGTGCTGTTAGCTCAGGTCCTTGTATTTACCATACTGTCAAGTTATATTACGAGATCAATTACCCAGAAATTCTACATATTTGAGACATGAATCATGATAGAAACGTGGCAGGTTATACTGGCTGGCGCTACTCTCTCTGGGTACCTGCTGGCTTTGCTACACCCAGATAACCAGAAGTCAATATTTTTGCTTGGCTTCTTAGCGACGTTGTGCTTAGAGACAGTCCTCTGGTGCATTTACAGGATCTTAATACGTCCTCGATTCATTTCACCACTTCGTCATATCCCCACGCCTGGAGGAAATCACTGGCTTTGGGGCCATGGGATGAAGCTGCATCGAGAGTCGTACTGCTCACCAGTGAGAGAATGGTAAGTAGACCTCTACCTGAATCCTTTAACGCAGTTCATAAATCTGGGGAATAGGAACGAAACAGTCCCGAACAATGGCTTCTTGCGATATCTCGGCTTCTTCAACGCTGAGAGAATCGTTCTCACATCTCCCGATGCCCTTCACGAAGTTCTCGTCACACAGAACTACTCTTTCCCAAAGCCTGCTAGCTTGAGAGAAACAGCTGGGCGATTTCTAGGAATAGGGCTTGTCCTGTCTGAGGGAGATGCCCATAAGTTGCAGAGAAGAAGCATGAATCCTGCTTTTGCACCCCAGAAACATTAAAGCTCTGTATCCACTATTCTGGGATAAGACGAGAGAGATGGTCGAGAGAATCACAGCTGATGGACTTGAGACGGTGGAGAGTAACACTCGATCTCATCGGCGTAGCTGGACTGGGAAAGGATTTTGGAGCCATACAAGATGCGAAGAACGAGATGGTGAAGACATAAGATATTGTGTTCCAACCATCAGCTCAAGCCCGCATGCTACACCTTATCGAGAGTCTTGTTCCAGCTTGGGTTCTCACAACTTTATCTATTAAGCTCAACTCAGATATGAGCCAGGCAGCCCGATCGATACGCGAGACGTGCAGAGATATAATCTCCTCGAAGCAGAAGAAGCTGAAGGACAAGAAATTGGATGATATGGATATCATGTCTGCGGAGATACGGACTGGGACGTTCACTGAGGATGGACTTATTGACCAAGCCATGACATTGCTTGCCGCTGGTAAGTCTTCCCCTCCAGCACTTTGCCACAACTGACAGTTGCAGGCCATGATACAACGGGAGCGGCGTTCACATGGGGCATCTACCTCCTCGCCAAGCACCCAGAAGTCCAAGACCGACTCCGCCACGAAATCCACCAACGTCTCCCTCCCCTAACCCAAGCAAAAGAAACCCCCATATCAAGCGTCAACATCGACTCAATGCCCTATCTCCAAGCAGTCTGCAGCGAAATCCTACGTTTCTACGGCCCCGTCCCCCAAACTCTCCGCGAAGCAGCCCACGACACCATCATTCTCGATCAATTCATACCCAAAGGCACACGTATCGTCATAGCACCGTGGGCTACAACCACTGCTCTAAGCTCTGGGGCTCAGATGCCCATTTGTTCAAGCCCGATAGATGGTTGGGTGAGAGTGCGCATGGAGGTGCGGAGAGTAAATATGGGTTTTTGTCATTTTTGCAGGGTCCGAGGGCGTGTATTGGACAGGGGTTTGCGAGGGCTGAGTTGGCGTGTTTGATGGCGGGATGGGTTGGGAGTTTTGAGTTCGAGTTAAAGGATAGGAGATTGATGGATGAGAGGGCTGTTGATGTTAAGGGGGGTCTTACTACGAAACTGGCTGGTGGGTTACATGTGAAGGTGAAAAGATTAGAAGAGTGGTAGAAGACTTGGACATATAGACTACACATCGACAACAATTTGAAGCAGATCAGGTTTATTATATGCCTACATCGGGGAACTATCCAACACTCTACAGCTTAGCTCTCTTCTCACCAGCAACATCCCCCAACCACTCCCCCACAAACCCAACACAATCATCCATCCTCTCATAAACAACCTGATGCGTCCCCTCTACCCACTTAACATCAACCCTCTCCTTCAATTTCCCAACATCAGCCTCGAACATCTTCGCCGGCACAGCAAAAGGTCTCTTGGGCATGATAGCAAGCAACGCAACGCTTATATCCTTGAACCGATCATAGCACTCGGCGGGAGTTTGCTTGTCGTACCATAAAGCCCAGTCAAATCGTGGATGGGCGATGAGCTTGACGCCTCCCTTTTCGCTGGGGATTACGCCGTGTTGGGTGAACATACGGATAGCGCGTTCGTCCCAGTTTCGAGTACGTTTATTCTCACGGAGTGCGGTTTCGACAGCGTTACTATCGGGGAACTTTTCCTTGAGGCCGAGACAGAATATCTCTTTGGGAAGCTTTATCATGGCGTCGTTGATCTTACCTGCTGGAATCATAGCTGGGTCGACCACCATTAGGCTGCTGAAGATATTTGGTGCGTGGACGGAAGCTAGGATGGAAGAGTATGATGTATCAGTCTTGACTTGGTTGTTATCAGATATTGTCAGGATAACAAAGATCCTGACTGATCGATTCATATTAAACTTTTTGTATTCATACACTTATAATTTGGCCTTTATGACACCGTAATCCAAAAGAATGTTCCCTAACTCTCCGTCCCCCTAGTATCAACCTGTCCAAGTCTGACACTCTCATCATGTTCAATCCTCACTATCACCCTTCCAGCCTCCTTCTGCAAATCATCCAAGTCCATCTCCTGCGTATGACCTACAACATTAGGTCCACAAAACAACAACGGAAGAATCGAAGTCTTCCACACCGGCATTCCCGGGTTAGTGAGCCCCTGAACAACGGCGACTATCAACAAGAGCATTGTGATGGCCATCAGACCAGCCGGCAACAGCACCCACCGCCAGTCAAAAACAGTACAGATAGCCATCTCTGTAGCTATGCCTGAAGCCTTGTCGTTCTCTTCCATGGAACTACCCTTTATACCCTGCTTGCGGAAGTTGTTTGTTATGGCGGTTGTGAACATATCAAAGGCACCATCGAGACCTTCAAATGTTGAGTTGTAGAGTGGAGGTAACCACCATTGGTCACCACAATCAAGCTGGTCTTTTGCGCCGCCGACAGTATTAGCCAAGCAGACGGTGTTGAAGAGTGTTTTCTCAATGAAGCGTCTCAGTGCTTGCCGGTACCGAAAGGTGAGCTGGTATACACATTGATCCGGGACTGTGTAGTTGGTCCCGTCGACCGGGACAATGGTTCCAGAGTCTGAGGGATCCTTGGCTTGGGAAAAGTTGGCAAGTTTGTATTCCTTGCCATCGATCAAACAGGGCGTTTGCACGCCAACACGGTTTCCTGCCTCGTCATCGGCGGCCCTATTGTAATCGATGGGCTGCTCGTCAACCACCTTCTCAATAAGCGAACCTCTGTCTACCTTGCCGTAGTATTTCTTGATGCAAGGATAGAGGGCACAGGAAGTTGCTACGGCATATTGATAGCGCAGGGACACGGGCATTTTTGAGGTCAGCCTATCCTCAGGACACGTTGCGTTGGTGCTAGTAGTAACGTTACAACCCTGCTGCGTGAAGCTTAGGGTCGTGATGTTCGAAATAGCGACTTTGGCCAACTGGGCAAACCTAGAGTTGGGTGTGTCGAGCGCCCACTCTAAATCTCCAGGTATGACCATGACCTGGCTTCCGGTAACAGCCTGGACCCATTGCCCATTTGGCAGAGAGTAATTGTAAACCTTGCCAGCGTATCCACCGGCTCCAGTAGTGTTCGTCTTGCTAATGTTCAATTCGATCAACTCCGAGGTGTCGATGCAGGCACTACACATGGCAACAGAGGAGTGGGTTATTCCTTGGGAGTTTGCTGAAAATGTGCAGTTTCCAGTAGAGCAAGTTGCAGCTATGGCTGTGTCCTTGCCCGTAGGGTTGACAAGGCCATTCATCATGGCGACTTTCATATCACCTGACAGTTCAATGCTGGCGGCACCTGTATTAAAGCTTGAATTGATCGCAGGGACATAATGAGAGATTGGTAGAGATGCCTGCGCGCCTTGGACTGTTCTTGGGCAAGGAACTGTGCTGACAGACTGCTGGGCAAAGGGGGTGATTGCAGGAGATATGATAATCACAAGAGCGGCGATGATGCTCGTGAGTCGTGGAGGAACAGTCCAGAATAGCTTCAGTGCTCCAAGAATGCCACGACTAGCATTATTGAAATGATGAAGATCGGAGACAGGACGGGGCTGCTGCAAAGCATTCCATCCCATCTGGCCGATGAGCTCAGCCACAACGAGTAACATCGAGGCTCGCATGAAAGTGCTAAGGATAGCGATGATTGTGTTGAGACTGATGTCGTATGGCCATGGTTTCAAGACTCTATTGTTGTTCTGTGCTGGGATAACGATAGTGGCTATCAACAAGCCCAGAGCCAACAATAGCGACAGAGTCTCCCATAGCCAGGAACGAATAGGGCTAGGTTTTGCTTTTCGTGAAGAAACATCTTTGGTTGTGATACTGATGTCGTGGTGTTTGTGTTGTTGCCTTGAAAATGTCTCCATAATGAATGTTGTCTATGGTATGATGAACGCCACAGAAAGCACAGAGCAGCTTCCCTCTTTATCATTGACTCGAAGCGCTCCCCGAGTCCTAAGAATGCCTTGCCTTCTGCAAGCGAGAGGCGTGGTACTTAGCTCGTTGGGAGATTTGTTAGTCCTACCGCTAGAGATAGACGATGGCACTAACAGAGGTCAAGTACCCAGTTGCAGGGTTTAGTTTGTAGATGAAACGCATACAACCAGCATGCATAGACCACAGCCAATGACACGCGTCAATTTCGCGCTGAGACAAATTTCAATGGATCATCGCAGAATCCTTTTATTAGATCATGTCATGATCGTCAATTTATTCTGGACATTGAAAAGCTGTGAGAAGCACCTGTAGGCTTAACAATTCTTTTACAGTGAATAGAACCCTTGATGTTAGCACTATAACCTTGGACTGGCTTCAACATAAGGAAAAAAGACTTCAATTAGACATGGAGACTATGGACTGGATATAATGCTGATTCCTAATCTCGATCATTCAGTGCCAACTTCAACCCGGGCGGTTAAGTTTAAGCGCTTAGTTGATTCCAGTCTCCGGAATTGATATTCGCGTCAACAGCTCCAATAGGAATGCCTGTATTTACTCGCTTAGAAGTGAAGCAGGGTATCAAAAGAAAGGCCAGGGTAATTATCATTAGAGATTGGCTTTCAATAGAAGAAGGTATCGTTGGATCTTGACCCTTGGAGCCCATGGTAATGGTAGTTTGCCTCAACACTTGACCATATTGATCATGTCTACCGTTTCACGTGTGTTTTGGGATCTATTGTTTCAAACGGTACTTCAGTTAGGCTTATATTGATAAAGGTTGTCGTATAGCGGAGAAACTATTGACATGCATAGCCCCAACAACTCAGTCATGCATCTCCCGCTCCCCGGACCCTGGAGCAAGTAGTTTATTTCTGATCAGGAATGTTAGAGCTTGTAATATTCGAGCATCATTTGACACTTACGCCGCAGTTCTTGCAGGTACAGCTCTGGCCACAGGCGCAAGAGCTAGGTCCGCCGCAGTTACAAGTAGATCCACAATCACAAGCCATGATGATAGACGTAAGGTTATAAAGTTGTATGTAAGGAGATAGTAGCTTGAGAGATACGAATATCGAGAGTTCTAAAGGCTCAAGTCATGAACTTGCCTATCCAAGGGCTTTATATACCCCAACCCCCGCATCTAAATCCGGCAACGGGCCACATGTGATGGATATCAGCATGATCATGACGCATTCGTGACTAGATTCTAGAAGGAGATTCTTCGGGCCGTCGGCCATTGTTTGCTCAAGTGGGGATAGACTTTGGCCTTTGCCAAACTTGGATATAAGCAAGTCACGAGCTGGTAGTATCAGCCTATCACGTTTTCGGTATATGACGTTGAATAATGGCATGCAGGCTAACTATACAAGTGCCGTTTGGATGATATGACACAATATCAAAATCAGGTGCAAAGGCGGTAATAGACATGTTTATTCAGCCAATCAATCAGTCACCACGTCAAAGCCGTGTTACAATGGTCTTATAGAAGCTTGCTAACTGCTCAGCATCCCACTGTCTCGTGGCAACAGCAACATGAGCATCTTTTATCCGTTCATCGTTTTCATCGCTGGTGACGAGTTCCTCCCGTAGTTGATAACCGTGTAACTGTAGAAACATGTTGGCCGCTACCAGGGCCGTCCTCTTATTCCCGTCCTGAAAAGGGTGGTTTAGGATGATCTTCTGGACGAGAATGCCTGCTAGCTGGAAAGGATCATCCTGACCATAGTTCTTATGCTGCTGGGGCGAGAAAACAGCAGACTCGAGGTAAGTCATTTGGGTAGGTCTAGCGCGAATGATGTTTGTTTCGTAGAGTCGAAGGATTTGAGTCGTAGTGAGGAAACGAAAGCATGGGGCAGACATCATAAGCAGGAGAACAACAGAGACTAATTATTCAAGGGCGCTTTTGATCTACCTCGGTGATATCGTAGAACTTGGTTGAGATAGTCAGTGATTGAGACTGCCTTGGTGATAATGAAGCGGAGTACCCAGGAATTGGAAATGCGTGGATACCTAAGGCTCCAAATTCATACCTAGGCAAGAGAACGGAAGCCGACTTGTAGATGGGCTGTATCATTTAACATTGGCTTCCAGGTGGATAACAAAATACATAAGAGGCTCTACATCCAAGAAAGCAAATTCCGTAGCCAGGCTACCTACTCTAGCTATCCTTCAGCTTATCCAGTGCGCCCTTAAGCTTGACAGCGGTTTCTCGGGCCATTCTCTCAAATTCTTCTGTTTCATCACAAAAAACAGCAAATAGTTAGGGCCGTTAAATATTAGGTTCATGGGTGCAGGATACCAACCGTCTGGTGTTCCATCGAGTGTGATAGCATTCCAGTTCCCCGTGAGCCAGAGTGTTGCAGAACTCATATCTTGCTTAGAGTCGCCAAGGGTTTGCTGTAACTCGATTCGAGGAAAGGACAAGGACTCTGGATTTTGTGTTACGCGTGAATGCGTGCTCTCTACCCCCCAAGGCAGACTTACCGTGTGTGAAGCAAAGTGAGCGGTGGTTGAATTGAAGTGAAAGAGTATTAGAATGTGTCTCAATGTCGGGCTTCATTTGAGGAATGACTGCACGCTCGATCGCTTTCCCAATATCGGGTTCAACATAAATATAATTTTCCCCGGGCTCGCCAATCATGATACCACTATCATAAGAGACTGGCATGCCCTTTGAATCGATGGTGGTGAACTTTGCGACAGTATTGTGATATAAGCGAGACGGAATGTTTAGGGTAGGCTTGACTTTCCGAAGAGATGTGCGAACGTGGCGAGATAGCATCATGACGTGAAACGGACTGGGGTCGTTCGTGTTGGCCGAGAGAGTGATGTCAAAAATTGAGTGAATAGCGATGATTGTAAGGGCTGCGAGTCGTGTCAGGTGATACTGTAACCTCGGCGTTGGTCCAGTCACAAACAAGGCGGGACAAGCCAACAGTGGCCGGGGCAATCAACTTCAATGAGCTATGCAAATATATTCTTCAAGCTTCAATTCATCATCATGTTTCCTGCTCATCAAGCGACTGCAACCTAGGTTGTAACTCCTTAAAATTCGACTTGCCCTCCTCAACGGGGTATGCCTCAAACACCATCCTCCTCATGAGCCTCCGCGGGGCTCTCCGACCAGTAAACAACTCAAACTGAGCAAATCCCTGCTCTGGCAATATATCCAGACCGTCCATACTTACCCAACCGCGATGCGACTCTGCTCGAAATTGTGCTAGGAATGGTGTATCCAATGTCTTGTACCCCCACTCAATTGCAACACCGCCAGTCCGACTTCCCAGCCACTCGTTGGGGAGGATCAGTTCGGGGGCGGGGACGTTGCCAATGCGGTGGGTGGGAATACAAGAAACAATGACGGTAGGTAGGCGGAATTCTGCCGGCCAGGCATCTTCTATTGATTCGATGACATGGAAGCGAGAATGCTCGCTGCCGGCGCTCAGTAGGCCATGGTCCTTCCTCTCAAGGACCTGCGTAAAGTGCGACACCATTTTTTCGGCGTTCTTTGGTGTGCGGTTGTAGATGACAATGTTCTTGATGCCAACTTGAAGCATGGCATAGACTGTAGCTCTGGCCATGCCGCCTGCTCCAATGACCAGGCCACAGGTGCTGGACACGACTGCGTTGGCCGGGGAGAGGCCACGGCGAATGCATGCGCGAATGCCAATCCAGTCGGTGTTTTCACCATACAGAGCCTTAATGGGACCTGAGCGGTTGACGCTATCGAAAAAGGCAGCCCCAGATGGTATTGTCCCATCATCATTTAAAGAGCGGATGGGAATCAGTGTGTTGACAGCACCAATTGCGCGGGCGTGTTTGCTCAACGAATGGGTCAAGGTAATGATCTCAACTTTGAAGGGGAGGCCGATTGAGCCTCCACCAAACTCTGGATCCTCGATCAAATGCTTGATTCCTCGAAGCGACGCGCAAGACACTGGCTCGTAGGTATGAGGCAACCCGCATGCCTTTAATGCTGCTTTGTGCATCGCAGGAGACAAACTGTAGCTGACGTTGGCGCCAACGACGTAAAGTTTCATCTGGTCGTATATAAAAGACGAGAAGAGAGCTTCTGTCGCCCCGACCGTGGTAATGGATGGTGTTATTGGGGGCCTAGGATTCACCCGCTCCAGCGAATCTGGTCGGACAACAGTAAGAATTCGATTGAAAGCTTGAGAATTCCGACCAAGAGGGCCAGAATTGTAAGATATAAGTGGGATCTTGGGCCCCTGTAAAGCTGCAACTGATGTCTTGAGGTAGTGAATGCGGAAATTGTCTTCAATAGTAACTGCAGGTCGAATCAATCTAGCAAGATGGCATCCCAGATTGTTGGCCTTCTTATACCACGACATCCATATTGGAGATTCCCATGACGGAGGATCTGTGGTGATGAAGCAATTTCCAATCATCTTTGTTCTCTTTCGAATAGATAATATGCGTGAGATGTGGACGTCTTCGAGTCGAAGGTCGACCGTCATCATCTCGGGTGCGAGACGTACGGAATGGTGAACAAGATCAAGGTAGACACGCAAGACTTCGTCGCTTGCTGTATGAGGTAGGAATATATGCAGGATTATAGGTAAGATAGTGCTTCGCCGTACAATACCAACGCCTTTGGTAATGTTGGCAAGCAGTTTTCCGCTGGCTTCGGACGTCAATGTACCTTGTTCAGCATGTTCAGCCAGGTCATGCACAACTATTTGCACAACATCTGCTCCGATTACATGCTCTTCGACATCAACAGAGTCTTTAATGACATCTGAAAGAGGAATGGAGGTGGCATAGGTAAAGTTGCGTTCCTCCGCAGGTATCCTCGATAAGGGGAATGCAGAGTCTGTGAATGGTATTGTGCCAGCGGGATAAACAAGAGATAGAAACTTCAGGAAGTGTCGCTCGACATGCTTTAACGTTAAATATGGAGCTGGCGATCTTTGTGTCAATGACTCCCGAGAAAGCGACGACTTGGAAGCCTTCTCTGTGACGTTGAAAAACTCAAAGTTGGTGCAAGACCTGAAGATGGCGTTGCTAACATCGAGCAAGCTCTGGACCTTGGAACCGTCGCGGATCTTGAGATGATTCTTAATGGCATCGAAATCACGGACAATGTGGATGACAGGGTTGGTCGCCGCAAACTCTCGCAGGAGACTTTGCACACGACTCTCCATCCAAGAGCAGACAAGAATACAGCCAGTCGAATGTCGCTGCAGGATACTTTGCAAGACCTTGGCTTGCTGCTTGTAACACTCTGAAGACCCATGCTCGGACTTGTAAGCGGCACTCGAAAGGCCCATGGATCTCTGGAAAGCTGGCTCCAGATCAATGACTTTGCGGTCCATTGCCGAGGAAGCCATGATAGCTAACGTCGACTTTCCAGCTCCGCGCATACCGACAAGTATCATTGACGCGTCTGGACTGAAATCAGGGACCTGCCCAGTCAAGGGAGGAAACGTTGGAGAGGGTGTTCGAGTAAGTCCATCGTGTTGGTCCGTATTTGATGGCGCCGCGGATTGAGAATTGGCTCTCGAATTGGCTCGAGAAGTAGCCCGCGATGGAGGTTGAGACTGGAGTACATCGCTCAGTTTAAAAGACTGTGCTTGCGGTGTCGAATTATCGAGGTTATCGCGGGGAATTCCATGATTGTAGTGGACGGTCTTGGGTCGGCTGTGGCCGTTTGGTCGAAGCAAGGTATCCTCGTGGCCAAGAAAGGTCCCCAGGGACCTCTTGACGCCTGCCATTTCGTGCTGCATTTGTCCGGACTCTTTTGACCAGCGCTGTTTCAAGAAGGCGCCATAGTCACCAGAATATCGTAGTTGTTGAGGCTATAGAGAAGGGTCTCTTTGTTGGGTAGGGGAGAATGGTGATGGGCTTGTCGAGAAGCGCTGAGTCCGACTGTCAGTTGTGAAGTGGGTGGGCGATGGGCGAGGAAGCTCGGTAGATCCCCCACCAGACAATCCGGGGCAAGCGAGAGGCGATTGGTCGGGAAAGCGTTTATCCGACCCACTCCGAGGTCCTGTCCAATTACATCGGTGGTGATTCGGCGGTCGGAACTTGGAGGCTGGAACCTACAGACCATCCCCAAGCAACACAGAATTATTCTAGGGCCCCAGATTCTCCCCGCATCACGTCTCATCGCATCGTATCGCATTGCTTTTGTCCGGCACTGTTGCTTTGAGATTCGGCCATGGGAGACAGATCTGCATGACAATGGCACAGGAATCGCGTATCTGAGCTGAGCTTTATTGACATGGGACTCGTATACCTACAATTCCACATCATCGTCATACTAGCAAGCATTGATCCCTCTTCACACTGCTGTTAGGCTCCTCTCCCCTCATATCTCTTTTTCATTTCGTCATGACTGCTGGCCTCGCGACGCAGGCAGCTCATTCATTCTTTTGATCAACTACATCCAAGCAATGCCGCCTAGGAAACGCGAAAACGATGCGGATACTACCAGCGCTGCCGCAACCACAGCTCCCGCCAAACGTCAACGAGTCTCCCTTGCCTGTGATTCATGTCGCACTGCTAGAGAAAAGTGCGATGGCGCCCGTCCTCACTGTGGAACATGCACTGCGCAAAACAGGCCATGCTCATACACCCCTGCGTCTCGCAAGAGAGGCGTGCAGACAGGATACCTACGGACAATTGAGTTGTCCCTGGCATGGCTCTTTGAACAGGTTCCTGGCTGTGAGGGAGCTCTTCATCGTCTCCTTACACAGAATGATGGAGCAGATGGTACCCGCATCCTCGCGACGAAGGACAAGGCTGGCCATCGCCTGTATCGACGATGGAACAAGAGTCGGGTTCACAAAGACATTGGCCGGTTGCTGTCGGATGAGAAGACGCCCCAAAACGATACATCCGCAGACGACTCGGGAACTGAAGATAGCAGCCCGACTGGTGCACAATTGTTCGACGGCAAACCATCACCTGGACTATCGATACAAGGTCTCAATCCATCACAGACGAGCGTCCCGGCTGCATCTTACAACTTCAACTCAGACCAGCCACCATTACCTAGCAAGCTGACACTGCCCCCACACTGGAAAAGACTTGTTGACATATACATGTCTTACACCCACAGCTGGTTCCCAATTATTGAACCTGGAATCATCACACGCACAGCTCTGATGTATCCCCCAGAGGGCCTTGCCATCGAAGCCGACCCCTCATCGGCACTACACGCTCAGCTCTGGGCAGTTTTTGCTGTCTCTTCATTTCAAGACGCGGCTTCTTCCAACCCATCACGACACAACGGATTCTCTCCTAACGAAATTTACTCCATCGCGCAACGGCTTATACCCTCCGACGACGAGACCTTCGAATTAGCCCACATCTCCTCACTCCTCCTTCATTCGATAGTACTCATGGGCCAAAAGAAGACAACGACAGCATGGATCTTGATAGGCCGGGCTTCGCGCCTTGCTTTGCATTATCGCACGACAACATCTCACATGTTTCCGGTTAAGGAAGGCGATGCAGCTTCTCTAAATCATAATGAAGTCAGGGTGCTAGCGGGAAGCTTTATCCTGGACTCTCTTGCTTCACTTAACCTTGGTCAACCGCAAGTGACATCTGGAATTCGACATAGTCTTCCTTCTGTTGTTATAGAACAAGCTCTCGACTTGAACGAACCGTGGACTTCGATTTCGGGATTCGGAAAGGCGGCGGATGACGGACAAGAATCAACACCAGATTGCGCATCACCACTATCAACCTTTCGACAACTTTTTGCCTTCTGTAGACTTTGGGGTACCAGCATGGATGCAAGGCTATACAATGACCGCAACCCTCAACGGATCACTCCAGAAGACCTGGTCAGAAGCTTGGACGCTCGCTTTTCATTTTGCAATTCCCTCATCTTCGGTGGCTCGACGCCAAGAGTGCCCTCAGCATATTTGCTCCAAGGCATGTTCTTGGCAATCACCTTAGACTTGGTGCCGGGTCATCGGCCGTCCCTCTTATCTAATTTCATAGAGGTTGTTGAGTCGTGTCTGGAAAACTTTGGACCAGGTGGAACACCGCCAATCATAGCCATCTTGATGGATATAGTCAAGCACCACGGCCATGGGGACCGAATGCCAGAGCACGACCAAGTCAAGTGGAATTCGACAATGGGATCGCTCACAGACGGCTGGAAGCTCAAATATCAAGGGTTAGAGGCCCCTAAAAGCAACCAGCATACACCTAGTTCTGTGGATCCATCACGCCGCCCAATAGTGAGCCCATCATTCATGGATGAGATATCAACCGCCTCTCATCCCTCGCATCACACAGACCACCCTGCCCCTATCACATCCGGGGAACTGGAACATGAGCTCGGCCGAATGCAGCAACGCCAAAAAGAGCAGCAGGCATTATCATACGAACGGCAACGTTACCAAGCTGCAGACCGTAGCCCGGCTACTTCACAGTCTCTATATACACTAACACCCAACCTGACATTTCATACCCTTCACACGCCATCTCTTGATGGGCAAATGGGATCATTACAAAACTCGATGCCGAGTCAACTACTTGATTACGACGCAATTCTGGATGAGCTTGGATCCATAGACTGCGCGGATGGTATTGATGTGGATCCTCAGTTTATGACTAACTTGGGCTTTGCGCCAGGCTGTGATCTGGGCGAGATGTTTCAAGGTGATTTCGGGACATGATTTAATGCAATCTAATCAATATTTACACGGATACATATTCATCCAAGTTGTCCCTGTCTGCCTGTCTGTGATGTCTTGGCTGATGGGGCGTAAGAAACTGCCCAGGCTGACAGCGCTGATCACATCTGTTCAGGTCGAGATCCTTACAACATCCCAGGAGTAACATCCCTTCATCCTCGGAGAATGTTACATTTTTGCTGACGCGGTGTGTTGGAGCTGCTCCAAAACGTCCAATCAACCTCGGAACAATGCCGACATCGCCGTGTGAATGGGGAACACAGGGATAAATGCTGAGCGCTTGAGATTTTGTCCCCATTTCCTGACGAAAGAAGGTTAGATCCGCGGCCACATGGTCGCAATGATGCGGAGACCCTAGAACAGTTGGGTCAGGATGTGGCACCGGGGAAAAGTCTTTATCCCTCGACACGTTCTCAGCAGCCCGAGACCCTGTGCGTCCCAGTAAACAGACAATGACAATCTCGAATCTCATGCAACGACGGAAGCATATTCTTCCCCCACAGATCCAACCCCGCAAACCCCGGACTGAATCCCCAATTCTGGAGAAGCAGTTGTTCGGTTGTTGAATTGAGTTGGCCCTTGCTGGCAGCGGCACACTAGTCTTTGGAAACGGGTTTTACTGCTAGACTAGGGGGAATATGGGTCAACTTGACTTGTATAAATCTTTGCCCCCCACCGGGTTTTGGGAATTGTCTCTTCGACTCTCCAGTTCATCCACTACCTTCTTTGCAACTTTATCTCCCCACAAGCTGCAACAGTTCTCAAGCTGTAAAGTTCAGGTTTGAGCCTTGAGACGCCGCAATCATGGGCCTCTTGACTCTGCAAGAAGATCGGCCTACGCCGAAGGCCGTCTACAACTGGCGCGTCTACACATGCGCCGCCATTGCATCAATGGCTGCTTGCACAATCGGTTACGACTCTGCTTTCATCGGCACGACCCTTGCTTTGCCCTCATTCGTGCAGGAGTTTAACTTTGAGAATTATGAGCCTAATGCGCTTGCGCTGGTCAAGCAGAACATTGTCTCTGTGTACCAGGCCGGTGCCTTCTTTGGATCTCTGTTCGCCTACGTCAGCAGCTACTTTATTGGTCGCCGATACTCTCTCATCCTCTTCTCTCTTGTCTTTATGGTCGGTGCTGGTATGATGCTGGGTGCCAATGGAGCCCGGGGTCTCGGCCTTATTATCGGTGGACGCGTCTTGGCCGGTATCGGTGTCGGTGGATGCTCCAACATGACACCCATTTACATCTCAGAATTGGCTCCTCCCGCCGTACGAGGTCGTCTTGTCGGTCTTTACGAAGTCGGATGGCAAGCCGGTGGTCTTGTTGGTTTCTGGATCAACTACGGAATCAACCAGCACCTCCCTTACGCCCCTGGCCAGAACGAGAACGTCTGGCTGATCCCCTTTGCTGTTCAGCTCATCCCTGCTGGTCTTCTTCTTATCGGTGCCGTCTTCATCCCTGAGTCGCCTCGATGGTTGTTCTCTAAAGGCAAGCGCGACAAGGCTATCAAGAACCTTTGCTGGATGCGAAACCTTGACCGAGAGGATATCTACATCGTGGAGGAGATTGGCTTTATCGATGCTGAGATCGACCGATTCAACAGCGCGGTTGGCGCCGGCTTCTGGAAGCCTTTTGCTGCTCTCAAGCAGGCCAAGGTTCGGTGGCGTTTCCTCCTCGGTGCTCTTCTCTTTGTCTTCCAGAACGGTAAGCACGCTCATCTAGGTTTTCACTTCAATGACTAACATTTTCCAGGCTCTGGTATCAACGCCATCAACTACTACAGCCCCACTGTCTTCAAAAGTATCGGTATTACCGGTACCAACACTAGCTTCCTCACCACTGGTATCTTTGGCGTTGTCAAGACGGCCATCACCTTTGTCTGGATTCTCGTTCTTATCGATCATGTCGGTCGCCGAAACCTTCTCATGATTGGTGCTGGTGGCGGTGCTTTCTGCATGTACTTCATCGGTGCCTACATCAAGATTGCCAACAACCAGGCCAAGATCGATGCTGGAGAGACACCCACTCTTTCTTCCGGTGGCATCGCAGCTATCTTCTTCTTCTACCTCTGGACTGCCTTCTACACACCTTCTTGGAATGGCACACCATGGGTTCTCAACTCAGAGATGTTCGATCAGACCACCCGCTCTCTGGGCCAAGCCAACGCCGCTGCCAACAACTGGTTCTGGAACTTCATCATCGCCCGTTTCACCGAGCAGATGTTCAACGCCTGGGGATGGGGAGTATATATCTTCTTCGCCTCTCTCATGGTCATTTCCGTCTTCTTCGTCTTCTTCTGCATCCCCGAGACCAAGGGTGTTCCGCTTGAGGCGATGGACAAGCTGTTTGAGACTAAGCCTATCTGGAGGGCTAACAAGATTGTCATGGAGGAATTGAGACTCCAGGATGAGGAGTTCCGTCACAATGTTGATGGTGCTGATCTGCGAGAGGAGAAGGCCAATGCTGAGCAGATTGAGGGCAAGGTCTAAAAGTTTTGATGATTAAATGCGAAATGTAAAGCGAAATGTAAAGCGAAATTGAATAGAAGCCAAATTGGATTAATATACCCCTTATACATCACTTTTACCATCCTCTATAACTGGATTATTAACCATACTGGTTGGTACCATTGAGTTGTCTAAGTTTGGTGTGAATTTACAAGCGTTCGACCATAGATTTTACCTGATAAGAGACATGGCTCACAATTTATACAAGCTAGATTATGAGGTTTTACCTCCTTTCATAAAGTATAAGATTTGTTGGCAGTTAAAGCTTATGACATCTCAATGATACGTGTCAAGCCAACACACTCAATAATTCCAATTGACTTCAGCTTTTGGAAGGCAATCCAAGAAGTACAAGACCTTGATGCTTGTCATCCTAGGCAAGGCAAATGCCTCCGCCTAGCTCGACCCCACAGTCTTCTTGGTGCCTCTTCTTCTTGAAGCTGTGAACAGTACCAAAAGAGGGAATTTTCTACTGAAGGAGGAGGTGTTCTTCAATATTCATAGAGGGGATTTCATAACTACACTCCCGGGGGGCCTCCTTAAGTCGAGGGCAACCTAATCCGTTGTCTATTGCTTCACCTCGCCTACTCAATATCAACAACACCCCCTTCGATGACACTGGAAGAGAATGGCAAAGAACAATGATTCTTCCGTACTTGCATCTGAAAAGGCTTGCTTATAGTCCACTTGAAGAGGCGCAGACAAGGGCTTTTGAGTATAGGTATAGAAACTCTTGGTATGTTCCGATAAGACATGAATACCGCGGCCTTTATTAAGTAACCAGTTTTTCCTGTTAGGAAAGGCTTGCATATGTTAAATGTCGCTTTGTTAGGATAGAGCTGAGTTGGTACAGAATAGACTTATCAGAGGGTATCTTGGCTGTCTCATGTGTGAGGCGCGTGCTGTAAGCATCAGTGGCGGTTTCTATCAACTCAAAATAACACTCTTATCAAATCAGTTCAGGCAGTATACCGACTACTTAACACAATTGCCCAAGATAAGCTTTTCAGCCTATCTAATGATCACGTCTGACGTATAAAGAGAACTCAAATGCATTCACCAAAGGATAAAAAGGCCCAGTCACCCATCGTAGAAGGAGGAAAGGTTAAACTGGCTGGTCAAGGTTGGGGAATATTGAGTCACAAGGTGGCGAAAGATCGGTCATAACAAAGTTATTTTAACACAATGTTGGCTGTCTCATATTATACCTTGCCACTCTCCTTCCACGCAGCGTACTTTTGATAAATATCCTTCCTAAACACATCCTTCAAATCTGTAGCAACGCCTCCATCAAGCGGCAACTTTGCAAGAACAGCCCCAACACCACAAATATCATTCTTGCGATCAATGAACCACGCAAACGACAAACCTCCACCCCAAGACATAGTATGAGCACCATACCATCCCTCAACATCCTCAAGTGTAATAGTGCCTCCAAGCCCATGCCCAACCTTTGTCTCCTCGCCGATACCAACTCTGAAGAAAGGGCCGAGTGGACTAGCTAGCATGCCTTGTTGACCGACAAGTGCTTCAGGGGCAAGATGGTTCTGAAACATGTCGGCGCAGGTTTCTGGCTTGAGGAGTTTTCCGTCGTTGGCGAGTAGGGACTGAGCGATTTTGAGATAAGTTGGTGCAGGCATTGCAAGGCCGTGGCCGCCGAAACATCCATCTGATCGGCCGTTGATTTCAGCCCCTTGACCCATGACTGCAAAGCCAAGACCCTTCGGATCATCGGGGTTGAGATTCACGAGACGCTCGCGCAAATCTTCTCTTGTAACAGGAAAGAACTGAGCGTCGGTTTTCAAACCAAGAGGCTTCAGAATACGCTCATGAACATGCTCCTCCAAGGTATTTCCAGTAACACGCTCAACAATTCGACCTGCCCAGTCTAAACCAGAACCGTACATCCATCCCTTTCCAGGTTGATGCAAAAGAGGATAGATGAAAGTGTCTTCAACCTTTCTCTTCTTTCCATCTTTAGGTTTATACTTGCTGCTCCATTTTCCTATCTTCGGATCCAAGAAATCATACGCCAATCCAGCGCTGTGCGTAAGCAGCATTTCAAGAGTGATAGGTTGACAGGTTGGTTCAAGAATCGGCTCATCATCTTCTGACCAGTCTATAAGAACCTGTTTCTCTGCCAACTCCGGTGCAATCTTTGATAAATCACCCTTGAGAGTAAGGAGACCGTCATCAACGCACTGCAGAGCCGCGATGGAAGCTATGAGCTTTGTAGCTGATGCGAGACACAAGATATCATCAAGCTGCTGGGGACGCTTTTCACCAGAGAGAAGAGTTCTCTTTCCAAGGGCTTTGTTGTACGTGAAGTCTCCGTTGGAGTTGGTGGCGCAGATGATGCCTCCGTTGATCTTGCCAGAGTCGATGGCAGCTTGGAAGTTCTTCTCGATGGTTCTCGCCATTGCAAGAGTGGAGAAGGATGTTATTCTGGCGTGTGACTTGAAGGATATAGCGACGAGTGAGTGATGAGGGATTTTCAGTCTTGATAGCATTGGGAATCTGAGTATTTATGCAGTTGGTTGATGTAAGACAGACGAGGTAATCATCCGAGAGGAGTTCAATCACGTGGGGTCGCTATACACGGCGAGTTGTTACGCCAGCCAATCAGACTGCTTATTTTCCGAGCGAGCGAATCGACATCTACCATTTCCTTCTCATAACCACTATTGTAAGGCCGGTGAGTCAACGGTTGGAAGCTCTACCACTTTTTTACTATTATATAGATCTATTATCCTCTCGAATAACTCCCCAAGAGACTTGTTAAAAGTCTGGTCTAAGTAAGATTCGGATACCAAATTCCATTGTGTTTGTTTAATCAACCAGTCAGACGACGTCATCCAGACAGACCACCCAACCTCAGATCTCAAATGACTCACTCTTTTCAATCAGCGATTGGTTTGAGAATCAAATACATTGCCTGCCTCGGGAAATAGTTTGCTTACGCCCTTCTGATGACGCCCCATGGACCAAAACTACCCCACAGACGTGAAAGACCACCCTGCAGATCAGTCGGGGTAATCCTTCGGCCATGAGGCATTCTTACCGATACACGGTGGAAGCGAAAGCAATTTCTTACATGATATCAAAATTCAATTATAATTTCCGATTGCTTAAGTAGACTTGTATGAGGTTATTCAAGGCTGTGAGTTCATATGTGATAGATCGTCCGGCCTTGAGTATGCCCTACTGAGCTGATAGAATTGTTCGATTTGAGACATCTGACAGCTTTCAAGACATGTGTTTGACATTAGGTATATCAGTAAATACTATTTATGATATATACTCTTTAGTAGTAGTAAGAAATATTTCACAGAACTGAGATATCCAGGATCCGGGCACTATGCCATATCTTGCCAAGCTAGAATCTCCAACACCACGGCAAGATATCGTCTTCGCCGAACATATATTTCTCAACTTCGACGTTACTCCTACAGATCCTCCTACACTCAAGCCTGCACTTACCACCATGGAATCTTCAACCTCCTCCCCTCTCCCAGAAATGATAGATATCAACACCCTTTCACACCAAGAACCAACAATCTCACCCCAAACAATAACCCGCATCAACGCAGCCTACGACTGGACATCTCCCAACGATCCCTCCAACCCCCGAAACTTCTCCCTCCTCACAAAAGCCCTTAGTATAGCATCCATAACATCCCTCGCCTGGTCATCCTGCTTCGCCGGTGCCATATACGCCCCCGCCCAAACCACCGTCAGCCATGACTTCCACCAAGGCCGTTTACTTTCCGTCCTCCCTCTGAGCTTATATAACCTCGGCATGGCGTGCGGTCCGCTCGTTGGAGCACCGCTCTCTGAGACGTATGGCCGTAAGACGGTCTATGTCGCTACTACACCTATCTTTCTTTCTTTTTTGCTGGGATCGGGATGTGCAAGGGATATTGTGAGTTTGTCGATTTTTCGGTTCTTTGCGGGGATGTTTGCATCGCCGAATGTTAATAATACATCTGCTACGATAATGGATTACTGTGCGCCGCAGTATCGCGGGGCGAGTTTGGGGATATACTACTCTATTCCTTCGCTTGGAGCAGCTGTTGGGCCACTTGTTGGGGGGGTCGTACAGAGGTCTTTTGGGTGGCGGTGGACGCAGTGGGTTGCTGTTGTGATAACGTGTGTTCTTTACATTCCGGTTTTGTTCACGAGGGAGACTTATAAGAAGGTTGTCCTTCGAAGACGAGCTATTAGGATGGGTCTGGGTGATAGCTCTTCCCAGCAAACAACTGTTGCTCGGACGGTCCGACATTTCTTTACGGTTCTCATCCTTCGACCTCTTCATATGCTGTTTACTGAACCAATCGTCACTCTGGTCAGTCTCTACAACGGCTTCATCTTTGGACTATTGTACACATTCATCATATCCGTCCCCTGGATCTTCAGACATTACTATAATTTCAGCGCAACCGGCGAGTCCCTCTCATATCTGGGTATAACTCTCGGCACCCTCTTGGCCTGCGCTCCCTTTGTCCTAATCGACTTTTCATACTATCAAAAGCGCCTTATCCACTGGACTCAAACCCACGATGCAAGCGAACCCTTTCCCCCAGAGCATCGCCTCATCTCCTCCATGATCGGGAGTTTTCTCCTCCCCGCTAGTCTCCTCATAGCAGGGTGGACAGCTGAATTCCGCTTGCACTGGATTCTCCCCATCTTCTTCCAGGGCATGACGATGCTGGCTTGTCTTCTGATTTATGCTGGTGTAAATCTCTTTATGCTCGATGCTTACGGTCCTTTGTATGGAGCATCGGCATCGGGTGCTATGATGCTGAGTAGATATTCGTTGAGCTTTGCTTTTCCGATGTTTGCGCTGCAGATGTTTGAGAAGCTTGGCGCGGGATGGGCGACCACGCTTTTGGCGGGTATCACGTTTTTGATGGCGCCTATACCGTGGTGTTTCTTTGTTTATGGGGAGAGGATTAGGGCGAGGAGTAGATACGAGTCAAGCTCATAGTTAGACGTCAATAGATCTTGTCAATCTTCATCCTCGCCAACCATCTCCATGCCCTCATAAAGACCAACCCAATCCTCCAACCTGTCTTTCACAAAAATATCCAAATCCCAGGGCTCATCAGTCAGCGCATCTTGATCTCCAGCCCAAACATACATATCCGCCTCCACAACGCTGCCATCATCCAGCACCACATCGACGCTCGTAGGAGTATAAGTTTCGCCCTCAAAGTCATCGAGCTTCTTGCGCATAGACTTGGTCTCCAGGACAAGTAGGTCACCATCTACTTCGTGCCCGTCTTTCTTTACAACGGCGGGATAATCTCGTGAGCGCACTGTGTAGCGTGCATAACCGTGTACTTTGGCTGGACGGGAGAGGGCTGAGATGAGTTCTGTGTTTGCGGCGTCGCCGGTTAGAGCCCATGCTAGGAGAGGGCGGGCGCGGAGGGTGCCGTAGATGAAGACAGGCCGTGGCTTTGAAGATTCAGCCATTGTGTTGACTTTTGTGGAGAGACTATAAGCCGTGTAGATTATTGGTTTCTTGTGCCTTGTTGCGTGTGTATCTTGAGAGGAACATGTCGAGGTGAAGTTTCACCCACGGTAGGTGATCAGGTAGCCGAATCTTCAACTTGGCATTCTCTTTATTTCCATAGGCACAGAGGAAAATAAAAGTCTATATGTTTGCTGCCTGGCCAGTTGTTGCAATGATTGGATAAAGTAATGATGCCTTTGACCAGCTAAAAGCTTATATTTAGGTAAAGATTTATAAATTTAGGTAAGTTTAGGGTACCTAAAGAAGCATCACATTATCGTCAACCAACAGCAACAAAGGCAATGAAGTAACAAAAAGTCCAATCATTCATCTAACAAAACGCCAATAATGTAATGCACGCTATTTATCTATGCCCAATAAAACACAAACCCTCCCTCACAGCTTCGCCTCCGCCCTCTGTGCAACCTTCTCCGCAATAGCAACATGCACCTTTTCAATCGGCATTTCCTCCAACTGCTTTCCAGTCCAGTACTTGTCCTGCTCCAAGCCCTGATAAATCAACGCCTCCGTTCCCAGAATAACCTTCCACCCTTTATCCTCTGCAATACCGCCCAATCTCGTAAAAGGCGTGGGGTTGTAGCACATCTCCAGAATAGCGCCCTTCTGCTCCTTATCCAAAAACGTCTCTGTCACCGCGCGCGCGCGAATCTCCTCTTCTGTCTCGGGCTCAAAGTCTGGTACGCACGCTACGATAGCACCGGGTGCTTCGAGACCTTGTGCCTGGGCTACATCCTTGACGTGTAGTAAACCCTCGCCATAGCCGCGCTCAGCACAGTCGGCGATCACGGCGGTGACCTCTGCCTCGTCGCGGTTGACGAGGTAAATCGTCTTGACCTTCATCCACTTGCGCAGCGCATAGATAGCACTTCTAGCGGCGCCGCCACCGCCGACTACGAGGGCGGGCTTGTTGTGGAAGACAGCGTCGGGGTTGTCGATGTTTTGGTAGAATGAGTCGCGGATGCCGATGACGTCTGTGTTTGCGCCGCAGAAGATACGGCGGCCGTCGCGCTCACGGATGAAGAGGGTGTTGCAGGCGCCGACGTCGCGGCATTCTTCTGTGAGTTCATCTAGGTAAGGGATGATGGCGACTTTGTTAGGCATGGTAACTGAGGCGCCTGTTCATCGTCAGTTACTCAATTGAGTGAGTGAATGGGTGAATGGAACGTACCGTAAAAGTCGGGATGTTGCGCCAACTCCAAAAAGCCAGGAATATCAGCTGAATCAAGTCTAACCTGACCCCACTTCAAGCCCAAATCTTGATAAATAACATTATGAAGAAACGGCGACAGCGAAGCAGTCAATTTCTTGCCAAACAGGTACCCGTGGCGTTGGAGCTGTGAGACCTGGTGCGATTGGAGAGAGTCTCCAGAGACGGAGCCTTGCTCAGAGGAGATTTGCTGGACAGACATGATAGATAGATAGATAGTGCAAGAGACAAGAGACAAGAAAGTGGCCTGATTGAGGGAATGATCCTGGAAAGTAGCGACGATAGATCTATTCAAGTAATAAACCGTCCAGTAGCAGAGAACGCAATGGAAAAAAACCCCAGATCCTCGCTTCTCATTGCCCCCCCGCCGAGACCTCCGCCTCAGAGGGTTTATCCACTAAAGCTGGGGTTGCAATGCAAGAAATTACCGGGTCTGGACCTCCACCGTCGGATAAAGACTTAGCCACCTCGGCCCCGGGTAATGGATAAACATCACCTTCATCCCCCCCGTGATGTAAGACTGTGTGCGGTAGCGACCGTGGAAATTGCCTTATCATTTTCTTGCGAATGGGTATCTCCTCTTAAACGATTAGCATGGCTCGGCTGGTACCGCCTCGTGACGGCTTTTTTTGATATGACGATGGATAAGGTAAGATCGAGATGGGAAAACGGGGGTGGTATTGGATGAATGATTGCTTTATCATCGAGTCTTGATCAGGGGCATTCTCCGCTCTGTAGATTCTATATCAAGTTGCCACAGCATCAGCGGTGCTTTGTTTCTCTAGTTATCTCGTTATTGTATCCATCGCTGTTCATATAAGCCTTCTATCATCGAGTGTCATTCACCATACTATACTACCACTTATACCCATCCACTACATCACATTAGCGACTTCAGTATACGATTGTCTGATACCGCAGCCATGGCTCACAAACCAAGCATATGCACAATGTCCCTAGGCCGTTGTTTCGCAGGCCACTCCCTCCCCCACAAACTCGACATGGCCGCAAAATACGGCTTCCAAGGCATAGAAGTCTTCTACGAAGACCTCGTCGACCTCGCCAAATCCCTCCCAGGCGGCGACACACCCTCTAACCAAATCACCGCCGCCCGCACAATCCGCGACCTCTGCGCCGCCCGCTCCCTCACCATCATCTGTCTCCAGCCCTTCATGCACTTTGGCGGCCTCATCGACCGTCAAGCACAAGCACAACAATTTGAACAACTCAAGCTATGGTTTGAGCTATGTCACGCATTGGAAACAGATCTTATCTTGTTCCCTAGTAGCTTCTTGCCAGAGGAGCAACTTACAGATGATATGGATGTTATAGCCGCTGATTTCACGGTGGCTGCTGATATGGGGCTGGAGCAACAGCCGCAGATCAAGTTTGCTTTTGAGGCGTTATGTTGGGGAACGAGGATCAACAAGTGGGAGCAGAGTTGGGATATAATCCAGCGCGTTGACCGTGAGAATTTCGGTATCTGCCTGGATAGTTATAACATCCTCGGTCGAATCTATGCCGACCCTGCAGCCGTAGGCGGCAAGACAAAGGACTGCGACACCGTCACCAAAGAGTCCATCAAGCGTATCCTCACAGACATCGACGTCAGCAAAGTCTTTCTAGTGCAAGTGGCTGACGGCGAGAAACTCAGTTCTCCTCTGAACGAGAGCCATCCGTTTTACAACGCGGAGCAGCCGTCACGGATGAGCTGGTCGAGGAACGCGAGGTTGTTCTACGGGGAGAGTTCGTATAATGCGTATCTCCCGTGTAAGCAATTACTGAGAGCTGTTGTGCAAGGGTTGGGGTTTGAGGGGTGGTTGAGCTTTGAAGTGTTTAATAGGAGGTTTTGTGATAGGGATCAGATTGTGCCGGAGGAGACGGCCAAGAGGGCGGCTGAGTCGTGGGAGAAGATGAAGGTTGAGCTGGGGTTGAGAACGGCGGATGATGTTCAGCCCAGGCTGCAGGCCATGTTGTAGATAATATCTGTTTTGTTGTTGCATTGTTCATAATACCACCAGAATGCATTGTTACTATCATCTGCTGTCTTGAATTGCTCAGTGAACACTCCATCACAACTCCACAGTCACTTAATCCGTTGATGATGTGTGGACTGTAAACAAACACTTTCAACCGTTCAATTTCTACAAACTCTTTTAATTCAGTGCCAACACCTATAGCTTCGTCCTCAACTTCAAGTGTTTAACAGCATACTCAATCGCAGCACTATACCCAAACACCCCCAGCCCACAAATCACCGCCTCTGCCTTATCACACAGATAACTATGATGTCTAAAGGCCTCCCTCGCATGAACATTCGTGATGTGCACCTCCACAAACGGGATATTTACTCCCACCAGTGCGTCCCTTATCGCCACGCTGGTATGTGTGTAAGCGCCCGCGTTGATGATGATGGCATCGACGTTTCCTCGCGCCTCGTGGATTCGGTCGACGATGGCGCCTTCGCTGTTGGCTTGGAAGGACTCTAGGCTGGATGAGAGGGATGATGCTTGGGCTGAGGCGGAGGACTCGACGTCGGCGAGCGTGGTTGAGCCGTAGATGTGTGGCTCGCGTGTGCCGAGGAGATTGAGGTTTGGGCCGTTGATGAGGAGGAGACGACGAGACATGATGGATTGTGTATGAATATCAATATCAGTTGATTATTTTGTTGTTTACTGAGTATCTCTCCTCAAGTCACTTATCAATGATCCCTCGCAAAAGTAAAACTCCGCCAATTCCCCAGCTTTTCCCATTCATCCCCCATCCCCCATCCCCAAACTCTCGGCATCCCCCGCCCCGCGGTTAAGCCTTCATCCCCCTCTACCCCTCCTCCCCCCACTACCAATCCCCCTCCCCACAGCGCATCATAATCCGTTACCGCGGAAAACACGCAAGCTACGGTTTCATACGGCATTCACTACAACAAAACAGCTGCCGTGGACTTTATCCTTTTTCTCTCTACTGCGTCTTCTGGAAAAACAAAATTAGTTTCCACACTCAAAAATAATAATAATAATGGAGCAGCACGAGTTGGACGACATTTACGCTTTTGCCGTGCAGCTCGGCAAAGATGCCGGTGACATGCTCATGGCCGCTGCTCAGCGCCGCATCGATGGGAGTGGACAGTCTTCGAGTGCGGTTTCGTATGTTGAGAAAGAGAACTCGGTAGATATCGTGACAAAGACAGACAATGGTATTCCCTTCTTGTATCCTCATGTCCATGGTATAGTACTGACTGTTTAGATGTTGAGAACTTTATCCGCACAACTGTTCTCAGTAAATATCCTGATCATGGGTGCGTCTTACCCCTCGTCTTATCATGACCGCCACTAACCATAGCAGATTCCTCGGAGAAGAGTCCTACTCTGCTGGCGCTTCGCGAACATACCTCGTTGAAGACAAACCAACATGGGTAGTTGATCCTCTCGATGGCACCGTCAACTTTACACATCTCTTTCCCATGTTCTGCGTATCGATCGCTCTAGTCGTCAAGGGTGTTCCAGTCATTGGTGTCATCAACGCGCCATTCCTTCGCCAATTCTTCTCGTCGTGCACAGGACGAGGCGCATGGCTCAATGAGACACAGCGACTACCGTTGATTCGAAACCCGATCCCTCCGATGCCTGCTAATGCGCCTAGCGGTTGTACGTTTTCCTGTGAATGGGGCAAGGACCGTCGCGATATTCCAGATGGCAACATGTCGCGAAAGATTGAGTCTTTCGTAAACATGGCCTCGGAGAGAAGTGGTAGGGGAGGCAAGGGTGGTATGGTTCATGGCGTGCGAAGCTTGGGCAGTGCGACATTGGATCTTGCTTACACTGCTATGGGATCTTTCGATATCTGGTGGGAGGGTGGATGCTGGGAATGGTACGCAACCTCACGCGTTACTTTACAGCACAACAGAGATGCTAACTTGAATAGGGACGTCGCGGCCGGTTTCGCGATTCTAGAAGAGGCTGGTGGTCTTGTGACAACAGCCAATCCTCCCAGCGACCCAGAGACTGCCGACATTACAAGGGCACATCTTGGAGGCCGATTGTATCTAGCCATACGGTATGAACATATCAACTGAAGCTTGAAGGCTCATTTACTAACACTTGATAGCCCCGCCGGCCCGTCAGAAATCGAAACAGGACGACAGACACAAGAACGAGCAGTGAGAGAGGTCTGGAAGCGTGTCCGAGAATTAGATTACAAACGCCCAGGTGTATAAACAGCTTCAACGATATGAACATAATAAACATAGAACATCTCACAACGAGTACAGCATGACTGACCATTCATATACGCCCCAGATCGGTGGCCAAATAATGCTTCCCAACTACATGTTGTCAACTTCCTCCATTCGGGCAACAAAGTCTTCTTGTAAACGCTGCAGATAACCGGGAAGGGCCTCCTCGCTTCCAGAATCCTTGGCCTGTCTCAATGCATCCTGAAGGTTAAGAATGAGCTTTCGGCGGGCTACAAGTCTAGTTGACTCTGAGCTACGCTTGGTCGTTTCTCGTTTTTGCCTGATGTCCTTGGCCACCTCTTCGGCTTTGTCAATAAAGGACTGAGGAAGCCCGATAGCACGTGCCAAATTTATGCCATAGTGTTCTTCACCTCGTATAGCACCAGAAGTCGCCTTGTAAAGCATCGTAATATGAGGCAATCCATCCTCAGTTGTCGAGGTAGTGGCAGCTAGGTGAAGGTTGAGAATGCCTGGACGATCCGCGAGAACCTTTGTCAGATCAACGTAGTGTGTCGCAAACCAGATAGATGCCTTGCTTAGAATCAAGGCTTCAGACATTGCAATCGCAATTGCCAGACCATCTCGGTTACTCGTGGCCCTCCCCAGTTCATCGATCACGGCCAGGCTCTTGTCGTCAATGTTCCTCAGGATGAAAGACATTTCTCGCATTTCAACAGAAAAGGTCGAAAGGTTACTCTCGATGTTGTCATCAAGCGAAACTCGCGCAAAGATACTGTGGATGATGGGGAAAGCAGCATACTCGGCAGGCACAAACGATCCGATTTGCGCCATGATCTGAAGCAATGCGACCGCCCGTATGTATGTGCTTTTACCACTCATATTACAGCCCGTCACGATGTGGAAGCAATATTGCTCTGTGGAGTAGTAGTCATTGGGCACAAAGGTGCCGTTCATAGTCTATATCAGTCAGTCAGCGTGTATCAGTAGCGGCTTCTTGCACTCACTTTATCGAGGACAGGGTGTCTCGCTGCTTTCAATGCGAGCGTCGTGCTGAGATCTGGCTTCACGTAGTCCCGGGTGGTTGCAAGCTGCGCGAAGGAAGTGATCATGTCGACAAGCGCAACCGATTCGCAGACGCGGAATAAGTGTGGGACATCAGAACGTAGTTCTTTCAGCAAGTCTTGTATAACCTTGTCGCTTCGAATGACAACCTCATTGGAGGTATCTGATAACCTCAGATTCAGCTTGACCAAGTCAAGTGTCTGGCATTCAATCTTGTCCTTCTTTCGCACCACATTGATCAACAGATCCGGGAGGGGACGGTCATCGAAGTCTGCCGCTCGCAGCCTAAGCCAATACTTGCGCCCATTATCGTATCGAAGATTAGCATCAAGCCCGTGTGCCTCTAGATCTTATTAGTGACGTATTGCGCCAAAGAATGTTTCGTACCATTCAGAGCATCGATGTGCTGGTGGATATCTTCTGTGAGCTCTTTGTATGTCTGGCGAGCAACATCAAGCATTCCGTTGATGCCTGCTTTGACAGCAAAGGTTCTCTGATTTCGAAGATCTAGCGCAGACTTCATGTAAGTAACATCCGCCTCAATGGTCAGTCGGATCGTATTGAGACTGTGGCTTGTGATTTGAGGGCGACACAGCTCTCGGACTTTAGTTAGTAAGACGCTGTTGGCAGGACCCAACGCCGTGTGAAGTTCGGGGATTGACTCTAAAAAGCTTTTGATCATGAGGACCTGGTTGATCTGTTCTTCTACTTGTTGGACATCGGCATTGGTGGGAACAATGATCAACTATGGGAGTCAGTGGAATATCCATCAATGAGGTGGTAAGCTTGCCTTGGTCAGGAGCTTTTCCGTGTCATGAAAGAGCTTGAGGGCTGCTCGAGTTAGCGATATTCCATGTTATCGCTGCAAACCTTGCCTTTGCGAATCTCCAAGAACATTTCTTCATTAGTGGTCAACTCGTCCAGCGCATCATACCGGGGTGTGATGAAGAGATCTGGGCGAGTGGGTGGCTGCAGGATATTGCTACGAAGCATCCTTGAACCCATCGGGGTGCATGTATGGTTCAACAGGCCGAAGAGCGAATCTTTAGACTTTGAGTTTCGTATGTTCTGCATGATCTCGAGCGATTGAATAGCCGAAATGTCAATCATCATGGTATCTTCTGAAGGTCGGTATAGGATGCGGAGCGAGTGAGGCACGAAGTTGATTGAGAAGTGTTGCTGGATATACTTCATTGCCTGTTCCGAGTTAGTGCCTTCATTGAAGGCCCCGGGTGATTTCACTTACAGCGGCAAGAGAACAAATGGCATAGAACTTGCCCTGCGTAGCCACCTTCAAAGGCTCTATGTCATCCTTGAAAGCTAGGTTGTGGATATACTCCAGGCCTTCTGTCTCCGACCATGCTGACCTTTCCAATGCGTCGATTTGGACGTCAGGAATGAGGTCTTGGACAAGAGAAAAGAGGGAGCTAGGGTTGTTTGGGGGACAGGCAGTAGTCATGAAGAGAATGCGTGAGGGTGCAGACAGCTGGATCTTGTGAATTGTCTTGACATACGATTGGTTGTCACATATTTGACTTATGACAGCCTCCCCGAGAGAAACATTGACGAATGCGATACCTACTGCAGGGGAAACTCCCCGAGCCTCGCTCACGGCGCATACAATGGTCTGCGCTTCGCTAAGCCCGAGGATGGAAGAGGCAGTTCCGTTACGAGACTTCCTTCCAGATGCTGTGCCAGGCCTCGATCCAGGGCGTACAGTAGAAGGCCTTGAGATGTTAGGTCTTGTGCTATTCCCTGAGTGATCGTATCCAGAGTATTCGCTTAGGCTGGTCTGCGGTCGCCTGGGGGCCAAGGAGTTCCGGACTGCAGTGTTGTCGAGATGTGCCTGGCTATCGCTGCTCTGGAAGTAACTTGAGGACGAGCGACTAGCGGTTCTAGATGGCATGGAGCGGAATAGCTCTATATTCACATCCATGTTGCGATCGATCCACTGTGGTGAATAGAGGGTATTATCTAGGTTGTGATAGATAAGGGCGGTGATAATTTTGAGATTCAGAATGAAATTGGCAAAATGATTTGGTGGAATGTGTTGCAAAGAGCTGGCAGCACCTTCCTGCGTTGGTGGTGAGGAACCTCAAGACCCAGAGTGAGTGTTGGAAGGAGCAGCTATGGAAAGCACCATCAAGTCAGATGTAGAGCAGCCGCATGCGATTATTTATTCAGGTATGCCATCTATGCACTCCAACACATCTCCATCTGCTGTCAATAGTGCTAGTCAACTCCTACGAGGCAATTGAAGTGCTCATCTAAAGTGACAAGAAATCGTGAGTGGATGAAAGAGTTGTTGTCTTTAAGAGTTGTTTAGCTAAGAAGCCTACAGAAAAGTTCAAAGGCGTATAATCCTCGAAAATGATAACATATTATATGAAAAATAGGTCAAGACTAATATTCCTTCAGTAATGGAGCAGATAGCATAAAATGTCATGTAAAAGCCCAGAAGCTTTGCTTAAATCAGAGTTAGGATCTGCTAAGCGCCCCTGCGGTTGTTGGCGATGTTCTTTCAAGTGAGTCAGACAATAAAAGTATCCGTGGTAAGACATTTCGCCGACCTTTGATCAAAGTCACCTGAAGCGACTTGCAACTCAAGAACTTATGAACAAGATCTTCTCCGTCACATCAACAACTGCAAAGTTGCAGGTTCCTACTCGCGCTCTACTTAGATCAAGAAGACGCAAACTATGCTGATGAAATAGAAAACCTTGGCTTTTGTCAAAAAGTCATACTTTCTTTAGAACCTGAGGGCTTACCGCAGTGCAGATGAATGGCAAGCCTTTCCAAGGATCTTGCAACCCGAGTGAGATCCCAAGCACATTCTGTGCCAGTGGTTCCCCCCCCCCTAACATCCCAATCTGTTCGACGAGAAACACGGCGCTGAAAAGGGTACCGGCTTGTTTGGGGTCAATCCACGAGGTGACGAGTGATAAGAGTGTCGAGCGGGCACCAAATCCGAGACCGTAGATCATCGTTGCTATATGGAATCCGTCACATCAAAAGAATTAGAGAGCCTCGAATGTAATACAACTCACCCGCAATCAGGAACGCTGAGTTTTTGGCAAATGCGAGCAAGAGTGACCCCAGGAGGAGGAGCAACAAGCTGGCTCTTACAATTCCAAGATTCAAGACCTGAGGTATGGGCTTCAGGTACTTGCTAACGATCCGCAGCAGAGCAGGCATGATGAAAAAGAATAATCCCAAGTTGACAAGAGCGACTTCGCTAATGAGAGCGTTTGTCTGGTTCGCTTATCAATTTATGTGCACATTTCGCGAACTGCCAAACTTGCCCTCGAAAGCTTCCAATCAAAACGAGAGGATGCATACTGTACTAACGCGCGGAGTGAGATGCCTCGAAAGGTGCTGATAAGAAACACTACTGCTGCCAGGCACATATTCCGACTCGAGAACATGAAGCGGAGAAGATGGACCTGATTATAAGAGGCATAGACAACTGCCCGCAGAATCCTGTGGTCATGTTCGTACGACCTTGGCGGGTCTTCAGTCGAGTCAATGGTCGCCGTGGGTGGGACTATATAATCTTTTGGCATGGTCAAAAGGAGCGGAAAGTTCAACAATAGTAAGACATAGCTGATGAAGAAGGGCAGCCATGGTGAAATATCAGCAGCAACAGATGCCACTGGCGGTCCTACCAACTCGCTAAAAATGAAACACGAGTAGAAGTAGTATAGGCCCCGAGTCCTGTAAACGTAAGCTCTACCCTCAGGTCACTCAAGGCTGAATATTACCTGGTTTCCTCGGTTCATGCTTTTGCAATCATCGCAGCAAGTAACATTTCAGCAGCGTACCTTCCTCCTCCCACGAGGAGGAAGAGAGAAGAGGCCCACACCAGCTTAATGGGTAGTACAAGATTAGTGACTATTATACTGTTAGCCCCATGATATTGTATGCTTACAGTTGAAGGCTTACGAACGACTAGAGTCCAAGTGAGATTCATCAAGATGCCCGCCACAACAACCATAAACACGCCGCGTTGACCTCGGTGATCAGCAATGCGCCCAATGGGCAACGCGACAATGATGGCTGCCAGTAACCTCAGTGTCAAATGTATTTATGCAAATCAGGTTACTTACCCGAAAATGTCTCAAAGGATGCTGCCCAGCCTCGGATCTCGGCCAAGCTTCGCTGGATTGAAGGAACCTTGCAGAGTTCTGATGTGGGAATTTCGTCGTGGTAATGCCGGACGCAAGGAGCGTATTCCAGGGCAGATACCATAGACACGGTCAGAATCATCATTAATAGCTCACATAGTAACTCAAGCCCAATACAGTACTTGAAGCTTGAAGAGAAGCCTGACCAACTATCTGGAACAAGCTGCGGTCTCTGGGTGATGAGGCGATCGGCGGCGGTGGAGGGTCGTTACCCGAGTAGAGGTTCATCGTCTCGCTCCATATTTACCAAATTAGTAGTAATTTAACAATAAAAGAGAGCTAGGCAGCCAGAAATATTTTCCACTGGAACCCGGCCCTAAGCACGAGCGTTTGGGGTACTGTCTCAACTTGAGATGTAAAAGGCCTTGTCTGGCCAAGTTACCGAAGCATGAAATCAGTATGAAATAGTAGTCAGGTGTGACAATGTAAGCTGTAAATTTCCCGACAGTTTCTTTAGACCAGGAACGAGGCACAGAGTGCCTGTCCACCTACATACCTTAGGTACGTGAGCAGGAGCATTTTTGTTTAATTCTTTCATCTTCCTTAGGCATCCAATAAGTATCTATAGTCATACAAGAGGTATACTGTTCCAATCCGAATGGAATCTGTCAGTTGAAGAAGTACATATCATACCGGCTAGGTCCTGTGGGATGCTCGCCTCCCCTGAACTAGCTACCACAACTACGCCACCTCTCTACAAGGCGGAACGCCGGTAGGCACTGTTCCGATAGTTCCGTATAACAAGCCCATTATGGCCGAATCCTGCGATCGGAACAGTCATATCAGCGAGAACAGTATGAATAATAGGAACGTCTCTTCCGACTGCCATGAAAGAGGAAGGAATGCCTTTCACCTATCACCAGCTTCCAGCCAGCTGCATCCATCGCGAAACATTGTGGTCCATGATGAGGCAGATATGCAACTTCTGTCCGAAGATCCGTTCTTCCTACTGGCCAGCCTTTTTAATACATCCGCGCTCTCTTTCATGCAACTCCTCAACTATCTATCAGTGAGCATAAATGAGGGCCACAGCATGGAAGTAGATCTTCTTGACATCAAGCTTGAGCGACTTCGAAACTGCGTTAGGATAATCCACCGTGTCGAGGCCGCTCTCGCCGGAAACTTGCAGTGGATAGCTCAAGGTGGTTGTAGTACCTGGCCCCGAACTCGACCTGGAACGAGCGCTGCAATAAGGAAGCAGGCCGTGCAGAGTCAATTACGAACTGACCATGAGGCTTTACGGCAAAAGTGTATTGTCATGAGACAGGACTGTGAGTCGGCAATGTTATTTCTAGTGAGCTATTCACAGCTTCTTTGTGGGGATCGCAGCATTGCACAAGCGGAGGAGGGGGCAAGGCTAACGAAGCTGGCGGCGTTCTTTGTTCCCTTGTCATTCGCTACCTCGGCGTTTGGGATGAACATAAAATAACTGGAGGGCAACAAAACTCTTCCGTTCTATGTATTCGCGGCGGTAGCCGTAGTAACCTTGGTAGCAACATCTGCCACCATGTTTTAGACCACGACATGGGGCTAGCTGGGGAAGATATCAAACAAGGTCTTCCAAACACTCAGAAGGGCCAAATAGAGTTTTTCAGCTTCTACATAGAACCTAGAGAGCAAGGAGTATTTATTGCCATGTGTGGGAAGAAGTAATATGGCGTCACAACTGAGCTGTCCTGATACCCGTCTGAAGAAGTCCTGCGGGCCATAACCTAATCCCCTCTTAATCTCAGGCAGCCTGATAAGAACAAACGCAAAGCGCGCTCCATATGATAATCCCATAAGTCAGGGAGTCAAAGAAAAGAAAGAAATAAGAGGAGAGTAGAAGGATAGCGGCCGCCCTAGACTAGTTTTCTTTAGCTGCAGCCTGCAATTCCCATACATTTCTCTTAGCCTTTCGAGTCGGTATATGTTACATGGCATTACAAACCAAACCACCAATACTGTTTTCGAACGCTTTCTGAAGTTCTTGAACAGCTCTCTGTCTTGTCTCGTACGCCGCCAGACTGTCGCCGGGCACTGAACCAGCATTCCTCGCATTATCAGCAACAGGATACATATAACGACCCGTCTGAATGCTTGTAGGCCACCCGGCCTTTTTGAAAGCCTCAGTGGCAAGTTTGATCAGCATGAGATCGCTCCCCTTTGCTCCTATCATAGTGCTAGCAATGGGCCGCATCTCGGGTCTTCCGCTGACCTTTGAGAGGTACGACATCTGAGCAAATGGCAGTACGAGTTGAGGCGCAAGTAGAATAGGCGAGATAAACTTCTCTGCGATGGTAGGGAAGGTCCCAGCAGGCGGGCTCGCCTCATCACGGTACTCTGGATGGGGTTCTCCGTAGGGCATGATGAGGATGGCGTTGGAAAGAGTCTTCGAATCCGGGCCCATGAAGTTCTCTGTGAACCAATTTCTGAAAACCTCGAGTTGTTTCACGTATACCTCGTATTCCTGGAGGGTGACATCTTTTCCAAGATCCCTATGCTATTTGTCAAAAATTATTCAGAACGATTGAGGACATACTGACCATCGGAATCGCACGACTGAGCTGACGAACGGGTTCTTGCCAAACTTGGCGCTATACTCGTCACGGAATCCGTCAAATCCATGATAGTAGTCGTAGCACACCCAGAAAGTCTTCGAGTGTTTTGACAAACTCCTCTGTCATAGCCTGTTGCTCTGCGTTGGCCAAGGGGTAGAATTCTTTAGGATAGAGTATCCTGGACGGGAATTCGGAGAAGTTCTGGTGAATGTTCTCGAAGGTGTGCGACACAATAAATTGAAGATCATCTAAACTGCGACCAAATTGACCAACAGTATCAAAGGCACTGCTCATCGATTAGTTCAGTTCTCACTTGCAGCACAGATTATTCATACGGTGAGTTGACTGGTATTCCATTCATGGATGTAGAGCCGAAGCTAGGTCGAAGCGAGAACAAGCCGTTGCAAGGCGCTGGTGCCCTGACACTGCCAGCAGAGTCTCCCGCAATGGAGAAGTCCAGCCAGTCATAGCCCGCTAGAGAGGTAGCAGCTCCTGTTGAGCTGCTCGATGGGCTCTGATAGCCATCTCCACGAGGATTGACGGGGCAATGGAAGTCAACCCACTGGTCTGTCGGTTCTTCGGGAGATGCGAAAGAGGTCATCTTAGTTTTACCCACGATCACAGCGCCCAACTTAATGAGTTTCATGGTGTAGTCGGCGCTTTGTCCATCTGGATCGTGAAGCTCGATCCACGGCCGACTCATCATGGTTGTTTGAGTACCTTTGAGACGGAAGATATCTTTGATGCCCATACGCGCACCAGCAAGAGGTGTTTCGGAGGTTCGGACAGTGCAGAGACGACTCGGGACCGCGATTCTTTTCCACAGCCCATTTGGGCTGAGCAGATCCAGGGGAACATACCTAAGGTCTCAGGTTAGCATGGTGTGAAGATTGAAGTAGTGTAAATGGTGTCGCACTCTTCCGGGTTCAAAGCATCAAGCGGAATCACTCCGAAGATGAAACTATCCAGGGTGTCCTCGTATAAGCGATAAGCTTGATGGATTCCACCATCACGGAGGAAGTATGGACTGGGTGGAAGATGGCTCTCTGGAGCCTGGGACCGAGTGGAAAACGCCAGAGAAGCGATCAGAAGCTTTGAAACGATTGAGTATCCCGAAGAACCCTTTTCCGGTTCTGGAGCAGAGAACAGCGATAGATCTGAACGATGGAGAGTAGACATCGTCAACATCAGCAAAGCGATTGACGAGTTGCAAGGCATCGTCCACTGAGGATATACAGTCGCAACCAACTTGAAGAAGGACAACAGGAACGACAGTAGAGAGTTTTTGAGATACGTTAGCAGAATCTACAACCTTGGCCTATAGATGTGTTAGCCTGATTTGAGTTTTGGGATTCTTCTCAACGTACGAGACACTGTGGATGGACTAGATAGGGGACGCCGTCCACCTCTTCAAGTCGAGATTGACCGCCGCCCATTGTGATGCTCTAGTTCTTCGGGCGCTTGGTGTAGTTTCAAAGTTTTTGAAATGCAATCGAGATATTTGTAGAAGAGAGTTTAGACAACGGTGTCCCGAGCCTGGCGACAGGGCTCTGCACTGACAAAGGAGGCTGAAGCTAGTGACACTGATTCAGCCTGCAAGTCCCGTCACTCAGGAAGAAATACATGCCGGGGCTTCTTGGCTGCTGCTCTTGTCATATACTGGCTCTATAGGATTGAATTTAGCAGCGTGGGTTGGATGAAGGAGTTCAAGCACAACATGTCGATGGGGACCATCGTTGAACGTTGTTTGTCTCTCTGAACTCAAAAGTAAGAGGTATCGATCGATTTGCCATCCTGACAAAGACAAAAGGCATTTATTCTTAGCCAATAAATTCAGTTATTTGGTCCATTATAAATGACATCCCAATTGTAGTCGTAAGCAAAGGAGTTTCGTCGTTGGACTAGGTACGGCAGTAAATGAGTTCTTTGAGTCAAGATGCATCATTAACCAAGAATTACTTACCCTGCACAGGCAATCACAATTTCTGACTGCTGATAGACATGACAGGGACACGCATCGCGGAGTCTCTGTTGGAGTTCAGAACGAAATATCAGGGGTTTCATATTGGTTACTCACGTTGGGCTTCGTATTGAGCTTCATATGCAATGTGTATAAGAGCATGAGCTGGGGACCACTCTATGAGAACTACCCTTGTGAGCTAGATTGGAAGGCATAAGGAGCTCCCGATGCACATACGAATGTGAGCGTTATACCATTTAGAGGTATATCGTGGCGAATGCTTTGGGCTTTATAACAGTACAATCACCAATCCCAAAGGCTGCTGGCCGATTACTCTTAAATCTCCATCAACGATTCTTGCATAGCATATGAGACAGCCTTCCTCATGTGTGGTGAGTGGCTTTGGACACATGACATCGCCGCTGACGGGGAAAATTAGCTGTTAATTCCCCGGATTAAGGCTTTACCGGAGATTCGTGTGAGGAGATGATTGTCAATATTCTGGAGTATATCTGACATCTCTACTAAAGTCTATGCCTGTCCTGGTCAATGATGTTTTGTTGCTAGCCGAGCAGATTGTCCTGGGCAACTCGACAAAGACTATGATTCTTCATCCATCGTGACTGGCATCTATGGTGGGTTTTCTCTATTCACGCCGTGGCAAACACAGTTGAACAAGCCTGCGATTGCTTTCTTAGGGGAAAGGTCCTTATTAAAGTTGCATTCTGATTCTTACTTATGACTATGCATTGATTACCACTACAAACGAGACTTATCAATCTTGGAAGGTCCATAAGTAGCAGCCCAAGGCTCATAATCCTCCAAAGCCATAACACGCTGCATCTGTCGTCGTCTCAGACCGACATTTCCTCCATCAAACAAAGGATAACACATAACGTCATTCAACAATCTCGGGAAAGACATGTCCTTTGCATAAGCCTTCATACCAACCGCCTTCATAGCATCAATAACACACTCGACCGCAACATCGGTAGTATAAATCTTGGTCTGCATAGCCATCTCAAGCTTGACTTTCCATTCAAGAGTCTCATCCTCGAGAGTGGCGACCGCCTTCCACACAAGCAAACGACTGGTCTCGAGGCGAATCTTGCAGTCGATGAGCTTGTCAGCTACACTCTGATGCTCGATGATGGGCTTGGAGCCACCGCGAGAATCGGACTTGGCGAAGGCGAGAGCTTCCTCGAAGGCTGCGCGGGCAGTTCCTATCGCCATGGCGCCGACGAGAGCAGCCGACATGGCAAAGGCTTGCTCGATCAGACCTTGGGCCTTGAGACCAGGGGTGCAAAGAAGGTTCTCGTGAGGAACACGGAACTCGGTGAAGCGAGTGTGAGGGCCGGATGCGGTGATTTGGCCTGCAAGTTCAGGTTCGCCCAGGACCTGATAGGCCTCCGCCTTGTTATTGGCGATGGTCTCTCTAGTTACTAAGAGGACAGCAATCTGAGTTGCCGGTTCAACGTTGGGATCTTGGGGCTTGGATGGGTCGTCTGAGATTCTGACAACAACGCATGCAAGATCAGCCCCTTTATAGTCCCAGCCACCACTGTTGGAGGGCCAGAGCTAAAACACGCGTTAGTATATACCTGAGTGTTTGGGGATCAAGTGTACAGACCTTTTCACCGTTGATGATCCATTCGTTTCCGACCTTTCTAGCTGTGGTCTGAAGACCTGGTCCGCCCTTCTGCAGCCAATTCGCCGTTCCACCGGGCTCAGAGTGCATCAAACTGGCCAGGGGGTCACCCTCGCCAGAGATGAAGGGCTTCAAGAACTTCTCCTGCAGGGCAGTTGAATCACTAAGAATCAGGGGCATCAGACCAAGCGCAGTAGCGACAATGGTGAGTGAAGTAGCTGGCTCCACTGCAAAGAGCTCTTCGAGGATGATGCTCTCGTGAACAAGGCCCTCCATAGTGCCACCAAGGGGAATGGGAACTTGAGCCTTGATCAGACCATGGCGAACAGCCTCCTTGTAGAAGGGCCTGGTAGCCTGAAAGCGAGAGAACTGGTCTGTCTGGGCGTTGTACTCTGCAGGAGCTTTGGTGAGGATGGTGTTGGCAAAGTCCTGAGCATGGCGCCTAGCTTCTTGCTGAGCGGGAGAAAGTTTGAAGTCAACCATTTTGTATAAGTAGTGGAAATTTAATTAAGAGAATACTGGGTATGTATCACGGGGATATTGGTCTTTGGATGGGGAGACTCTTGTCTGTTTATATAACAATTCCTCTAACAGCCCCTTATCAACATACCCTGTACCTGATAATGTCAAGCTGGTTAACTGTTACCCGACCACTTCCCCCGCTCCACGATGAGCTGATCATATCTTGTTATCAAGTGGAAATGAAGCTAGTGATGATAGATGGGAGCTAGCATTATGAAGTTCAGGGATAATCTGGGGTAATGGGTCTTTGGAATCCGGGGCAGACTGGATAAATATTACCCGGACCCGAATGGACACTCCAGCCCACTCACCTATCAAGGTTATCCGTATCAGAGAAATTGATATCCTGTCATTGGATAGAATGGTATCAGCGATTGGGACCAGATAGCGGATATCGTGATAAATAGAAGGTTCGTGGCGATCAATTGTACTCGGACCCCTGGCTCATTCATGGAAACTGATTGCCAAACGAACTGGAACGAGCTCAGCCGGGACCCGAGAAGTCGGGACAGATGCACCAACAGAAGTCGATGAAGTGCCGGATGCACCCGAAGGTACTGAAATAAAGCTTTCGGTCAATTACAGATAATGCAAAATAAAATATCGTGAGTACCTAACAAGTATGAGTTGGTATTGGCCCCCCTCTCATATAAGCTTCACCACCCAACTCAAATCTCCAAGAAAGCTATGAATGAGCATCTGAATTTAAATATTTCGTCTTCTTTCGAAGCATCATAGGTTTTTTAGGCTCCGTTGCAAGAAGAGGGGAAAAAAACAAAGCAGGAAATATATTAAGGGGATTGCGCAGACATGTGAACTTTTGAAACCTGAATAGTATTCGCCTTAGAAACTGTCTGGACCCCGAATGCAATGCACGTTGTGGCTCAATCAAGGTTCGGGGAGGTAGAGGGAGCAAGAAAACATTCAGACCTTGATACAGGTCAAATTAAACTCAGCAAAAGGTATACTAAACTTGACCAAAACTTATACGACGTTACCTAAGTCTTTTTGTCATTTAGGATCGAAGTGCTGAGCCCTAGAGAGGTCAGTAACGTATGAGTTAGGGACTCAGTGTAATCATGCCCAACGTTAACAAAATAACTACGAACCTCGGGGGGGAAAAACATTTCTGACGCTAGATCAGGGTGCCAGAATGAACTGGTCTGAAGCCCTGCTAAAATAGATTATACTTGCCTGAACCCTTTTTATCACTTGAGATAAAGGCCCTGAGTCTTCTTGCATCCTGTCCCCTTGGCATGCAAATTGTCATGGACCCAAGGCGTCGTCAGCTCATGTTACACGAGCTGCCAGCGACGATTCCCAAAACAGCCGACATTTATCCGCACGGAAATTCCTCAACGCCCCCGCTGCCTTACGCGTGGCCACAGCTGACACCGGTCAACCACCAAATCCACACATCGTTGACCTCCAAACGCGTTGATCGCGTTCTCGATTCCGGCGGCGACATGTTTGGCATTCTCGAGACCGTCCAAGTGCCCCATTCGGGTATCTACAACAGCTATGAGGAACTTTTCAAACAACTCAGCGATGGCATGGAAAAGGAAGGCTACAAGATCGTCAAGGCTAGATCCCATCGAGGCAAAGTGGGTGGTGCCGACGTCCCGGGGAACGACATAGTACGATGCGATCTCGTCTGCGATCGTGGCGGGAGGCCATATCGATGCATGGCGACAAAACACAAGACGACGACAAAGAAGACCGACTGTCCTTGGAAAGCAAAGGCGGTCCATCGCAAGACTATGGGGGGATGGGTACTGACAATTACGTGCGATCAGCATAACCATGAGCCCGGCACACCCGAACCACCGACCCCCGAAGCTGCGAGCGAGGAAGAGACGAATATACTGGACGACCTGGAAGGTGAGCATAGCTTGGATCCGGCTGCGACGCCGCTCCTCACGCCTTGGCAAGACGAAGGGCCACAACCCGATCAGGAGACTCAAGCTGCAATCCAGGTCGCAGGTGTCTCCAACGCAGTTCTTCGTCTGACCGGTGAGACGTTCCATCAATTCAAGGGCGAGTACCGCAAGATGTCGCATGCGGATCGTGTTGCGCAGCTATCGCATCTCCAGCTCCGCGTTGCAGCCATCTATGCTGTCCAGAATGAGGACCTGCAACGACAAAAGAGGCAAGAAGCTCAAGACAAGCGCCATCGACAAATCGAGGATGCGAAGAGGCAATCCTCGGCGCAGAAGCAGCGGGCTAGACAGCAGCGTCGTCAGCAAGTGGTGGAGCAGAACCATCAGCAACAGCAGCAGCAGCAGCAAATGCATCAGCACATCCAGCAACAGCAACTCCCTCAACAAACCACCCAAGCCCAAGTTCAAGCCCAAGCACAGGCCCAAGCACAAGCACAAGCACAAGCGCAGGCGCAGGTTCAAGCTCAGGCCCAAGCCCTAATGCAATCACAGCTGTACCTCCCGCAGAACCCTCAGCAGGCCGCAATTGCGGTGCCAACGATGGACATGCCGCAGTTTCAGCATTACGTGGCTCCGGCCAATAAGAGGATGCGTGGGCGGACTTCTCAAGGCGGACAAACTCAATAGCAACGAGAATACGGCGTTTGGGATCAGGAGCCTATGTAAAACGATCAGCATTGTAGAAAGGATCTTGCTTGTAGGTAGTTTTGTTATTTTGTTCAACTTCTTTTTAAAGATAGACTGGTTAGGGGAGGAAAGGAAACTCGGTACCTTGACCCTAAGCAATGAAAAGACTTGGGGTTGCTCCTCGAGGTTCGTTAACGGGTTTATGCGGGGGGGTGTGCCAAAATTGTTAGCAGCTTAGAGATTAGGAAGAATGGGCCTGGCCCGTATAGAGAGAGTGAGAAGTCATTGACCTTTTATAGGCATGGATGCCAAAATTAACTCAGTAAAACAGCCACCTATGCTTATATCAAATCCTTTTTGTCACCCATTCAAGCACTGCAGCTCCTCACCGCCAAAATTTCTAAAGATTTTGCCAAAAATCTGCCCCACCATCCCGCTTCTGAAAATATCCAGCCTTTGTGAAGCATCAAGATAAATAAACCAAAATGGCGACAATTGTACCCCCGCCGTCGAAACGGCAGAAGAGAGAAGAGCTTGAGCGCTCTCAGATTCAGCAGGATGTTACGGCGATCGCTTCTGGGCCTGCTGGCTCGTTCAAGGCGAGGTTCTTGGATGGAGATGGAAAGCAGATGGCAGATGTGATTGAGGTTCCTCTTGCGGATGCTTCAGAAAAGAACTTGTCGCTTCTTTTGAATACGTTACTTGCTAGAGTTTGTCGCCTGATCTTTTTGTGTGCTGAGCTTTGCTGACTTTCCCAGGAAAAAGAAGAATTTCTCCCATATCGATTCCGAATTCACATCCCAGATACTGATATTATCGTGGACCAATACCCTACCGATCTCCTCCAGCTTCTCCGTAACCATGGCATCGAGAACCCCTTTGAAACGACTGTCACACTTAGTGCCGAGCCACAGGCTGTCTTCAAGGTTCAGCCTGTAACGCGCATGTCCCATAAGATCCCCGGGCATGGCGAAGCAATTCTCGCAGCTCAATTCAGCCCCAAGAACAGCAATCGACTAGCGACAGGTTCTGGAGATAAGACAGCGCGGATATGGGATACCGATACCGGAACACCCAAGTACACGCTCTCCGGTCATGGTGGATGGGTGTTGGCAGTTGCTTGGTCCCCCGATGGTGCACGTCTCGCTACTGGAAGCATGGATAAGTCTGTTCGACTTTGGGACCCAGAAACTGGAAAAGCTGTTGGAAACCCCTGGACAGGACACTCAAAGTGGGTGACCAATATCTGCTGGGAGCCTTATCATCTCTGGAGAGACGGCACACCTCGGTTAGCGAGTGCAAGCAAAGATGCAACAGTCAGGATATGGGTTGTCAATACAGGAAAGACCGAGCATGTCCTATCCGGCCACAAGAGCAGTGTAAGCTGTGTGCGCTGGGGAGGCGAGGGTCTCGTATACAGCGCCAGTCACGACAAGACGGTGCGAGTATGGAATGCTGAGAAGGGAACTCTTGTGCACACCTTGTCGTCTCACGTCCACTGGGTGAACCATCTTGCGCTCTCAACAGATTTTGTTCTGAGGACTGGATTCTACGACCATACACCTGTTCCTGATACGGAGGAGGGAAAGAGAAGTAAGGCTAAGGAGAGGTTCGAGAAGGCTGCCAAGTTTCAGGGAAGAATCGCTGAGCGGGTGGTTACTGCTAGTGATGATTTCACTATGTACCTCTGGGATCCAGCGCAGAGCACAAAGCCTGTTGCGCGTATGTTGGGCCATCAGAAGCAGGTGAACCATGTCACTTTCTCCCCTGACGGTTCTCTCATTGCCAGTGCAGGTTGGGATAACCATACCAAGATCTGGAGTGCAAGGTAAGCCACCCAAACACCATTCACATTTGACACACTAACAATCACAGGGACGGCAAATTCATCAACACCCTCCGCGGCCACGTAGCTCCCGTCTACCAATGCGCCTTCTCAGCAGACTCCCGTCTCCTCGTCACAGCATCGAAGGACACAACACTCAAGGTATGGTCAATGGCCTCTCACAAACTCGCTGTGGATCTGCCCGGCCACCAGGACGAAGTGTACGCGGTGGATTGGGCGCCGGATGGAAAGAGGGTTGGCAGCGGTGGTAAAGACAAGGCCGTTCGGCTGTGGCGGAATTAGAATCCCGAAAATGGTGTTTGTTACTGTTACAAGTCAAGATACCCCCGAAGTGAGTGGTTCACAAGATTGCTGTGCCGTGCATGTTTCACTGGGAGGCGTAGAAAACGTGCTTGGCTTATCTTTAGAATGAGATCTATAGGTGCATACGCGGCGCTCAGCACGGGAGACTTCCGAATCTCACGCACTACTGCACTGTCTGTGAGTCTTGTTTCTTTTGTCAAGTAGGGCTTTGTAACAGATCATGCATGCATGCACGGGAGTTGAGGGCTTCTGGACTGTGATCCAAGATGGAGTCCCACCGGAAACTGAACACCCTCGATTGAGTTGCGGCTTTTCAAGGTAGTCAAGGTGATAGGTCCGCTTGTATGCAGACGGGGCCTCTTTTCACCTGATGCTACTATAGTTCTGTTGGAAACACGTATGAAGACTAGATGAGCTGGTAATGAGAGGGGTCGAAGTGAAGCTCGCGATATGTTAGAACTGTCTAGAAAGTGGTGTTGGCCCTGTGGGGAAAGTAACCCATGTCCAAGCTAAATGTACTTTATCCCGAATTCCCGAAGCAGAGTTCATAGCTAAAACTTGGGAGCGAAATATCTAGATTTATCTTTGAAGTTGGCCCTAACATCTCATCTCGATCACGTAGAAAGCCTCATACTGTATGTCCTCGAATCAGGCTTGAATGCCCAGCCCTCCCTGTCGGATCATATCGGACCCGGACCGGCGTTGCATATCCAAGCCATGATGTTTCCTTTTTTCCTCAAAGTTAAGCACCTTGCAAACCTACAGCCTGCCATCGACACCACGAGGTTTCCCCGCTGATCGTGAGTGGATGATATGACCCCGGAAGGCATCGGGCAGCGAGCGGCCCAAAGAGATGCGGAGAATTCAGAAAATGGCTAAGAGCAATTCTGTATCTAACAAAGTACGTTCCTTTGTACTTACTCAGGCAATTAGTGGCCAGTGTACTACTGCTCATTAAAATAGGTGTTGCAAGCGCTTACACGCAGATGAAAAAAAAAACGCAGTTGTCCGGTCCCGTTGCGGGCCCCCCGGTCCTCCGGCCGGCTGTGGGCTCAGGTGGAAGCCGAATATCCCTGCTGCCGCATCGCATTGTGTGATGTTACCGTAATCCGGCGCTTGGAAAGTTGGAGAAGATGCGTGCATGTTGCATGCACTGTAGACATGATCAGAGGATAGGTAGTGATTTCCATGTGACACGGACCGTTATTACCCCAATATCTATCTGCTGGATTCATTCTTGTCCATTGCCCCGAGGCACAGTCTCGGGTTAGACTGAGAATCCAAGAGGCACAGGAATTACTCCACCACGGAGAAGCTGCGGGGTGCAGCCAAGTTGAGAAGCAATATCGAGGTCCCCTGACGATCTTCTACATGGTGCACAAAGTCAACTGCAGTTCTTGCTAGTATCCAAGGTCCTTACTCAAACCGAGACTCATTATTCAGAAGCGGAATACCCGGTCTTGGTATGAAATGGGATCTGTCCGATGAAAACAAGCCATATCCTGCAAGTTGCACACGGATCCCATCTCACATGCACGCCACCAACCGCATGGATCTCTCCAATCGCATGGTCCATGCGGTTTTTAATCTCAGGACGTTTGATATAATGCGGCAAATTCAGTCAATCTGATGCGAAGACGGGAAGTAGAAACGGCCCGTGTAAGACGGCGTGGTATGGCAGAGACGGGCCGGTGCAGCCAGTTTTTGGACAAGGGTGTAGAATGGTGTTTTGAGTGAAGTGCATGAGTTGTAGTTGTCGTAGTGAGGAAAATGAAGAGATAGACTGGGTTGGTGTGGTTGGTGAGATGGTGGTAGTGGTTTGTTTCAGGCGTAGTTCAGACGGTGATGGTTACCATGGATATCATGAATGCGTACTCCGTATAGGTCAAGAATAGCCGGCGTTACGTAGAACATGGTGCATGGATGAGAGTTTAGACAGTGTCATTCCTGGTTCGGACTACGAAGCATTTATAGAATGATTTTATAGCAGTCATGCTCTATGAACCTAACCACGATCGAAGAGTAGATCAACCAAATGCCTGAGTATAAGACAGTTACCAAACAAGCTATCATTTCCTCAGGCATGTGAAGTGCATGATCGACGAAATACAAGAGGGCGTGTCGATTTGAGAGGCCGCCTAATTCTCAGCCATTGGGGTAACTAACTGTGCACCTACAGGTAAACCTACAGGCCCGAGAGATTGGTTAACAGCCTCCCACCAACACGCTCACAACATCACTACCACCTCACCTCACTTCACCCGGAGGCATTTTCTCCATTCGTAGACCAATGACACCTGGTTATTCCCTTGTACATCTCCTTTCCCATTGATCAACACATCCAGGCACAGTCAATCAGCGTTTTTATTTACATAGTCTCACCTTATGCACGAGGTTTCTTAGCCAAATGCCGAGTTATCATGTCACTCTTGGCTCTATATCAGCCAAAGAGAAACATTACCGGACCTCGCTGTTGGCTCTGTCTCGTCATCCATACATCATCCTTGTTTTTTCACCTCTCGACCCGCGTTTAGCCTACCTACCCGCTCTGTAAAGCTCCGCCTAAACAAACAATGACAGGCTATCGTGGGGCCTGCAAAAAACTCCACACACGTAGTCTTTTTTCCTCTGTGCATCGGTCCACACTCCGATTTATCTTGACTTGTTTCGTTACTGGCGTTATTTTTCTACCTCATCACGAGAAAAGGAATTAAAAGCTCAGAGAGGAAAAGCTTCAGATTGGGTTGCTAGCTGTATGACAAAAAGAAAAGACTAGCTAGGCTTTTATACCGATTGATGCCCCTCTTGGTTTGGCTGTCTTACACCACACCCCCTCCTCAATTGGACGTGA